GAGTTGGCCGCCGCCACTCGGGGGTTGAGAGTCGGAGAGAAGACGGAGATGTTGAAGCAATGAGGCGAGATTCGCCCACGTAGGCGATGAAGGTGGCATGTGACGAGAACTACATGTCGCTCAGTATCAAAGTTTCGGTCACACAAGGCACCCTAAAGAGCCATGTGGATGTCTCACTCCAAGGGTCCAGGATCATCGGCTCGGGTCCCGTTCATCGGCGGGCGATCGAGACCTCTTCGGTAAGCTACGATGTAGCGTCGTAGTACAGTACTCTGTAGTCACTTGACGTTACATGGAAGTGGTGGAAGTCCGTGGGACGACGTGGGGCAGCGGCATGAGGCGAAGCATGGGCGAGAACATTCACAAAGGAGGGAGAGAGATCGAAGTCTCCGAACACACCAACTGCGTTACTTCAAGCAACGGCTACAGTTGTAGACAGGTATCACACCACGTGGCTGGATTCTCCTCTGCCCTGGTGTCCAACACTGGACGGTGGAGATTGGCCGGACACATCGTGACTCAGATCCACGTCAATCAGGAGAGAAATCCCGCAAAAGTCTGCGGCTGTCGTTTGCAGAATATTTCCCATCTTGGCGGCTGGCCGGGTGCTCGTTTGGCTCCTCGCCGCGAGAAGCCCCGACTCTTGCCGCGTTTTCTTCTGCGCTTTACGTCTCCGTCCCATGGGCTTGGCGCATTGGCCGACCGCTTCCAAGCGGGCACGTAAATGTACCCTCTCTCCGGCCACCCGGATCCCAGCATCCTGACAAGAAACCCACATGGGCTGATGTGGACTACTCAGGACAGTGATCGAATGGAGCCCAGGAGACTCAGCTCAATTCGATCCGTGTCTCTTAGGCAATCATGAGAGGATATGCTCAAGTTGATTCCTCCGATTTCTTGCTGGCGCTGGCGCGAACATGTAGATGGTTGCATCTGTATCGGAGAGCGGGCTATGCGTCCACCAGACTACCACTTTCTTCAAGGCAATGCGGCATTGGCTTCAGATGCTCGAGAATCAGTGCGAACTTGTTTGAAATACTTTTTGCCGCACGCTGACACATTTCAGTTCAAAACTTACAAATTTTGACACGGCATGAACTCTTTTCTCCTTTTCTCATATTGAATATTATCTTTGAGCGCACTTGACCTCATGTTAGCACCCGTGTAGTTCTTCCATGCTGATACCACGTTGCTTCAATAAAGGTTTTGAATCAAGATGGCAACAAGATTAGACCCCATGTTGTTCACAGATTCTTTTCCGACGCCCTAAGCTTTGATGTTAATGAAAACCCCTGGCCCTGCTCGGTCAATGCTTTTATAAGAGTAAAGGTCATCCAAGTCATTAAAAAAACTGAAATGTACTGTAGATATGCACAATTGCGACCTCTTTGTCCCCAAGTGGAGCAGCAACTTTTTGACACGAGCACTCAGAAAAACATGTAAGGTGTGGCTAGAATATTTACGCCACAAAGTCAGCCAGGAGTGAAACAATGCCAAGACCTGATTTGATGAGAAGTTGCAATACTGCTGCGTCGTCAACAATTCAGGAAAAGTTACAGCCCCTGGCCGCTCGCCAGTTCAGAAATGGAATGTAAGATACATCCCTTTCTTGAATGCCCCTCACATCACAGGTTTTCATGGACAAATTCACTCATGCTAATGCAGATTCAGGCACTAAATCCTCTCTAAGGTACTCTTTCCTCTTCCGGAGATTTCCATTTTCATGTCTCAAGTTGCAAAGTTCTTTCTTTCCTGTAGTTAGGCTTACTTACTGATTGAAAGCTAAAGACCGGAAGAGACAGTACCAGTTGCACCAAGTAAATAGAGAGAGCTCTTTTTGTAATCGAATAACGAATTTAAGAAAATCAACACATTTACACGTTTTTAAATATTTAACTTCATTTTTTATCTACAAAGCACAAAGATCTAGTGTACATCCTTGAATGCATAGTTTCAGGTTAGGGTTGCTGGCTTCCAAAGACAGATTAAAGTCCATCGTCAACATCTCTATATACAGAACGTTTTTGGAGTAACAGACGTACGAAGAATGTTCTATGTAATGACTGAGGTGTGAGCTTGAATGTACAAATATATTCATCTTTGGTAAGCATTGAATGCAGGCTTGCTGAAGGCTAGAAAATTGTTATCTATAATATTTTTTCAGGTTATATTTTCGTAACCTGTGTAATTAATCAAGTACTGACATGTGTAGGCGAAAAACGTAACAAAAAAACGCAATAATCAGGTAGATGATTATAACAATACTAAAGTCATACATTTTTTTCGAACAATTAGAAAATCGTATGTTGTGTCTGGACGGTTACATGCTTTGTATCAATACTTCACCACACATCCATAAATTGTTTGATTCCAATACTTGTGAACAATGCATTCTTTCAAATCAAGTTCAGTTGAAAATTGGCCCTAGGTATTCGAGGAAAGTCCATCGCTAAACTCAGCAGCAAAGATTTAACCAAAATCATCCGGTGGCGAGATGTAAAATTAAGTTCCAAAGAGCACTAGGAGTTCCATCCAACAGAAAAACGAAACCATGTCTGGATCAGGAAGTGTGAAGCGAGTATAAGACTTGAGTGAATACAGGGCTCATGATAAGTTATTCGTTTATTGTATAAATAGAATCTGTCTAATATGAAGAATGAGTAGAGATTGATGATTTAATGTTCATGGAGGATATAACATCTATATCCAATTGGATAATCGTGTCATTTGTAACGTATTCTCAATTTGTCATTGTAGATACATCAATATTTAAAATGCACGAGGGTGGTGTAGATGTTTATTTACACAAAGGGAGTGGTTAGTTATCCCTCAATTCGGGTTAATTATCCTCCTGCATGCCGCGAAGACTATATCAAGGAGCTCTAGTAATCATAGGGATAGCTTTGATGAATCGCAAAGCTCTGTTCAGTAGATTGAAGGATAATTAGCCCAATTTGAAGTATAACTAGTCCCTCCTTTACACAAATGTTTAAGTTTGAAGTATAATTAGCCCAATCTGAACGATAACTAGTCCCTCCGTTACACAGATGTTTCAGTTTGATACCAGTGAGATTACTCCAAAGTTATCCAAGTGGTTCCACGTTGGATGGGTTCTTCACTCTCTTTTACATGACACCTCTTTGAGAAATAAACTTCTGTACTTGGGGCTATGATAACCGGAGTAAAATGTTAATGCACGCTAACTGGGTAATTAAAAAGGTTGGAAAGGGTTGAGGGGCTACAACTAGTAACTCTGGTCGGTGCTGTGTTACTTGTACCTTTTATACCAGTGCGCATTTGGACCGTTCGGATTTTGAGGTCGCAATATCAGAAATAATGCAATCTGCAATCGAGTGTCTGAGTGGTCACATGGTCTTTGGAAGATATGTATTCATTGCACTAGTCACAAAAATAAAGTTGAACTTCCCAATAGTATCATCTATGAACATCAACATGTATTTCAGAACTTGTAAATCTACCCAATAGTAACGATGCGACATTATTGACGATAGTGTCAATAATGTGACTGTTTCAAGTGTAATTTCGAATGTATCACAATGCATAGCTGTGAGAAAGTAAAATGTGACATGCTTTTATTTAAATCTCCATCTCAACAATTGACTCTTGTTGGGCTTCAATAAAATACTTTGATTCATATAGTATCATCAACTGTTTGAGTCAAATTTGTGTGTATAAATTCGAATTCAAAGATAATTGTAGCACCTACGTTAATTCTCATGAATAATACAAAATTGCAAATGAAATCAATCTTGAACCCAAACAACACATTTATAGGATATACTAGGATGGATGAAATGTACAATTAGAAGTCTAGGGAATTTTTAATTTAATGAGTGACATCCAACCCTAACACGAATGTATGTCAATGTTGGAAGGTTATTCACTTTCCTCTTGCGAATGACACCTCCCACTAATGACGTCTAACGTAACAATGTATGTCACTATTGGGAAGTCTAAGTCTGTACTTGAGAACTTTACATTTCATGTGCAACCAATGCATTGGACTATAGTTAATGAAACTCGGCTGTCAGCTTTTTAAGCAGCACTGTAAACACGTGAATTGTATGTGTGTCTTCAAACTTCTGATAATTGGGGCTGGGACCCACTTATCTCCATTGGTTTCATCTGTGTTGCAGCTTGACGGGTCTTCTCATCGTTTTAGCTCTCTATTTTTTACTTTTACAAATCTGTCAAAGAAATGCAAGGCATGGGTTCCATGTCGGGTACACATTGCATCTCGTTGGGGGTTGTTTTTCCCATTTTCCTCTCGGATCCTCGTCCTTGCAGAGTTCTCGTTACCGTTTGCACCCAGTACCGCCCAGTTAAGTGGTGATACGACAATTGAACAACTGTAAACTGATGCCCCCTAGTACAGCAGGGAACCATGAACGGCACGAGATTGGTAAGTAGCAAAGGTAAACAGGCGGCTGTTTGGGGCAAATAAGTTCAGATTAAATTTATCCCCTACCGATCTCATAGCAAATGCGTCCTTTTTGAGACCGCTAAAAATCTTTTTATTGTGGCGTACTCGGGTGGGAATCAGAGAGATTTTGGCAGATTATGTTCACCATGAATGAAGTAAACACGAAAGTGCCATAGGGCACATTAGCAAAGTTTCCTTTTGGGATTTAAGATGTCTAGCAGAGCGGTCAATCGAACGGTTCTGATCGAGGGTTAATAGCCATGAAGTGAAGTTCGCAGGAGAGAGGTGAGTCAACGTTGAATGCACTCTCACCGGAAGAGCGACAGCGTGGGCTGGGGGCGAACGGCCAGCCGCGAGGCTCTCGGGGCCCCAGCGAAGCCGGGCCGGGCAAGGTAACCGGACTCGCGAAGTGTGGAGTTGTGACAGTGGTCCGAAGCCTCCCGCGCATGCGTAATATGATGGATCTGACGTGGACAGAACCGGCCACTCTGTCAGGTCTGTCGCGCCGTCACCTCTTAAGGCAACCCGCGCTTCCTTTGTCAAGGACCGAGACACTGAGAACTGCCACAACGAGACCGCTCTCTACTTCTGAGACTACCGACCAAGTTGCATGCCCGGTCTCTCTAAATTTCCCTCTCAGATCTCCCTTCGCCTCCCCTATCCTGATTTGGATCGCGCCTGGAGTTATTGCGAGTCAAACGTTGTCTTAAGTGTAGGCCGGCGCACCAGAGGCACGAGCAGCTTGTGTTGCCTCTCCGGGCTGCGAAAGCTGATGTGACAGCGGGGGGTTTCTCCAACGAGATGTACAAGACTCGTGGAATTGGAAATTGAGGGCGAATCAGAACAACTTGCAGACGCGAGTCTGTCCTCGAGAGCCAACTCAAGCATCAGAAGGCGGCCTCATCATTCTCCTTGCAAGTTCCAAGGGCTGCGCTCAGCGAGTTTTCTGCTCGTGTTCTGGCAGTGCTTTACCCAGTCAAAACAAAGCAAGATTCTCTCGTCATAGGAAGAGCTCCGGGTCCGCACTCGATCTTCTTCGTTATCGGAGTCGACGGATGCATGCGTGCGTGCCCGAAGTTGCTGGACTCGAGGGGTTACTAAATTGGTCCTGAAGTTCCTTCCTGCAGGAGTGGAGCAGAGAAAGCATCCGGAATTCTTGTTTTATGCATGCTTTGCTGCGATCGACGTTCATTTATATTTCGTTCTGGCCCGTCGGTTTTTCTGCCTGAATACTTGACAGATCTCATAACCAAGCCTATGGAACCTGAACTACAATTTCTTGGCTGCGGCGAATGATGAACTCTTCTCCAAATTTCGGCTCCAAAGCTCATGTGCAGAACCGGACTCCAGATTGTGCCTCCACGAATTCTCACGACTGTACTAGAACCCGACAGAGATACAGCGAGAATAGCTGTGGTGGTCTCCACGTACAGCCCCCTGAATGAACGTCAGTCGAGTCTGATTGCTGAGGATCTGTGCATACAACACCGGCGTACACACTTTCATTTAGCGACTGATAAAGCTTTGTGATGGCAGCCGCCGCCTGCGCATGCATCACTGCAGGCTTGGCCACGTCATTAAGCCCTGCAAACTCGAAAGAGAAATGGGATAGTCTTCAGGCCATTTGTTCAGTCTCTCCTGCCGCACGCCGGAGCACGACACCACTCCCCCGGGCTCAGAACGCCTCAGTGTCTCGTTCGTCAGGGGAAAACTACTCGAGCTTTTGGGGCAAAGAAAGCTGCGGCACCCTTCTTGGTCGGAATCAGGCACAACAAAGCCTTGCTGCGTGTTCATTCAGATCCGTCCCTCTTGTGGTAAGTCCGAGTAGGTTCGAATTGGTGAGAAATTGAAGTGATGGGGACTATAGCTGTCAAAATTTTTGAAAGTTGACGTCTCCAAATCCGTAATCACAACGAAGCTCATGGGGACTGAATGACATTGGCTTTCAGGAATCAAGACTTTTCGGGCCGGCAATTTTTGAAGCATCAAAACTACGTGTGCTCTTTCTTGGAAAAGAGGATGACAAGGGCCACCTGCAACAGCCTCGAATTTACACTCTAACTCACAGTGACGTCACTGCCAAAATCACTCTGGCTGTCGCTCAAGAGATCAACAAAGCGCAGGTTGGTTTACTTACACTACTGTATCTGGAATCAAGTATCTGTCTGGTGTCTTATAGTTCCTAGTCATATCCAAGAATCAGACACCAACTTTGATAGTGCAGCAACGACGAGGGTAGAAAGTAGAGTGTTCGCATGTCAATCGAAAACTTCTGATGTGCTCAAGCAATTGTCCTGGTTTGTTTTGTCTAGTTGATGGGCTGGTATAGTCAGCTGCAACGGGATGAGGTGTTGGCGGAATGGAGGAGGACAAAGGGGGAAATGACTCTTCATGTACACTGTCATATAAGTGGGGGCAACTGGCTTCATGACATCATAGCCAAGCTCCGATTTTACATCTTTCGGAAGGAGCTACCGGTGGTAAGCTTCAATCAAACCAACTCACTATAGGTCGATATGGTTCATGTCTTGGATCGATCTGATCTTGCTTCTTGTTGTATTTGCTACTTTAACGTTACGTGACGAGGTACTAAGTCTACTCTAGTTTAAACTTAACGCTTCTGATCATCAAAGGTTTACTTTTCTCATGCAGGTTCTGGAGGCTTTCATGCATGGGGACAGAGATCTATTTTCGAAACATCCAGAGCTACAAAGTGCACCTGTTTGGGTGTATTTCCATTCGAATATGGAAGAGTACAACCGCATGGAATTCTGGGGACCTCTATCTGAGGCTACTAAGGTACTGATAAGTTCCTTCTCTCAAAGTCAAAGAGAGTAGTCACTGAATTCAAGATATGAAATAGCATGATAAGCTTAGATCGACGTTACCACTTCAACCAACATTCTGACGTCTCATTTTCTTGGTATTTCAGGGAGCATCAGAACTACAAAAGGAAGCAATACACCAAGCTCTGGACGAGATAGTGAAGAATGAGAAGAAGCAGCAATTTCCCAAGCCCACATGCTCCGTTCAGTGTGAATGCTGTTCTCGTCACGCAGCTGTGATCCCAATCCCCGAGTCCTTTAGAATGCATGCACGATCTCACGAGCACAGAGAGCGTGGCGTCCCTCAATGAGATGTTCTTACAGTAGCAGTTTTACGGATTTGACGACTTTTCTAGCGAGTTCTTGTCGGATGATCATCGGTCAAGGGAGTAAGTATATAGTGGAGGACAATCGAGGACGTGCCTTCAGCAGTTCCAAACACTTTTGGGCAGCACATGCCGAGTCCAGCTCCGAATGTCTTACAGTAAACTCATGTCCAGATTGTAAAGGAGGAATGAAACCAGGAAAGGACAGAAGGATTTTTCCGGGCAGGCAGTCAGTTGCAAGGCACTGCCGCAGTTCCATCTGGAAGACGTGGAGACGACGAGGCATGAAATTATTGATGATGCGGCAAGAACCGTGTTCAGTACATTGTAGAATAGCGACTGGCTAAACATAGTTCATGTTAACATTGATGTATATATCCGTCATGAATCATTCTTGTTATTCTCGAATAGTACGGTACATTTAGTTAGTTTGTAGTTACCTTCAGAATAACACCTCGCTGGAGGTAGTTTTTTCAATAGATGTAGATAGTTATGTAGATTCTGAGGGACCTCATCGACGGTCCGAGACCTAGATAGTCAGTGACTTTTTGGCTCCATTGGCCAGCACAAAATTCGTCGACACGATGTGTACATTCTACATATTTCTAATCAGCTATTACATATTTTTATATGAAAATTTTTTGTTAATGCTACGGCGGAACAGTTGTTAAGCGGGCTATTAGCCAGCTAAAAGGGAAGTGTCAAAAAGTGATCCAGTTCTTGCGATATATCAACAGGAGAGAAGAGTCTTTGGGCGAGTGTCATGTGTGCTTGCTCCGCCGCAGATTGGAGGAGGCAAACCACGGGCAGGTGGCAAAATGCGGGCAGGTTGAAACCCCCGTGTCCTGATGGGGGCCCCAGAGCAAATGCAATTTGAAGGTGTGACGAGTACGTTTCAAGGCGAAGACGGTGAGGTGATTACGATAGGCTTAGACAGAACATGATGTCGTCTTCGTGAAGAAATCAATCCGGCTTAAGTAGAGGCTGGCCGTGTCTGCACGTCTTGCAGAGTCTCAGATCATGCCGAGCACGCAAAGCCAGCTCCCAGCGGGTTAAATTGAAGAGCGGGCTGCCTACTCGAAACACCATGACGGATCGTAATTCCACGAAGAAATGAAGTATACGCAACCGACCACAACGACGTCGTCGTCGTCGTCGTGTACCACCACGGACCACTTTCATTTCGCCCCAAAAGGCTGGTTTGCCGTGCCCATCGGAAATTCCTCATGTGATGCTATGAATACTGTACAGTGACCTCTAGTCTTGCGACAAACCTCTCAACGAGTTGGACTCATGGACGTCCCCCATAGGTCCAGAACATTTCCCTAGAGTCCAGACTCCAACCGTCTCATGATGCTCCCTGTTCATACGATCACTCCTTCACGAGTCGAATTTCTGTACACTTTAAAGAAGTATGATGTCTATGATGTCGAGGATACTCGATTCGTTTCATCCGCGTACGGCTCGATGGGCCTTTTCATCCTTTTTACGGCGGACTTGGTCTCCGGATCCTGGATGCGGCTGTATCACGCACGTTTGTCGCAAGCCGTTTCCCCACGTCACAATGTCTTACAGTTTGGATCCAACACGTGTATCGCAACTAACATACCTGACCCAGCTGGTGTGTGAACTTCTTCACTGGACTGTCCAGACTGGACACCGGGAAGAAGATGCCGCTCTCAAATCATTTGTAGATACACATCCCACCTGGAGGCTTGGACTCTTCTTTCGCCGCAACATGGTTGAGTTTCGTTGCGACGTAGACCCAGGTACCACATTTCTTCAACACCTCGCCGTGGAGCCTGGAGCCTGGAGCCTGGGCCAACGCAGTCTGCCAAACCATGGTGATGTCATTGGGCCTAGCCGGTCGGTTCCATCCAGAAGTTGTGTCGAGCGGGGAGAAGATGGCGACGAGCATGATATAATATGTGGGCTCGCCGGTGGATTACGTGGTAGATCATCCGGCTACGAAGTTGGACGACGCAGTGCTCTACTGCATGGCAAAGGGGTTGAGCCCCGGCTGGAACGTGACGTTGGTCCACTTGAAGTTGGGGCCGAACCAGCGGGACGAGATGTCGGGGCGCGAGTGGTAGTGGACGGGGCCGGAGTCTATGGCGATGCAGTTCCAGGCGCGCTCGAGGACGTTGAACTGGACCACGATGCCGTGCCCGTAGGCCTGCAAGTAGAGGCACTGGTCGTCGCTGGCCAGGCCTTCGACGATCTCCGCGTCGTGGATGTCCTCGTCGGGGCCGCGGCAGAGGTCTGTGATCTGGAACGAGTCCGGGTCGATGCGGTGGATGTGGATGCTGTGGCGCGCGATGTAGGAGGGGCCGTGGATGGCCTCGGGGAATTTGAAGCTCTGCTGGGGCCGATCGCGGTTGTTCATCATGACGAGCAGCACTTGCGCGTCGCACACCACGAGCCCGCACTGGTACACATCGTCCTGGTCCTCGAACGGATGAGCCAGCACCGTCCACCGTCGTCGTCTGGCCTGGTACGCAAACAGGCGCAGATTCTTGAAGGACTTGAAGCCGCTGTTGGCCAGCACGAAGAACAGAGTGCCCTCGAAGAACGCACTGCTTACCTTTCGCAGGTCCCTCGGCACCAGAGGCCCTAGGTTGTCCGTGGTCCATGAATCGGCAACGCGACTGTAAATCTCGGCGCAAAGCGCGCTGCGAGGGCTTGTGAATGGTGCCGCTTCGTCGACCACCATGTTCCTGTCATCTTGCGTGATGACTATGACCTCGTAGTCCTTCAACCCTAATCGCACCGCGTGAACGATGTCCAGCATCGGGCGCGATGGCGTGTTGGTGTTGGGTAATTTGTGCCACCTCCTGAGAAATGGATTGGTGACATGAATGAAGAGATCTCCGCCGCTCCAGCCCCCTTGGTGGAAGCATAGAAGAGATCCTGCACCGCCTCCCGAGAGCCAGCGCACTTTGCTTATGCCCGGAAAGTAGGAGATTTTGAACAGCTTGTGCCAGCGCTTGGAACGGCGATCGTAGCCGATCAGCCACTCGCAGCTCCAACTCCAAAACACCGGGCAGTACGACTCCCATCCCGCCGATAGAGAGCTGATTTCCGACTGGAACGAGAGTGATCGAGTTATCGCTTCGTCCCACTTTTTGGACAACACTCGAGTTCGAAATAGACTCCTAAGGGGCAGTCTGGCGAAGATTTTGTCCAGCAAAGCGTCTGGAAGTTCGCTCCATAGATCTGAATTCATGTCTTCCCGACTGCCGCTTTGGGCTTTTTCGTTCGCCGAATCAATGCTCAGCCGCTGAAACTCTTGTTCGAGCGGGGAAGAGCAAGTCGCTTCCATATTCAAATCTACAAAGTGGAAATTTGCGCTGAGAACAGCAGGTCACTCACTACCTACAAGATATGCCCTCCTCTCCACATGTCTACTGCCCTGCAGATGGCTCTAGGCCGCACTTCCAAGTCAGTTGCACGCCATCACCAATTTTCAACCCTCCATGTGAATTCCGTTCCTGCGAAGCTAAGTTGGTCGTGCGGCAGATAGCTTAGGCTCTGAGAAGTAACTGCCGCAAGTTGTTCAAATGAAGTTTAACGGTAAACTCCAAGAATTCTTCCAGAAAGAATGGAATGTTGCAAGGACTCGCATCGAGTGTCCAAACGGAAACTTGGATTCAACCCTTACAGGACAAAGTTCTTTCAAATGTACATGCTCTTCAGTGTACTGAATGAGGACTGCACGATAGAGTTTTTCTCCATGACTGGATTGTATACGGCCCGTGTCCACTCATACCTGGAATGGACATCGGACGATCATTGTGGAATGTGTCGATTATGGAATAGACACGGCGGGACTTCAGCGCAATGGAGATCTAGACATCCGGTCTTGTTCAGACATCAGTCTTCTTCACCATCCGAGACTCTTGTAGGCAGCTAGGCAGCTTGTCTTCGAACTTGGAAAGAGAACTCACGCCCCAGGGCGTGGGACGACTGATCTTCCCCTGATGAAGCAGACACAAGTCCATGCGAACTTGGAATTCTTATGAGACTAAAGCATCGCACAGAGAATTTTTCCACTCGATGTGTATCTGTGGCTCATGAAGTCATCATGGCCGCTTGAGCTCAGGGACTGAATGGATCCGAGTCCCGACAACAGTCCCCCAAATGTTAAGCTTCATCCCCGAACATTGAAAGACAGAAGCATTCCTCTTGCGCTTCAGCGTTTTGAGACTGTCATGTAGCAATCCACAATTGAAGCTCTAATAGGCACATGCCTTTTGAACAATGCCCTTGACTGTCCGTCCAATTGTATGGTATCTGCCCATGTTCGCGTTCACACAGGCCCGAGAATCGACATCATTAGAACTCTCAAGTTTGTCTCGAGAGGCAAGCGTGTCAGGTTTTCCCATTCCGCTGAATCCACTATACCCATCTTGGATTTGGCATGTGCCAGCGGTTGATTCACGTGTATCAATCGAATATTTTCGTTCGGCATACGAGCTGATAATTCTCCTCGGAAAAATACGTTTTGGCATATGATGCCAGGGGAGGTGTCATCGCAGCGTATTCTAGGTCTGATCGCTGGTGGATTATCCGAAACCTAGCCAAGTAAGCAAAACTCCAGCCTCTATTTATTTTCTTCGTATTCTGTTTTCAACGGTGGCTCGTCTCAATTGAAAGTGAGAGACGAGGCAAATGCTGCAGATGATCAGAACAAATTCTGATGCTTGCTCACTGCCCGCACACTCACAATCTTGATTGAAATACAGTTTTCATTCCAGCCTACGGTACTGCTGAAATATTCGCACGACTCAGATCGCGTTCGACTCAGCTCCGCATACGTCACTTCACAGCATATTATCAACGACATTCTCGAGATTTGTTTTCTGAGAAATTTTCCTCCATCCAGACAGAAGTTTGAAGGTCCTTCGAGGTCCTTGAGACACACGAGCGACTGCAGCAGCTTGAGGGATCCTCTATGCAATTACAGCTTCGAAACTTGTGATCTTGATGTGATGGCAGCAGCGAGATGCGAAGGCCCTCAGCGAATCGGCACAAGCGAAATCTGGCGCATTCCTCGTGCGAGCATCCGAACGAAGGTCTCTTCCGACCTCTTCCAATCTTCATTATCAGCCAGATCATTCATTCTCCGCCGAGAGCAGCAAGGGCCGGGCCTGCTTGAAATCATGGCTACGTTCATGTGCAGTTTGACCTGGGAGATGCGAACAGGTGAAAGTAATTTGCTGCCAAATGGACCGACGACGTACTAATATTTATGACTGCGTTCATATGCGAAATTCAGGCTGAAAAATCAGGTTTCTGAGAATTGTGGAGAGATTTTCTCTTCAGCTTGTCTCAATCATCCATCCCTGCATGTCGACGGCTTCTCATGGCACATAGAACTCCACCCCCGTTGCCTGTGGATCTCGATCCCTTCGTATGGCGACTGTTGCCTCGAGACATTTTCGAACGAATAATGGAGAGACTACCGTTTGAAGACATCATACGATTGCGTGGAGTGTGCAAAGCGTGGAATAGAGTAATACTGTCGATGCGTTCTGGTCCTTTCAACCCGAAACCAAAACAAATACTCCTGTGCAGCCCGAGCGGAGGTGGTCTCAACCTCGTCAGCTGCAATCTTCAAGACAACATTCGAGAAGAATGGACGCCAATTCACCTCGATCGCCTCCTCGGACCGACCGGGGGGCTTTGCTTGGTCGCTGCAGGAATCGGATTGCTGTGCTTCTGCACCCGAAATGCCGGTCGATTGATCGTATTCAACCCTATATCCAAGGCCTGCAAGCGGTTGCCTCCGGCCATTGTGAGCAACGGAGTCAATCCGCAAACCATTTTCAAAAACTTGCACTGCCCGCGGGGGCAGAATCCACATGCATTTTTCAAGGATTACTCCCAAGAATCGACGTCGAAGCTCGATGTTCCGGACCTCACCGGGAACATCATGGTGACTCTGATCACCTACAGGCAGGCGGGCGACTTTCGGGTTGTGGTTGCGGGCAAAGAAGACGCGAACCAGACTCTGCAGGTGTACGACTCCGCCACGGCGGCTTGGAGGATGGTGAGGCATGAATCTATCAAAGCCAGGCTCAGGTTTGAGTGCGAGATGGTTTCATGCGATGACTCTCTGCACTTCATCGAGGATGACGACGGCCGGGAATCGGGCGCGTGGCATGTGATCACGTACCACATGGGCGACAACACGTGCTACGAAGTGACTCCGCCTCTGCAGTCCCTGGTCACCCGAGAGCACCAGCACGATCAGCATTTTCAAACCACGCAGCGGCCCCAGCTGCTGGTGATCCACGGCCGCCTGTGGCTAATCGTCGAAGGTTTTCTGAACTGCAGCATTTGCTTTTGGGAGCTGGACGACGCGGGCATCTCCTGGCGATTGGTCAAGGAGATTTCCAGGGATTTGTATTACGGCACTATGGCTGTTTTGCACAAATGTGTTGCTTTGCAAGGGGCCATCTACTTGCGGGTGTTCGACGTCCTCGACGACGGATCCGTGCAGCTGGTCATGCTGGTTCACGACCTCTCTTCCAACACCTGGTCGTTTCTGAACGATCCCGAGGGTTTGGACGGAAAGTATTTTCTTTACCACAGTTTTGTGTTCGAACCCTCTCTCAACGCCATGGCTTGACTCTGACATTCCAGCTCTTCAAGGTTTTGCCCAAAGTTTAAGCAGATTTGACAGCGTTCAGATCACTGTGCGCATTCCGGCCTCTTGTCTATACAGCCGCCGCTTTCTACAACAAAGCCTGCAGCGGTTGTGGAAACTTCTTGTCGAATATTATGTGCAATCGCGGCTGTCCGCATCCTGGATACATCGCATTTATTTCCGGGTGTGATTGGATGCAAAGCATTCTGTGCGCTAGTGCAGTCTTTCCGTACAAGTTCCAACCGATTCGGTGACTTCTACTGACCTTCCAAGTGTATCAGTGGGAAATAATTTCTCCTTTATGCAACTTATGCAAGTCACTGCTCGTGGAGCTAAGCCCCGGCAAGAGAAGACACTTGCCCTTTGGTCCAAGAAACTACAAGTCTTCACACAGTTCAAATACAAAATGGTCTACAACACTACGCTCTGTATGAATGAGAGTAAGTTATCAAAGCCCAGCTCCAACCTTCTCCAGTTGATAGGCAGAAAAACCAGAAAGTGAAACGGACCAGCACAAGGTTCGAATTTGTTGACCGATGCCCTGGAGGGCGAATGCCTTCCACCCACATGGGAGGGAATTCCTCTGGTGCTCGCAGAGTACCTCCGGGCATTTGCTCTGCAAAAGCCAATAGCTGTTGATCTAGCACAAATACCTCACCATTATCCCAGGAAATCATATGTGCTGTATGGTAATTTTTATAAGACCAGCCGCCACTTCCATACTACTCACGGAAATAAACCTTCTAGGGTTATATACCCACCGGGCACTACATTTGGTAGTAGCATGAAAGGGTGGCCCGAACGGCTCGGGTATCGGTGGCTGATTACATAAAGTCTCAACCTGTAGAACATAATGACCGTGGTGGGGGCGACAGCCACGGCCGTGGGGAGCGCGAGCTACCGCCGCTTACTCCGCGATGCTTGGGGGGTTTGTAACGCGATGATCGCAGCTATTTTAGAATCAAAGCAAAAAGAGATGAGTGAAATTGAATGAGGCAGCTGGTAGAGCTCCACAATAGTCGGGGTGACCATGAAGACAACGGTGCTCAAGAATTTGGTTACTGACAAAGCTATTGGTCCGTACGGTATCATGGCTGTTACCACTTCGACAACACTTCACTCCGAGATCTTTCATTGGAGAAACCTGACAATGATACACCTGGGAACACAACACCGTCCCCGATCCAACAAACAACTGACAGTAGAGGAGACAGGAAGGAAGATCCCATTCATTTGTGATTTCAACTCTTGCAGGTGAAGAGGAGGAGCGCCCTCTTCGTCTGCCAAACAGAGAGCAAGGAGAACAGTGGGCACGCAGATCGCTTACCAACTTAGGTGTATTCATATAATGAAACGCTTCGATCATCCGACACACTTGCAAGTCTACCGACACGCACACCATCACCTCCAGGGGGGCGGAATGCCACCGACCACACTTGGTCATTATGGTCACTCATGGTTTGGACAGCGGCTCTCATATTGAGATCCCACAATCGAACTGTCCGATCACTGGATCCAGTGGCGAGACAGGAGCCATCAGGGCTCACATCTACACTCAGCACCCAACTGGCATGCCCTGAAAAGGCACTGATTAAACTTCTACTCTCCACATCATACATATGGATGTGCTTGTCATCCGACACGGTAAACAAAACCCTTGTATCTATTGGAGAAAAGGCCATGGACCGGACTGGCATCGAGTGCCCTTCCAAAGTATGTAAAAACTTACCCCTCACTGCATCGAAAATGGCAACAACTCCATTCATTGTACTGCATGCCAGCCTCTTGCCATCATTACTCCATGCCACTGCCAATACAAACTTTCCTGATCCACTATGTCTTTCTGTCGGCCTGACATCATTGGCCTCTGCATTCGGAATTGTGAGAGGTGTCTCTATCCTCCAGTTGTTCGTATTCCACAGTTTCACAGACCCACTGCCCCCACCGGCTACCGCTAGAAAATCACCCTACAAAACAATCCGATCATCCCATATTATAAAGATGCTTGCGTGCCCTAGGATCATAGCTGTCAGTCTATGCCACGGGTTCGACTTTTGAACAGTTTTGTGAGTGCAAGAACAAAGCTACGAATTGTAGCACATCGCGCAAGGGTACTCTTCAGATCCTTCGCTCGGGTCGGGGTTTACAGAAAATAAATCTTATCAAGCTGTAAGGTTCGAGCACTTGGCACACCATGTAGACAGACTGAGGCAATGACAATCGAGACACCCATCTTTCTATTGAGCACTACTTCGTCACTGCATGGAAAAAAACAGGAGATGATATCATTCTGTTTTCCGACGTGAAAATCTGGCGGGACAAGGGTTCTAGAGAATGGTGGCACTTCGTAGCGAGCAAGGTCAAACCCCCAGAATGTGTGAGAAAGATAGATACTCTGTTTCACTTCTACAGTCACTTCGGCAGATAGTCATCGGTGAAAGAAACCAGTATTTGAGCTGTACTACATGGAGATTCTGAGCAACTCATCTTGTGAACAAAAAATAATGTTTGAAGAGATAGTCTGAAAGAAGCTGTACAACATGGACTTTCTGAGCAACTCATCTTTTGTGAACAAAGACTAAAGTTTGAAGAGATGGTCTGAAAGAAGGTACTCGCTGCCTTCGGATAGAGGGATCGATTGCGAGTCGACCACATGACCTGGCCGTCTTGTCTAACTAACCCTAAAATCAAGGAAGAAAACAAGAACAAGAGAAGGAAAACGGATGAGAGCAGTCTTCGTACCTTAGGATCAAACTGCATAAGCCAGGCTTCCGACGGCGAGGTTTCCAGGGTTGTGATGGTGGCATTCGTGTCAACATCAAAAACTCGAACGAAGCTGTCTAAAGATGTCGAGGCCGCCATAGAGCCCGAGGGATGGGCGGCCACCGAAACAACTCCCAGAGCATGCCCTGTGTTGGTGCGTTCCAGCTCCAACTCGTCTCCCTTCCAGATTTTCACGCTCTCGTCCACGGAACCGGTAATCAGCAGAGCCCCTCTGTCTGCAGTGGCCGGTGCCCATGTGGCAGCCCATATTGAATCGTGATGCGCATTGGCCAAATTCTTGAGGCTTCTAATCTTCATATTACCTTCTCACATAGAGCAGGCTCGAGTTCCCTTTGCCGACTCCAATCAGAAAGAAGTTCAACTCTGAAGATCAAATTTCTCTTCGCGATGACAGGACACAACCGAACATGAAGGGAGGGCAGCAAGCCAGCCGTGCAACGACCTCCTCCCTTCCCGAAGAGGGAATCAGTACGACAGGCAGAAAGAAGGACGAACCTCCCTTCTCGCACAATGGTTTTGTTTCTCTGTCCTCCTTCACCAATCTCTGCTCTCCATCTCTCTTTCTCACGTGCTTTTTCTTCGCCTGCTTCAAAATGTCGCCCCAACTGAGACAACTAATTATCCCTCGGCCAAATCATCTTCCGCTCGTGGGCTTCCTGTTCGGGGCAGCCTTGTACCGCTCCTCGCCTATCGCTTCTTTCTTGATCCGCCTTTCCTCGAGACGCTCGCTCGCTTCCGCGGTACTACGTACAGCACTACTACCGCCACCCCAGTACTGCTGTGACAGATTACTCCGTATGAGCTCAGAAAGTAAAAATGCTATAAAGGGTTGGTAGTTTTAATCCGATGCTCCTCCGTTCTTCTGTCGTCCTGGCTGGACTCAGGAGTCACACCGCTGTTGTGTTACGTTTACGAACGAACGGAGTCGATTTGTTGGACTGGACTCCGCGGATGAGATCATGGGAGTGAACTATAGGTAACATTCGCTTTAAGTCCCCATTCAAATAAGTACTCATAATTTTTTGCAAAAATACAGGATAAAAATTTTAGTACTTCCTCAATGCATATAGTCGAGTGGAGCTCAACCCGTGCCGAAACCTAGCAAATCATACCTAAGAAGCCTTGAATTTATACTCTGGTATTTCTAAAGCAATGACGATAATTTTTGCGTTATAACAAATAATATTGGGAAGAAATGCAAGTCACATACAACGACAAGCTTCAATCCATTGGAGTTCAAGAAACCTCCCATGAGATGAACAAAATGTGGATTCTTGGGTAGGTTGATCTACTTTTAGAGTTCTTTCACGGATTTCATCTTTATTGGACTTCAACTTTCGAATTTTCTTCTCATCCATTCCAAATTGAGAAGCAATAATACTCATTGATGGAAGATTTTTCTGTTCTAACAATGAGATTGTCTCCATTTGCTGCTTGTCATTGAAACGATCACCCTCTCCTCTGCGCTTAACGTCTCGCAAGCTCATTTTGTTATATAAAAAACAGTCGAAAACTTGATCAACGAACGAGTTTTGCTCCTAAGAACTTTAATTCCGCAATAGACTCTCCAGATCATAATTCGGACTTAAGCGAACGAGTTTTGCTCCTAAGAACTTTAATTCCGCATTGGACTCTCTAGATCATAATTCGGACTTAAGCGAATGTTTAGTGTATTAAGTAGAGTTCACTACTAGCCATGAAACTTACATCGTTTACGAATGAACAGGTCAATTTCCTGGACTAGGCTCCAAGGATGAGATCATGGGAGTGAACTATGCAGTAGAGTTTACTACAAGCCATGAAAGTTACACCTGTCTTCTGTATCTCGCAAGTAATAGTTGCTCAAATTTTTGAGCCGAGTAAATATCTTTCATCATTTGACAACAACGTTATTTCCAATATGTCCATGTCCTCCGCGGAATTGTTTAATTTCGCACTTATCACAACCATGTACGGATTTTGTGACTTGACAAGAATTTTCTCGTTAAGTATCGACTTCCTGATACAGTGACTCCTACTATTATCGCTACATGAGGATTTGAGTCACAATTGGTTAAAAATATGATGGATCTCATTGTACAAGTTCAAAATGATAATCTACTATATCAGTATCATATATAGTTATATCTTTTAGCTACTTTATTTACATATATAATAGATTTACTTCATATTCTTGAAATAAGTGTTAATGAGAACTTAAATCAAATTAGTTTAGGACTTTCTGTTATAAACTATAAAGTATTGCAATACTTCAACAATGTTGTAGACTCAATAAAATTTCATGTTTGTGTGGGAGTGCTTAAGAAATATGAACCATGGATATTCTCGACATTATGTTTTTGTGAATAATCTATCGTATTTTCTTGTTATAATTAGTATCAAAATTTGTAATTTGTAATTCGGTCATGGAATTGAGTCAAGCATATTTTTAGGTCATCAAATCTATTGTGGTTTGACAAGGCATAAGACTGCTAACTTTAGTGTACGTTTTGTCGTCATTACATGTTGTTGAGAAGTCTCGAGTAGAAGAAATTGATGGTATCATGGATGTAGCTGCCGAGCCTTCATCAAGATTGTAAATATACCAGACGTGACATACACAACCAACAAAGTCCTAGTAGTGATGGCGGTGCCTTGGATTTGCTTGGAGTATATACATTGGGTCTCAAAACATTGTACTTCACACTTGTCAACATCAGATGCATCATGCTCTTGCTTCATGAATCATGATATGTTTCTTTGACTTTAAAATGTACTTCAATCTTGTTTCCGTTTTGATTTGAGCTATTCCATCAATTTTGATATTTGTTCTGTTTAAAAGAGTTACGTCTGCAATAGTTTGACAACAGTGATTCAAAATCTTGTCCTTTTTTAGTTTTTTTTTCTTTTTAATATTTATGATTTAAAAAAATCTTATTCTTGTCATCACTTTCATTGGAAGTATTTTTTGCTTGCAAATCAAAATTTAAACTAACATACATCTTTGTTTGATAACAAGTAGAACAAATGTGAATATTAAAGTCATTTGAGATCTTCTTGTTTGTTGATTGTGATTAAAACGTTTTGAACAAAGTTCAAAAACCTGATTTATGTGTTAAATTTGCTTCAATTCAAGACACAAGACGCAAGTTTTAATCAAGGTGTTTTTGTTAACAACATATGAAGCGCTGCAAAAACTTCAAGAAAAGAAGAGATTTTGAGAAACTTCAAGAATTAACTTCAAGATATTCAAGGTGTGTACTGACGATCATATCTCCGATCTTACAAGAGACAAAAGAATCAATGATTGATTTGTCTAACAAATTTGACGGCTATTGATTAAAGTTTTGGAGTTTTGTGAACCAAATCCAACTAATCATTTGTATGCAGCTGTTATGATACCCTATTGAAAATATTCAAGTTAGACTTCTTAGAACATTGCTATCTCAAAATATTAAATTGTAATATTTGCCACTTCTAGAGAAAAACTCTCCATTATTTCAAGATTTTGATGACTTTATTCAAGGGTTGATCTATAATTTTGGCAAAATTGACAAAGAAAAATTGCCAACAACACAGATTTGTTTGTTGTAGCAATAAACACGTGGACCCTTATTTTACCTTACAAACTTTTGACAACTTGTTTATGACGCGAACTGAGATCACAACGTCCTTATGAGATTTTTTGTTGGAGATTGCATGATATTGTTAGAAATTTGTTGAGTATTTCCAATCCAATCACATTATTTGAAATTATAATACAAGCATGTGGTTTGACAATTGGTTCCTTGAGTGCCGGCTGTGGATGGCAATTGACATAAGACTCGAATTAGCACTTTAAGATCAAAATTGAAAGTGATAACATTCGAAGCAACAAAACTAAAATTAGTATCACTCAAAATGAACAAAATAGAAGTAGCATTGACACTGAATAGTAGGTATAATTGGTAATAATTTTGATACATTGTATATCAAAACGATGGACGATGTACAAATCTCTCTATTTTATGCGGCTGGAAAACTTCAAAGTTTACACTGGCTTCAAAGTTGAAAAAAATTTGACATTCTACTCCAAATTGACATCTACTCATCCATCTTGGCATCTTTAAACGAGACTTTCTAGGCGCACTAAAATTATCACTCCAAGACACCAAACTAATTCTCTATGACTCGCATAACTCTCATAATATAAACCACAAAAAATGAAGATGGATGAAGGTTGACACCAATCCCACATTGTTATTGCTACGGTATGTCACTTTTTTAATGTCATTGTTACTGTTACGTCCGTGATATCATTCTTTTCAAGCAACAAGATTTCACAAGTTATTCTATTTGTCTTATTATAAACAAAAACTAAAAATCTATTATAAAAAATCTATGTGATAGTCACATGATTACAATCCGAGTTAATGTCTACATCCGTTTAATTCAAATATTTTGGGCTCTTAGTTTTGTTAGATATAGACAATAAATTCTTTTATCATTTTGTGAACATGCTTCTAATCTTTATAGCAAGATTAGCCATATGTTTTAAAATTCTGTCAGTTATTTCATACCCTTTCCAATCTACAAGATATTTTAATATTTTTCAATTGATGCAAAAGCTCATAGTTTTAGAAATTTCAAATTTTTTCTTCTTCTTTAATCTCAATAAATGTCGCAACTGTTGACAACCTTATCAAAATAGTTGATTTTTTCTATACAATTCAAATAGAAAAACATAAAACATTGGATAAATTTCATAAACGATGTCATGTCTCACATTTATGCTACCTTGTTGACTTACTTACTCATCAAAGAAGGTTCAAGACAACAATAGTCAATTTTGTTGCTTAGTTGGCGAGTTTTCAGATTGCAACGCAAAAGCCAAACTTTTAATTCCAATTTAGACGTTTGAATTTTTCTTTTGAAAATTTTGGATTTTGCTTTTGAGATTTATCTACATTTTTCATCTTTCGTTTTTAAACTTCTACTAGTCTTTTCTTCATGTTTGTAGATCTCCATGATCTACAAACATGAAGACAAGACTAGTAGAAGTTTCTGAAAAATTGTAACCATAATTTTCATCTAAAAAATTTAATCATTTCAATTATTAGAATAAAATCAATAATAAACATAGATAGATTAACACATTTTATAATATATTATTTCATATATGAAAATATATATAACTTTATTCAATAAAATTATTTTTCTTGTAACAATATAATTTAATATATCTAGATTTCAAAATATAGACATATTTTTTCAATTTCCACATATGTATTTTTTCAGAGAGTTATGTTTTTTAGTTTATAAAAAATGCTTCTTCTAAGCATTCAAATAAAATAAATACATTCATGTGTCAACCGAAAATCATGAACACATAATGACCTGACAATAGACAAAAGACATCAAGATGTAAGGTGTTTCACCACAAAGTGTTGCGTCCATGGGAAAATATATGCGTGAGAGTTATGAATGTAATGTGTAATACACAAATCTTAGTTATAAATAAACTCACACCGGCTAAAGTCTTAGCTATAACCTGAGGTTACTCATTAATTGGGGTTCACCTCGATAATAAAATTGTTGAGAAACAAAATATTTTCATAGATTAAATGTAGAGTATGTAATGAAGATATAAAATTGAGATACTAAAAATTCGAAATATAATTTTTTAATGAAAGCTTTGAATAATAGTGAAAACATGCCAATAGGTAAGTTTATGGCTATTAGACAAATCAATCAAGAACTGAACACAAGAAGAATTCATAAATAAGTCAGATTTTGCATTGCACTAGAAAGACATTCATTCACTTATAAAAAATAAATAAATCACTTCTACTAGAAGCAAATCAATATGATGATCCAGAATAAGCTGATTAGTGCATAGTTTTATCCGTTAATTGGCAATCTTGTTCAAATTTAATCTTTTTGTCAGAAGCAGACCTGTACCATGGAGTGATCATACATTGTCTTTGCTGGTTAAATATAACATTAACGTAGCTGATGTTCGGAGCGTCAGTAGAGTTTAATCTTGCATATACTTCTATCTTAATTTCGCTCAATTCTCATCTCTATCATTGTCTCAATCTTTCGAACTGCGTTATAGAAGACTTGGAGTGCTTCTGCTGCTTGAACTTTTGAATGTTCAGCGATTCTTGGGAGTTATTTGATTGTATCTACTCGCGCTTGTCCCTACCCTATAGGGCTATTACTTTTAGTCAAGTTAGACAAGTGTACGTTTCTTCCACCCAAATACTGAGCACGCCTTCTACATGGTGTTAGCCCCCACATTCCTATTGTATTGAAACTTGTACCCCATCTTACTATATATGTTAACTAACAAGATAATAAGAATCGAATGTATACAATGAATTTGACAGATATCCTCATTTGGCATCATAATATTAACCGTTTGTTTAATGTTACATACTCTTTACAGAATGTAAATTGACCCAAAGATAGCCGTGACAATCATGTGGAGCAAATAAATGCCCGGGTAAGCGAAGCTCTCAAACTGGTCACCAGTATGTCATCTTCTTTTCCTCACCTTGTACTAAACTTCTGTCTCATAGTTGACACTTCACACATCCTCATAATCTTGCGAATCAAAATTTGAAAGTATCTCATCGATGAACAAATTATTTTTTTCATTGGAAGTGTAAATATAAATAACATAACATCTTACACATTCTTACACTCAACACTACGTAACAACACGTTCATCGAGGATTGTGATAGTGGATCGAGGAAGTAAACGATATACATGTGATCTTAGTCAATACTAATCTCTCCCATAAACTGTAGAGTTCCTAGCAACTGCTTGCACTACAAATCATTCCAGTTTTCAAACCATGCAGGCAGAATAACTGATGCAGCTTTGAAACAAGTTTCTGACTATCCGAATTCAAAGACAGAACCATCGGTTGCTGTGAAGCTAAAAGAAAGCATAACAATGTAGTACACAAAGACGTAGAGTTTGTAGAGAATAATTGACTATAAAGGGATTCCTTGATAGATGTAGTCAAAGTGAGTTGGGTACTAGTCAGATGAATTCATTGCTCAAACTATATCACAGAAAATAGGCTCAAAGCTGGATATACAAGATGCGAACGAACTTTACAGTCTGCTACTAAATGCTGTGTATAACTGGCAAAATATTGAATGACGGGATGAGAGGACATAGAACGATAACCTCACGCTCGCTGCAAAAGTTAAGTTTAGAAAACTTCTGTCTCGCATATTAGGTTCATTTGGTTAGTCGTATCCATAAAGCACAAGGCATTGGTTGGTAGGCAGCGAAGACTACCACCAGTCAATTTGTGTGCGGACAAGGTGAAGAATGATCCACAGCGGACGCTTAATGATCAATTAACTACCGCAGCACAACAGCAAGGAAGCAAACGAAGAGCGAAAGAAATCTTTCTCTCTTCCGAAAGACGAACTAAGATGATGTCGACAGACGAAAAAATACATATGATATACGACGAATGTAATATAAGAAAAGCCAAGTTTAGGTGGAAACTCTACATAACTGAAGCACCCCTGAGAACCGATGAACTGACAGAGAGACCAACCTAGCGTCTATAACTTTCTATTCTAGTCAATGATTTCATGAAGACCTTCTTATATCTTTTCTACACACTCCGAGCTTGAAGCAGAGAAACACTGATGGCACATCCTAAGGTAGCAAGATCACAATTTCTTCCGGATGTAATATATCTCATACTTGAAAAGAATGTTCATGATCCAGTTCTGCCAAAATTGTTTCTCTCCATTAAAAGTAACTTTCACTGATTTCACATCATGTCGGTATGATATCATAAGCATGTAACTGCAATCTATCCTCAAAAGTCTCAGCCGCTATGAAAATTTCCTGAAAATACTATGAAAATGTATGGACAGGGAAAGTCTACGTCTTTTATTTTCTGATAGTAGGTCTGACTTCACTGACAAGCATGCAGGAAATTCAAGTCTCTCGATGGCAATACTTGTATCTCTTCAGTTGTTTGCAGATCCAGTGGGCTGCATGTTATGTAAACCATTTGCCATGTTAGCCCAATCCTCTTCTTGCGCTTCTTCAAGTGCAGTCTTCGCCACTGGCCTCCCTTCAAGCATTTCCTTTCTTCGTTTCGCTTTCTCCTCCGAGACCAAGTCAGCCTGCAAACAGACATGTTCTTCGATGAGCTTCGATGTATAGTCAGCTAAGAATTTAGAGAACTGAATCTGACAAAAATGCAGGTACTGAGGAAACAATAAACATGGCATTCCGTCTACGAAATATTCAGTACATGAGGTATATCCAGAAGGCAGATATCTGTAAGAAGAGAAGAACTTTACTACTAACTTCGACAACAAACTTGAAGTATACACTGAATGAGATGATTGCACACTTTACTTCACTATACAAAGACCTGATGAGTGAATTACACTAACCTCCACAATATCACGAGCCCAAGCCTCAGAAAAGCCTCGATCCAACAATTCCAACACTCGCCATGCAAATTGTCGGGCAATCGGTGCTTCAAAGCTGTTCAAGCTGTTTCAGCCACATTTCACGATCCATTACAGAACAGATGATCAGTAGAAAGTTCAGAACCCTATAAAACTCGTCGTAAGCCTCAAAATGACCTCCTGGTGTAGTAGAAATATGTACACGTGTACCAATATGCAAAAACACAAGAGAGCGACCACTTTCAGAGAAACAAACAGAAAAAAATCACAAAGCAGAATTTGAAAACCTGGCTGTAGAAAAAGAAATAGAAAATACACAACCATCAAATCGTGCGACAGAAGATATGGCTTAGCTTACTGCGCCGTACATCCCGCAATAACACAATTCCAAACCAAGGCAAGATACAGAAACTTACTCAAAAGCTTTACATCTAGCTTCCGGATAACGTGCGAGATATGACTTGATGAGACGATCTTCGGGCAATTCAATTTTCGGAGCCTTGCCGTCGCGCACACGAATCGATTGTGGTGGAGAACTGCGTGGTAAAAATCAGAGAGTTACAAGAATTGCCCCGAATTTGGTCGGATAGGAGAAAAGCGAGAATAATCAATGTTGATGTCCCCATATCACACTTCAGAGCTGATCAGATTCAAAAACACGACTCAGATGCTGAGTTCTCCAGCAACGGGGAGAGGAGAAACATTGGGACATGATCCATCGACTCCGACGAGCGACGTACTTAGCCACGGAATCAAACCACAGTGGTTTCTTGATGACACGTCCCTTGATGAGACGCCGGGTCCTCATAAGAAGATCTCCCTTCATGAACGACATTTTCCTTCACAGGCCTCCCTCTGTTGGGCAATGTACCACACATCGACTCTTTGCTCTCGCTTTTCGCCCGTGCATCTCCGACGATGCAACAACACTTCTCTCGTCTGCGGGGCCGGAAACCGCATGTGAAATGCGGCATATTTGTCCGTTTGTCCCTATTTGCGCAGTTTCTTTCTCGTCCTACTGCTGTTGCGTCCACTTCATTCTCTGCATACTGTTTCTCCTGTGTCTTACTACACGAAGCTGTAGCGCTTCACAATATTTTACTGAACCTGGCCGCGAACATTCATCTACACAAGATTTTATGCCTCATTATAAAGTATTTCCCTCTATACCATTTTAGGTACATTATACGATGTACCTAATACTCTTGTTCAAACACAAGACAATGCTTCCGAGTTGTGATTACCGACTCTCTATACTCTCTCTTGGATGCGCCGAGATTGAAGGTAGTCTTCGTTGTATTCCTCATCTTAGATGGATGTATCCACTACTCCGATTAGGCCAATCCGACGAAGAGCACAATATTTGGGTGGCATTTTCCCGCATGCTCACATAAATTGTTGGGATAAATTAGGTGCAGCGGTGCATTTTTCCCAATGTGATGATGTTCGAACCTAGATCCATCCTACCTCTTTAATTTCATCCATTTTCTACTTGATGGGGTCTTCCCATCTCTTTTCTTCTTGCTATCCTCTCTTGCTCAGCCTAAGTTGATAGAGTCTCCAGGTTTCGTTGAATATACGCATTTTCCTTGTTTTATTTTTCCATATTACTCTTGGGAATTCAGAAAGAATGTGGTAAGGATGAATTTTTTGCTGTTAGTAGAAAGCTGGACAAAGCATTGGTTCGATGCATATTTACGCCCAAAGTCATTCTCCCTTACCAGCAATTCATCCCATCCATTTCATTGCCTGGTTGCAGGGATTTGGATCGAAGTCATGATGACGGAAGGAGCTTGGATACACGTTCCACCTTCAGAGCTAACGAAATCAATTCTTCTGAATATTTACAAACACGCAATCTGTCGTGGGCCTTATGAGCCTTCCAATTTGCAAACTATGTATCCACCTTCCACAGATTCTTGACACTCGCTGGAACGACGGGCTGGTCTAAAATCTAAACCACTTCCTCCTCAGCCCTCCATAGGTCAGTTCAGTTGAAGCTCGTGCACTTGTGCACGAGCATCACTTCTCTCGCCTCTCCTCCTTCGAGCGGGAGAAGCTTCCGGGTGGACTGCCACATACTGAGCAAGGAGTTCATTCTTCCGTAGGGAGTCACTCTCTGTTCAAGCGTGAGGAGTCAATCAACCAAATGTTGTGGGCATGCTCTCCATGAGGATTCGAAACTCGATCCGAGACCATTCTCTGACTAAACCAGGCTTCTTCGACAAGCTGCAACTGCAAGACGAAGGTTTCACTTGTCAAGGCCCATGGCTGCTTTTCAATAAGCCCTCCTCAATTCAATCCGGAAACAACCTGACCATGATCTCAATCTCCAAACGAAACGGGATCATCCTCCGTCAGCAAACATTCGTAGCTGGAAAGGGCAAAACGAAGTGCTCCGTACCCGATGTAGAGGCACACAATCTGGACTCTTGTCTTCGTCTTCTAACCATTCGTTCGAGCCTGGGACTTCCTGCAGTATCGACGCCAGGTCATGCATGAAGAGACTAGAAATCATCGATGAACATTTCACTGAAGCCTGCTACACAATAAATTGCGCAGCTTGATGCAACCGGATGGGCAGTATACATGAGTACTAAGTCCTCATCCGTTTGCTGCCGATGTTTGTCACTCCCGATCCGGCTAGCCTGTCAGAAAGAGCTTACATGTCACGGCAGCGGAAGCCTTTCCATAACACCAGGTGCTGCCACGGATGGAATGACCTTGCCCTTCGGAAAAGAACCAATGCTATCCAAAGGTGTTAAATTCGGCTCAAGATGTGGGCGCAAGAATGATCCAACGTCGTACCTGGCAAAGGGGCTGAACTTCACACAAGGTCGACGGCCCGCTTGCCGAGATGCTTACGACGACACCCAAATTCTTCTGTTTGCCCTCTGCATTCCCATCCTCCGGAGGCAGCACGTATTCCACGACATCACCCTCAATTAGACTGCATGCCACCTTCAGTCTACCAGCTTGCTCATGCTGAGAATGAGGCCAGAGACTCCGGTTCGAGCGACTCGAGAGCACGAACGAGTTCTTCGACACTAGGCACAGCTTCGAGCATTTTCTCATGCTTCCGAAAAATCCGCCTCTATCTGCTGCAAAGAACAGAACACGATGACTTTTGCATTGAAATCGGAGCTCCACAACGCCTTCCAGCTTGTGCAAGCAGAGAGGGGAAATTCGTGAGCTCGACATTCCCACCATGGTTTACGTGAGAGACGTGAGTTTCAATTCCAGTTCCAAATTAGTGTACGGCCCGCTGAGCGTCGCACGCTCTCGTGGCTCGGCCTCGTCTCTCTTTACAATCTATCGCCATCATCAATTTACCACAGATTGTCCTCGGGGTGAATCTTCATTTACACTTGGCATTGTCTGACAAAAGCGTATTCAGAATCATGTCGATTGCATAACAATGACTGCCGTCCGCAAACGTACTGCCGGACGCGGAATCAAGACGGAAACATGTGGGACCCGCATTTGGAGGATTAGGGCTTAGCAATTTAGCAAACTAGGGTTCGACGAAGCTCGTTATCGATGGCTTGACAAAGTTGCGTTCACCGGAAGGGAGAGGTTCGACACTCAGGGTGATTTGCACAATATCCGACTGAGCTGAAATTTGCAAGGGACAGGTAGATGCCAGTGGTGAATTTTCGGTCCACTGGGAAATCGAAATTCAACTGACCATTGCATTCTTCTCCATGGTAGTCCCCAGGCGAGATTGGTTGCATAGCTTGCAGGCAACAGGCTGCTGATCCGCGCGACTCTATGCGAATATCCTCCGGCAGGTATGACTCCAGATTATCTTCAAGATGAGGACTCGGTTGCTTCGAAGTCAGACTCTGTCCGTAGCTTTGGCGATTCGGGGTGTACTTTCTCTCCCGACTGCAGGGGCGATTGGACCGAGGATTGGGTCTTCACCTTCGCTATTGATAGTTGCAGACAGAGCTCAATTTCTGCCACCGAGTAGCCATTCTCCGATTTTCAGCGATCGGCAGAGTACACCTCGTGCCTCTGATTTATACGATGGTGACTGCTTGCCCTCGAGCTCACATTCGTCCACCGATCGGCATCCATTTCCACGTGTATTCTCCCGGAAGTTTTCGTGGCAGGCCGCCGCCCCACAACGTGGGAGCGGCATTTTGGGCGATGAATTCTGGACCAAGCCTATGGGGAGCGAGGTGGTCGATGAAAAGGAGTTGAAAAAGAAGGGAAGTTATTGGAGGAAACAGGATCCAGAGTACCAGGAAGCTAAGATCATAGCCAGCGTCTGCAATGTGCTGCAAAGATGCGAGTGGACACTCGAGACGGAGAGAGCTCTCTCAGAGTTGAATGTGAAACTAACCCCTTTCCTCGTCTACGAAGTACTGAAGCGTCAACGGGATGCGGAATTGGCATTCGGCTTTTTCGAGTGGGCCAAATATCAACCAGGGTATAGGCACGAGACTGCAGTGTACACGCGGATGGTGATGATAGCAGGCGCTTCCAGGAAGTATGAAGCCGTGCAAGCTCTGGTGAGTGAGATGGAAGCCGAGGGTTGTGAGAGAAACCTCGCCTTTTACAATGCTCTCGTAGAATTCTTTTCGCAGGCTCAGATGCTGGACGAAGCTCTGCACACGCTGGACACAATTAAAGCATGTGGATGGGGACCCACTTACTTCACTTATAAGTGCATCATCCATTCTGCTCTGAAGTCTGGAAACCTCAGAACTGGCGCTGACTTGTTCATGGAGATGATGCAAGTAGGTTTCATGCCCGACAATACCACCATCAACATGCTGATCGATTCGTTTGCGAAGACAGGTCAATTGCGGACAGCTTACAACATTTTTCGTGAGATGATCGAGAGAGGTTGCGTACCGGATGTTTACACTTACACGATTGTAATTCGAAGTCTTGGTCAGAAGGGTCACATGGATTCCGCGATGAAGATATTCAGAGATATGATTGCTGCGGGAGTTCGGCCTACATCCTTCACGTACCACAGCTTGATACATGCTTTTGGTCGAGAGGGTAAGGTGGATGAAGCTGTTCAACTAGTGAACGAAATGGTTGGCAAAGGCTATCAACCAGGTATCATTACCTATAACATTCTTATCGATGCTTACGCGAAGGCTGGTGACTGGGACGGAGCTATGGAATTGTTCGAGAGAGCAAAAGGTATGGCCGACGCCGTGACTTACAACAGTATGCTGGACCGAGCTGTGAAGAAAGGTGACGTGCATGCAGCTTCTCAACTTTTTGAGCAGATGGGTGCCACAGGATGCATCGCGAACAAGGTTACTTACGCAATCTTGATTAGGGGCCTCACTAAGGTCGGAAAGGTAGAGGAAGCGTGTAAATTGTACGAGGAGATGAAACGTTTGGACCTCAAACCGGATGCCACCATTTTCAACAATCTTATCGATTGTCTCGGGAAGAGGAGACTCATTGACCTAACCATGAGGCTTTTTCAGGAGATGAAGGAGCAGGGTGTCCGTCCCGATATGTGTACATACAATACATTGATCAATCGCCTGTGTAAAGCAGGTCAAATAGAGACAGCGTCTAAAATTGCCGAAGAAATGGCCGAAGCCGGCTGTATACCGGGTCGAGTTACATACAATTGTCTTATCAACAGTCTTGGCAAAGCAAGGAAGATTGACGCAGCGTGCAAGATATTCCTTGAAATGCAGCGAAAGGGCGCCAAACCGGATGTGGTTACCTATACCTGCCTCATCGATGGTTTTTTCATCGCAGAGAAGGTTGATTCAGCCTTGTACATGTTCCAAGAGATGAAGAAGGTAGGCTGTTATCCCAACGTAGTTACTTACAACGTGCTCATTGATCACCTGATCAGACAAGGAAGGCTTCCTGCTGCTCTGAACTTTTGGCAGGAGATGAAAGAGAAGGGTCTTACTCCCGATGAGATAACCGAAACAATTCTAGGCCGCATTCCACCCAATTCCAGAAATGGGCACGGTGGAGGTCAAGACGAGGCTGACAAGTGACCATCATGTACGAGAGCGCGATGGGTAGCGGAGAGAGAGATAGTATACTGCGGCCGGATTAGTTTAGAAGATGAGCCCGTACTGGACGACGCAGGAAGCTGTTTTGAGGAATGCCCGAACGCATGAGATGAATGTGACTCAGGATTCATACCAATTTCATACAGGGTGATGTACTTACAGGAGACTTGCGGGGATGATCATGTGGCACCTCTAGAGTTGTAGAGTAAGCGATTAAAGAGACATCGGATCCTGGATATTTATCATCTGGACTTGAAGATGATTCTTCTATTTTATTATACATTCTGCTCGCCGACATCCCCTTATTAGCATTATTGGTCTGTTCAAATAGGCATTCTTTACTTCAAGCCGGGTACTTGTCACCATGGTATCCTACACGGACCTTACTCCATTGTTGGAGGCACATGTAACTTGACGTCTTTGTGTTGAGCTCGGTACCTAGTCCTGGTCAAGGCTCACTTAAGAAGCTCGGTCGGAAAACTTTCTTGCCCACAGCCTCAAGTGCATGACGATCTGAAGACTGCAAACAGTCCTCAGCATTTGGCCATATTTAAATCTTTCTACAAGAGAGTCAAGAACCTTGTCTGCATTCTTCGGTGTTCGGAATGTTTTCGAACGGCGTATTGTTTCGAACTCCTGCAAGTTTCTTAACCAAAGTATTTAATGAGTTTAAGCATGCACCGAATGTATTGGACATGTTCCATCTTTCAAGAGACAACTTAATACGCGAAAGATCTGAAACTTCTGGATACATTTGTTCGACAGATTCTTCCTCTTGGTTGTCCCGTAACGTCATGAATGCACAGTCTGAAGTATCTTTCTGGAGTTTGGACTTATCGAACGAACGGTCGGTAGACCGTAAAGAAGGAAAGAAAAGCAATGATTTGAAAGCGAGTCTGCTTTGAAATTGAAGCAACCTGAAATAGCATCCTAATTTTCTTCAACTGGAAGGATGAAAATTATTCTTGAAACAATCTACCAGTTCTTGTCGCATTTTCCGGAAATTTACCGGATTCATCAGAATTGTGGGGTTGGGTCTTCTCTGCACCTGACGTAGGATTTGGTGGATCATTATTGGAAATCTAAGTAGGAAGAGAAGGATAGCATGTCTTGATAAATCCTTGTGAAGTGCACGCGTACTTAAAATCTGCTCTTTCATTTGAACCTAGAAAGAGCACTTTGCGAGGTAAGATACGGAAAAACTTCACACGGACACAGCTCCTTGCCCCTTGGTTCTGCGCTGAGGAGTTTCAAGTCGTCTAGCTGGGCTGCCACCAAATGGTGAAGAAGAAAGGCATGATTCGGGTACACGAAATCCTTCAGCTGTAAAGCCCAACGGTTGAAATGGCGCAAACTCAACATACATCATGTATCTCCGAGATTACAAATATAAATGTGAAGTATTTTTCTTTCGTAGTCATGGGCTGTACCCAACCATAAACATCTCTTTTCTTAATCTCTCAAAAATCCATGACACAGACCAAGTGAAAAAGCTTGAATTTGCGGTTTTTTGGAAATTACACTGAACCGGGACTGAAAACCGATTTCCAAATCACTTCCTCTCGAATTGATGTCTCACTCTGGATAAGTTTCTTGGCCTTCAGGCCCATTCCCCTTCTATCAAGGGCGTGATGAGAGCTTTGCTGTCGTTGTTGTACCCATCGAAAAGACTTAAAAGGTCCGACCGCTCCTTAGTAGCCATGTGTTCACCTCCCAGCTCCAGACCCAGTTCCTCTTCGATGTCATTGGAAGCTGAAATTAGGATGAATTCACAACCTTCGTAGTTGAGAAAGTCAGGAGGATCAGCAGCTACAAAGCTATAGGAGCCAATGTGATCTTGCAGATGAGCAGGATACGTGGCTTTCCTCTTGTTCTGCAAACCTTGAGTGGGAGGATTACTCTGCTCCGGATTCTTGATCTGCCACAGGACCAACTTTTTCTTCAATAACTCAAAGCGGAACGTATAAGAGCAGAGGATAGTATGGAAGGGCCCTAAACGCACTGAGCTCAAGGGCATTATTCTCATCTTCCTATGTCCTGTTCTTTCACGCACCTGAATGAGGTACGATCCCTCTGCCTCGATGTTCAAAGCTTCTTGAGGTTCGTGATGTTCATCCGGTCCTGGGAGCTCCAACTTGTATATCAAGTGCGTGTGCACATTCTTCCCGTCTTTGCGACGAACTAGCATGTAGATTCCCTCTCCGACTGGTCTGCACGCAGGCTTCTCTCTCTGACCCCTTGTCTTTGTTTCGTACGTCTCTGTTTCACAATAGTACCATCTTCACCATTATAGCTGTCTGTAGTAGAACATGGATGGCAAGGCATGGCATCTTTTCTTCTGTCTTTACCCTCCAGGAAAGGAGTGGTTGCAATATATGGCTCTTTTGCGTGCTAACAGACAACATTAAAGGTCTAATAAAGTTTCAGAATTTTTCATCGTCCATCCATTGTTCTCAAAAGCTAATACCACTTATGGACATCACCTTCGGCGAGTGCTTGCCTTACATCTTGAGCGTCTGTTGTCACAAGCTCGACAAACCCCCAATAAGGCCGACTTCGTTTTGAAGGGTCAGGCAAGCTCTTCCGTCCAATCACTAAAAGTCTCAGCAGTGTCTGCTTTGCAATGTCCACCTTCTGTCATGGACATCAGACTTACATACTTACTTCTGACCACTGGTGCTTTCCTTTTACGCATCCGCAATCCTAGAACTAATTGTCATATAATAATGAAAAGACCAGAAATACTCTTTGCAATCGTGTATGAAGATGCATTTTCTGAGAAGCGAGTCATTATATCTAAAAGAGCGCATGCCCAGGACGTTGGCATGAGAGTCATCCTTCGCTGATCTTTTTCCAAAAGACTGCTCAATATTCGTTTGACTAAAGAGGCCAAAATTGCCGTCATAGACTGCACAATGTTCACGAGACCGATCAAATAAATTTGAGACAATGCGAGGAGCTGAGTTGGGCGATCTATGAGATAGATTTCAGTATCAAGAGTAGAAATAGAAAAGTTCTGAAAGGAGTAGCTGGTTGCATGAAGTAGCAAATGTAATCTGTCTAGAATCTGAATGAAGGCCGATGAGTAGCAACTTTGGGGTGTGGAAAGGACAGACATCTCGAAGAAGACTTCTGCCTGTCCAGAGGGCATTGACATTAAAGGTAAGTGCCTTCTTACTGCTAGTTAATGATAACAAGGGAAACGGCAGCAATAGGTCTTCTACGAGAAATACGGCATGCATTACCTGAAAACAAGACTAATTCATTGATGTGCTCCAAAAACATAACCAGAAAAGGAAAATATAAGAATCACCTCTGATCCATTTCCTGCTACTCTTTCATCCTCGAACTGCTTGTCGCTTCCATCGTCTATTTTCCTCCTCTTACTTTGTGCTTTCGACGATGCTTCGTCCTCAGACTCTGTTTCTTGCTCGTCCCGGCGACAGTCTTTGGCCTCATTGAGTTTGTCTCCGATTGTACCAATTCCAACCTCATACGAATCTGTCTTTGGGCGAGCTCTTTCATTGCACTTGTCTGTGCTGTCGGTGCCTGCTCCTGCATAGCTTTCCTCTTCCGCGCTGTCATCTTTCGTCTCAGTTTGTTTACTTTCGTTGAACTTGGATTCCTTCCCAGACTGGCTACTTTGCTTCTCCTCGACTCCATTCTCCCCAGATTCTGGCCTCAGAACTAAGTACATGCGTTGAATGTCATCAACGCTATGAGCGGAATCCATGTTTACTTTCGGTCTGTAGAAGAAGAAAATTTTCCCTCGTTCCTGAACACAACAGCCACTCCAACATATGAAAGGGTTTAACCAAAATCTCAAGCTCAGGCACCGTATTCCACTCCATATTTGCCCCCACAGAGTACCAATTGACATTGTGACCAACTCTATGATTTGCCATTGCCAGAGATACATCAGGAGGAGCATTGTTTACACAAACTAAGTATTTTCGGAGCTGGCTGAAACAAGCAACGCCGGCTAGCCGTTCCAATTCAATCTCTGAACGAACACCATCACATTCATTCATTTGAAGTCCATCACCGTCGACTTTGGTCACAACTACCTGCACCTCAAAGGGAGGTGATTCACGAAGTGTTTCCACCTTTCCTTGTCCCATCACTTTCTTCGAAAATCTTGACTTCTTGCTTGAGCAAATGCTTCTGTGAACTCTCTCTCTCTCACTCACTCCGTCCAATTTCCATTGTGCACTTTTCCAGGCATGCCAGCCTGCCTCCATCCCTGGGTCTGCGTTGTTGCGTTATCAGACTGCCAAGTGTCATGTCTGCTACTTGTCATGTCGTCCCCCAAATTTTAGTCTGACCATCGCCAACACAGACGAAATTAACGCTCTCGCTATGCTGTCTTCCAGTGAGGATGTCCATCGCATGTAGATCGATTCATGACGACGGGACTCGTTCAAGTCTAGGGGAGGGGCTACTTATCCCTCACTTTGGTTTTATTAACCCTCAAACTAGTATACCATATCCGTATGCGTGTATCTTTATAGCTGTTAGTGGCGTTGCATTTATTCTAATTCTAGATGTACCATATGATTCAATAAGAAGAGTATATACTCGTGCGTCTAAATTATCCATTCATATACCGGCTCTGTCTCGCAATGCTGTGGATTGTTCATTCTGCTCTCTACTCTTCTCTATCAGATGTGTTGCGAATGCGCAATCGATGATTCACTCTTGACCAATTAAGCGATTGGCCGAAAGCTTGACTGAAATAGCTTTGTGAAAAGTCAGCTGATCCGCATCACTCGTAAGCCATTTGCTTTCAGACGCGACGAATTCTTGCATTGGTGACTGTGAAAGGATGATAGGTACACGTGACTGGGTATAAGCTGGTAAGAGTCAAGCCCCATGCACGAAGCATTGCCGTTCTTGTCTGCATATGCATAGAGTCATGATTCGACAACAAAAGCCCTTCGCCGGGGTCCATTTTGGGAAAAATTTCTCTTTAATTTATCGGATTATCTCTAGGATGACCAATTCTTTTTATTTTTGTAAATGGGTAATTCAGTCACAGACTTTTTCAGTGCTCATGTACGAATAGCATAAACTGTTATCGTGTGACCTGTGAGACTTTCCTTTGGGAGCACCACCAAGGACTCCCCATTATGTAAGGAAAGCGTTACAACCTTTGTTGTGAGAGAAAAGTAATAAACTTTCATAAATATTGAGGCTATGAAGTGGGACGATACCAGATAAAAAGTAACGACATTTTTCATTGTGAAAGTTTTATTACAAAAAAATACAAAAAAAAACATTCAAACTTATTATAAACAGCAATTACAGGTATTTTAGAAATACCTTTATACTAAATGTTCTTCTCTGTGGAGTGAGTGCAATAAGAGAATAGAAATATATCCTGATAAGAGTGGACATGACTGCGTTAATTTTATTATTTCGTTTGATCGAGGAAATTGCACGTTTTTATCATTTGTTTCCCAGCCTTCATAAGATTAAAGTTGTCACGAACATGATCAAAAAATTCACCTTAATGCTCAATTATAGTAAAACAAAACAAAACTACAAAGCAAGGAGGCATTGATATACACGTGGTATGCAAGGATATGAGTGTATTTGGCTACTAAGGCATCTCACAGAGTGAAATATTTGTAAATGGTTTCTTGAAGTGTATCTTCAAAAACGTCTTCCAATCGTCGTGTACTTATAAGTCAAATCTCGATTTTGAAAAATATTGTGTGGTAAAAGCCGATAGGCGCACAAGGGGGTACAACGTTTCGACGGCAAAAGAATTCACTTTATCTTGATCTGGAACATTCAAATTTTCTAAGTAAGTTACTTTTGAAGTAAAATTTAAGTGGTACATTCAGATTCCCCAATACTTTCAGCTTCCATAAAAATGAACGTAAAGATTTTAACCTCAAAGCCCAAAATGTCTCTTCGAAGTAAGTGCACACATTGATAATCAAGTAACATTCACATGTAAGTCCAATGCATGCACATCCAATGTCATCCATGGTGCGACCGAACAAGTGAGTTCTCGTGTACGAACTCAATGGAGACGCAGTTACAACCGTACATCTTGAGAAAAAAGCGTATCGTGTATAGCATATATACAACAGAACAACTCGACATGTTGCACAGTCAGTATCTCTGACCGCATCCAATTAAGCGGAACCTCATTTAATTCTTTCCACATCAATTGCGAGAGCACAAGTCGTATCGATCAGCTGTAGGAAAGCCTAAAACACTTGAAAAAACTGACAAGCTCAATCATTTCCCGGTATCTCTTTCAGCCAGTAACAGATTGAAAAGTAAAGATCCTAGTTTAGATATCAACATGTACGTGCTGACAAAGTTGTCGACGGCTAACATCTGATCAGCGAAGCTTAGCACTTACTATTTCCACAAAGAAAAAGTAGTTTTCGTTCACGATCTTTTTATTCTGATGTACAGTGGTGCACCAATCGAGCCTTTTTATTCGAGGCTCCCTTTCTTCACAGCGATGAAAAACTATTACAACCTGCAGCAAGAGGCCATGGAGTTCCATTGGCAAAAGCACTAAATGATCGGTTTCCCACAATAAAGCAAGCCCACATTTGCAAGACGAAGATAGACACGCCATCTCACCTTGTATACTACGATCCGTTTTCAGGTCTTCATTGGGGTTTTGCGGCCACTTCGAAAGCTTCCACAAACGACTGCGGAGGTTGAGCACCAGAAAGCTGGATGCGGTCACCAATCTGCAACGATTATCCAACATGTTGGTCACAGAGTGAATGGCTTCAAAGCAAAATCCTTAGTCGAGACTAAAAGGAAGAAGGGATAGACATCAACATAGGAAAGAAAGTAAGAAAGGTGAAAGATCCACAAAGAAGAAAGATGTATGGACTTCAACCTCTACTTTAGGGCCTTTACCCCAAACTGTCTTTACTCAAATGCCTCCAATCTTTAGCTAGATTGCAGAAGCTATAGCTCTCTGTGTTTCTATATTCGATCCTATACGAAGACAACCGATTACAAAACTGCTGTTATAATGTACTCGTATCGCTTAAACACAGGTGTCCATTAAGGGTCCAGAATAGTGCAGTTTTCTGACCGTAAAATGCGGCACACCATTTACTCCTCTTGCGTACTTCTGAATCTCCTCGTGAATCTGCCATACCCACGCTGAAAGCTTAAACAAAACAACGTCGTTCGACTATCTAACATCTGTCGTAACATCACTAGAAAAAAGGCAGATCCCAGAGAGTACACTCCGTGAATCTAAGCTTTCAGTGGGAGCAAGGTCATAGAGACCCCTTGATAACAAATACCTCGGATTAGTACTATACAGTCAAGCCGAAGCAAGCATGAACTGACCATAATGTCATGAACATCTTAGGTGAAGGCTGGTATTCACACACCTCCTTCACTCCCGCATTTGGATCGTCAAGCAGTTGTTCGGCGCCCTCTATTCCCACCTTGTGGGCGGCATTCAGAAGCACTTGCCTGGACAACGGGTATAACAACGGCTGTCCGTCAACGGCTGCTAAGGATCGAAACTGATTGCTTCATTCATCCACATTATCAAACTCACAAATCATCATTATTTCGAGGTAATATACAAACTTCAGAGAATAGTTGTAGTTCGTCATTGTCGCCTACTCATAACTGATGATCTTGCAGAGTCACAAAGCATTCCAATAAAAAGTGTAACATCACAGCTTCTTCACATACATATACTAACAAACTGACTTCCGCTTCCTCACAGCCTCCAAAGCATACCAGTACTACTTCACCAACACGAACTAAAATTGAATGTAGGGAGTGGAGCCCAAGTTCAGCAACAATGTAAGGACTTACCTGTCACCAAGGTGCTTCTCTTCGGCGAAGTAGTTCAAAAAGAGCTCCTCAACAAGATTGTTCTGTTTCTCAAGACCTTGACGACCTGCTAGAGCAATCAGGCGGTGGCTATCCAAAGTATTGCCACTGCACAAAGACAACAGTCACTTATCAACACTCCTCAAAGACGCGAAGTTCAGAAAACTGTTTCCAGCCCAGTGATCTACATTATTCATAACAGCTCAGAGACTGAATGACAACTAAATATGAATCCTGCCGCTTTAGTCACTTCTCCATGGACTGTGCTGCACTCCAGATGATATCTTTGAGCATTTTGAAACTCTCTATATTGGTCAGAAATAGCTCATCTCAATCTACACTCTTATCACAATCCTTGGTAAACTGAGTGCTTTTACTCCTCACCTTGCAATCAGAAAATTGATGGAGAGGTTCAGATATATATTTTTATCAGCAAAAAATGAAAGGAACAACATGCCATCATGTTTGAGGTGCTTCGCGAGCGAGGAGAAGCAAAGACAAACGCAAAGAGCTTACGTTTTGCCACCCATGGAATACTGCACACCCAGTCCGGCAAACACCTGCAAGAGAAATCAACGCATATACTCAGTCGGGGACGATATTAATCTGTACCTCCCTATAATTAGCTGACTTGAAAAAGATTCAGCGCTTACCTGACCCACACGCTCTACCATAGACTGCACACGCGTACTTCCAAATTTCTGCTTGTAGTGCTCCAGTTTATTCACGCCCTCCTTAGGAGCATTGGGATTTAGCATGTAAGGATGCCATCTGACCTACACCCCAAAAAAAAGGACACGTGAGTCTTAACAAAACTTGCGCGGTCCTTTTGAATCATCTACTCACTCGTTCCTGATCTGTATGAGGGAAGATGGGCGTCATCGAAATTGAGGAGTGAGACTATTCGAGTGTGCGATGATGACTAGACTGGTGAGACCTGAGAAACATGGCTGTAGGCGAATAGTTTCGGGGCATAAAAAGGTGTGCAAGACTTTCGCGGCCTTGTCTCAGGCCAATTTGTTCACACATGAATGTGCAAACATGGACTAGTTGATTTTTCCGTAACTTGAAAATTCAAATTGTGACCAAATTCAGCGTACAGGTGAAGAATTACCTCGAAATCAAATTTGTCTTCGCAGGAACGCATAGCTTTCTCGAGATACTTCTTGCCGATAAAGCACCATGGACAGACGGTGTCCGAAACAATGTCGATCTTGATGAGATTCTTCGCCATCTTGTCCTCTGTAAGATTGTCTCTGCTCTTCACTCCTCACACCAATCGAGGGATCTGCACTTCTCCACACACCAATCTGCGAAACACGTTGCTCAATTCATCATTTCTACATGTCGCTCGGAGATTCTTCATTTGCCTTTGCGTACCGGGATTCTCGGTACTCTGTGCTCAGGAAGATCCTCCGGAAGTTACCTCCATCTCTCTTCCAGAATAGTATATTCCGAAGCTCCAGTCCTGCAATTCTGTATCATCCTCGATTGTTAGATTACTCTTTTTGGGGAAACCAGCATTATTTCACAAGGAATGAGAACATCTCAACAAGAAGTACATGATGAAACGAAGCAGGTATCATACGGCTAGTCTACACACAGACATAGTTTTCACACATTCCTCCTTCAAGTGCTCTACCAGAACTTGTCGCTGAGCCATGTGGAATTTCTGGTAAAATCATCAAAATTCTATTTAATAAATATTTGTATTTTTTAACAATGTTAAATCATACAGACGAAACATGAGTTAATGTTACAAATATCTACATGAACTTAGTGAAACCTAAGAGATTATTTTATGGTCAGTGTTTATCAAGTAGGTATTATATAATAATATTATGTCAACATGAATGATAAAAAAAATTCATCTGTAACATATGCACGCACTGCAGGACTTGTTACTTAATTTTATTTTATCAAGTCAAATAATATTAATATAGTATACATCTAAGTTGTATAAGTTGGTATTATGTGTAGGTTAGAAGAACTCTGTTGAACCATTTAGTAAATAAAAACACCCTGATGTGATTCTACCCGTGCTTTACGTTGTTGGAGCTCTTCTTACGGGGAAATATCATGAGACGTAATGCATGGCGCGTTTAGATTGGCGGAAAAAAATTTCCAAAAAGTATGATTATTTACCTTCCAATGCAAGACATCTCCCGAAGAGTTCAAGACATTGTAAATTGCGAGCAGAACACTAACATGATAAGAGTCTTAGGTGTATGAAGACAGTAATTGTTACTTTTTATTTATAACTATATTCTAAGAAAATGAAATTCGTGTACTTTGATCATATAATTTTGTAAACAATATATATAATAATAATAAATAATGACAAATTTCTCATTCATGATTTAAGAATTGAAATTTATGGTAACAAAATTTGAATCAATATATATTTCAAATTGATAATAATATGCACTGTGATAGTCACAATCTATTGGAAACAAATCTAGAAAACTACTTCACAACAAATTTCTACGTTGAATGTATCGAAGTCTAAATCATTAAAGCATATCAAAGGAATCAATATGACGCCGCAATTCGATGTATCGTATTAAATTACAAAATCTACAAAGGAGCTGGGACTGGAAGAGGACGTTATAATATGTAAGAAGAGAAAGTCGCACAAAGGGATAAAGGCGGCTGGGGCAAGCATCAAGCACAATGAGTCTGGGGGCTGCTCGCAGCAAGCAATTGACCCAAAGATTAAAAAAAAGTCAACTAATGCCAAGAGCCAATGGTGGCATTGGGATGGAAGACATCTCTAGAATGTCTAGAAACTCCAACGAGAGTTTTCACCTACTCCAAGCTATCATGTAGAAACACGCGCCGTATTTCTTTGTGCCATGCATACTTTTCCACAAAAAAATGCAGTTATTATTACTCTATGTGGTCATTACTGTAGCTACATACACAGTTCTTTCTGCTAATTTGTACACGTCAATTTCATATATGTGTATATTTGTGTTATATGCACATAAATTCATTGAATCTATGATATAAGAGTCATCTTGATTATTAAGTGGAATTTAATATAAAAATAATTTAAGTAAGACAATTTATATTGAATAATTCAAATTCCCTTGTTCAATTTTCAGTTTCACATATAATATTTGGATTCAAATTTTTCCAAAAAGAATTTTGAAATCTATTTCTCAAAGTTATTTATAAATTTTAAAATTTATCAGTAATGACGTTGAAACTATTCATAGTGTGGTGTATATGGTTACAAGGTTGAGACAATTTGTAAAAATTGAAGTAGTTAAGCTTGAGTGAAAAAATAAATTTGATAGTGTTGAATATTTTGCAATGTTTAATGAAGAAATCTGCAGCTTGTTGATGGTACTTCCAGTCTTTTAATTACTGACTTATCTTTCCACTGCCAATTGGACATCAAAATCAGAGGATTCAACTAACTTCTGGAACAATTGAAAAGATATACCGAAACATTGTATAAAAAGTACAAAGACATAATAGTTCTCAGTGTTTTAAAACAGAGTTGGTTTTGTAAAAACTTGAAATAATTTCTCTAGTAATGAAAATTTGCTGACTTCGAATGAGTTGAAAAGACTGTATTCTTTAACTGTTTTCCTACATCTAGTAATCCCTGCTATCCCTATGCAATCTTTGCTGTACAGATGATACATATCTTTGTTGACATAGTATAGAATCTATACAGTGCAATACACACGTCATTGGTTGAATTGGTAATACGTTCGTTTCTCTGTTACATTCCTAGAGAATAGAGTGTCTTCAGCGGTTTTTTTTAAAAATACTTTGTTCCATAACTTTTTTGATTGAATGGAATTGAAGCATCTTAAGAATAAGATCCGATGAGATGACGCTCAATCGCTTTGCGGCAATTTCGTTTCTATGTTTCATCATGAAAATGATGTGAAAGTCAGACTAAATTAACATTGATATAAGAGGAACTGAATAGAGTATTATTTCGATGTCATTACCTCCTTGACAACGTTGTGGAGGTTTGCACCACAATATATCATTCTAAAATAATAGAATATACAATAGTGTCATTATCTTCGTATTTTAGAGATAAAATAGAAACTTAAAAAATTCCCTAGACATATGTCTTGTTTTCATAAAAGCAAGACATCTGTCTCGGTGTCAACAAAGTCCTTCTAAATAACTTGAGAAAAAAGAAAAAGGGTGTGTTGCTGGGATTTTGCAAGTGAGCATCTACACTTCTTACTTTGGCATTACACCGAAAGACATGCTAATGGATAAATAAGCACAAAGCTTGACAAGCACCGCTAGTTTAACATGTCAAAGTTCTCTCCGAGAAACATGCTCATGAATCATGGAAGCGGCGGGTATCAGTCCTGCAGATGCGACTCATGTATAAGAGATATATTCATATCATATGAATATAGTTGGACCGTTGTAGAGAAACCCAAGTACGGAATTGACACATCCATGGTAGCCAACGATACAATATCAGAAGCGTAATTTGAACCTGCGGAAGAAGAGTGGAACGTCAAGTACAGACCTTTCAAACTCTGGCGGCAACAGATATTGATCCTCAGTCGGTGTGGCCAGATTAGGTGTGGAAAAGTGGATAGCGAGGGCAGAATTGCAGGATAGGCACTGCGGCACCCTCACCCACACCGCCTCTACCTCTGCATGATTCAAACCGTGGGGAGCATTTAAATATTACCAAAAGAGGATGGAGATCGAAAGATAGCGGTTGTGTTGCGTTACAGTCACGCATGCCATGACCATTGGTTCAAAGCGCCACTTGGCGCAAGCGAATGGACGCTGCGATGGGTGGAGATGGCATGAAGGTATGAAACCATGTGACATACTGTAGAGGAAGCACATCCCTGTCCTGTATGTACGACGATGATGCCATGGCAGACAGGAGGCAGAAAGGAGGAAAGAAAAGTCCTGCCCGTCCCATCCGCTCCCACTTCGTACGAGAAAAAAAGAACGGGCTCTGACTCTTTTGGCGCTGGCGCCGTTGGGCCCTTTGATGCAGATTGGATCAGATCGAGGTTTTTGTCAGTGAATTGATCGAGCCTGCTTACGGAGAGAGCGAGCGAGCGAGAGGCGGGGATCTGGATTGAAGTTCTGGTGGTGTTTAGTGCTAGTTAGTGAGGACGATCCTGTGCACCAGAGAGAGAGAGAGAGAGAGAGAGAGAGAGAGATGGAGGCAGTGCAGGTGGAGGTGGAGTGATGATAGTTTTGCAGCAGGAGACGGAGGGTGGGAGGAGGAGTTGGGTGGCGAGAGGACGAGCAGAGCCGAGGAGTGGAGTGGATTGAGCTCTTCGTTCGACGTCCGATAGGGAAGCATGACGATGTGGAATGGATCCGGGGGAGTGCACTTCTCTGGTGATGAGGAAGATAGCAACGGGAGTTTGGCCAGATGTGTTCTCTCGAAACGGGGGAGTAAAGCTCTGAAGCCATTTTCTCCGTACATTCAGGCTGTCAATGAAGCGAAGGCGCATCAGTGGACGCCGAAGAATACGGACGGATATTTTCTTGTGAGTCTAGCTCTTTTCTATTTTTATATTCCCCTTGACTTGGCGAAGGAACATGAATTATTCGTGAATTGGGATGGATTCATTAAGTTCAGTATTCACTACTGCAGCATTTGTTTCAAGTGCATTTTCGGAGACAGTTGTGTTCATTGTACAAAGTCGATCGTTTGGAGTTTATTATGTGGCACTTCTGTTTTCTTGCTTGTAACTTCCTGGAATTGCGGAGGGGAAATGGATACTTTCTGGATGAGGAGCCTGTAGAAAGCGGAAGGCATTTTTCTGGAGCTAGGACATGAAAGAATTTTATGTCATAGTTACATTATGAGTAATATACCTCTCACTAGCGGGGGCTTTATCTTTTCGATGTCGGAGTAGTTTGTGACAATGTCGACTCCTGAATGTTTTCTGTCTCGCTTTTACAGAATGTCAGCGTTCTCCTTATTATCAAATAATAGTGAGCGAGAATGTGATGAAGAGGTTGATCCTTCTATATATGGCTTCCTATGTATTTGCCGATTGTTTTTCGAGTCGTTCCCGAGAAGAGTTTTAGTTCTTCGGACGGTGACGGATCCAAGTGTATTTCAAATTTGTGCTGAATTTCAAATACCTGGGGCTGTGTATTCTTAGCGGACCTCAGCAGCTACATTGTGGCCTATGGAAGAGGATGATATCGAGATCGCTGATAATAAAAGCAGGATATACTATTATGTTTGGCATTCCGTGTCTGTTGATGTTTGCGTGCGTGTACCACCTGCGTGTGGTGAAATATCTGTTGGAGCAAGTTAATCTATCTCACTTCAAAGGAGTATTATTATAAACGCTTTTCATCACTCCTGTGGTAGAGACTTTTTCCAGCCTCGAACATTCGGCTGCTACTGATCATCTCTTGTGAGAAGCATGCATTTTAGAACTTAGACACCGTCAAATTTGGTTCGTCCACTATTGTGAAGCTTTTTAGCGTTTCTGTAGAAGCGAACATGTTGGCTATAAAACCAAAACTTGCTAAAGGTATTCAGACGTGATCTTTCTGTTATTGATTGTGATCAAAATTAGATGGCAACGGCTGAGAGTGTGCTGTCCTTCGACCTCATCCACGATAAGATTCGGTATGTAGTTTTACTACCTGAACTCTTGTGCTTGTAATTTATTCTGTGAATACAGAGGATCTATGAGTGTCTTTGTATGGGAAACCTAGAAGTATCTTCGTAGCATTGAAGCTCTTTCCATCAATCAAAATTTGCTCCAATTTTAGGGCGGCTGCTCTAGAAGGCTGCTCTAGAAGACACCTCTATCCTTGCAACTGATATGAGACCTTCAGAGCAGCCAACATGCGATTATCAAATACATACTAGATATTAAAAGCTTGTCCTTCAAAATGCTTTAGGTACATTATGACAGTCTTAGTTGAAGTGCGAAGTTTAATACTTGTGCTAACAGATTATCATATTATCTCCTCTCTGTTCAGCTTTCCGACACATGATTTTTAGTTCAGTCTATGTTCATGTTTATTTCTGCTTACGGTCCTTCAATTGATCATTTGGGAGTTGATCTGAGCGTTGAGTAGATGCTACATAGAACTTTCACTTTCTTACATTAAGATTTTTCCCCTGCTTTCATAAATACGTATCATGTTATGTTTATACGCCGTTAAGTGCATTCAACATACTCTTTCCTCTATCCTGTGATTTTTAGATTGGTCACCCTTTCTTTTCCCTTTTCCAGAAGTGATGAAAATGTAGGTTACTGTTTTATCAACGTGACACTTCGATTCAGGTCATTCTTCCTACTTTTGCATGAAATTGCGGTTTTCTCAACTAACCGAGTGTGCATTCTTTTCTTTGGCTGTGTTACTTTCTAGGAAGACTAAGCTGATGTTATAGATCGATTCAGGCTAAACTAGAATTTACGGCAGCTGCCTCTGACCTCCGTCTTCGGCTCGATTATGTACTGAAAACCTCTACGTACTTTTTCATAATTGTTGATTTCGACAGGTTGTGGTGATACTCATGGTCGAATAATATGCAGTTATTTCCAGCAATACTTCTCAAATACCTTCAAGAGCTTATGTATCTGTGTTCTTCTCGAAACATCCGATTGATTCGGATGTTTCAGTTTGGATTGATTTCAGTTTTGTATTTTACTCATCCGTCTATTTGGTGACCGTCTTAGTTCCTGTCCTTCTCGCTTTCTGTAACCAAACATTTGTTTGGTTATTTTGTATGCTGTGTTTGATTTATGCTTTTTATACATCTAGAACTTGCGAATTCTGAGTCTTTCTTTTGCATTTTCAATAAAGGTCTTTACGAACGCGGTCTACCTGCGTTTCATCAGTATTAATTCCTTGCATGCTGCATACATCTTCATTGTTAGAATCTAAAGAGTATGATGTTCCTTCAGTAAAATCAAAGATTATGTGGCCGTTCTTCATCTTCACTTTTTCTCTCTTTTTCTCATATCTCATATTAGAAGTTAGTATAATTAACTTATAACATGATAACATTCATAATATTGCATACCTTTATTTCCAACTTGCTTCCTGTCTGGCATTGTTATTGTGTTCAGTATTATTTTTTGTTTGTGTTGTTGATTGTTCACTTCAACTTCTTGCTTTAGGTTTATTCCCAGCTCGATTCGCGTTTCTGTTTCCTTCTGCCTACTATAATCACGAACTATGTGGTTCTGTGTGGGTTACACATCTCCAGTTCGTAACCCGAAGATATTCCTCGTGGTCGTTTTCTTATTGAATTTGCTCCCGCTTAAGGCTGCGTATTCCTGACGTCGTATGATATATATATATCTTGTATCTACCTCGTTTGTACTGAAAGAGTTGTGTGTCCACTAACCTACGTTTGATTTGATTGCATTGTTTGCACCTCTATATCTGCACGAAGACAACTGTAGAGAGATAACGCTGCGCAATTTTTATTTCTTTTAACGGCAGGAGTTGTCGAGAAGTACCTGCCACTGTCGGCCTTTACGGAGATTTTAGAGGAGGCAATAGATTACGAAATGCAATTGCTAAGATGATGGAGAGGACTTTTATGGGTGTAGAGGTTGGGTGTCTCAACTTTGCGCCAACACCATGGATGATATTTGACGTTATCGGACCTCCAGTGTTTCCTTTCATACGTTCTTTTTTGTGGTTTTTGAGGGTTGTCTAACCCTTCTTAGACCGTGTATCGAGCAGGATATGCAGGACGATTTTTCGTATACCTTTCCCTCTTTTTGTTACTTATTTCATCTGTGAATGCAGACGAGTTTTACAAGTCGTTGAATTATCAACATTGTGGTGTGTGGGTCGCAGGTGAATACTTCCAACATTTGTATATCGAGTGGAGTTACAGCGTGAGTACCAATCGACGTGATGCACCTTGAATTTCGTCTTTTATACCCTTAGCTATTATCGTTTGCATTATTGCCGCTTACTAATAACATTTTTGTAAAAGAAGTGAACTGCATGTATCAAGTATTTTGTCTGTCCGCTGTCAGTGTGGGATTAGTTGTTTCTTTATTTGAAAAGTTTTTGTCAAGGAATTTGAGTATTTTGGAAACATCTAGTAGATGAGAGCTTGCGGGCAACACTTAGTCCGTGGTGCCAATCGTCAATGGTGACCTGCACGAAAGATAAAGCAAGAATTCTCCCTTAATGGAAAAGTTTGAGGTGTGGCAGAAGAGCGGAAACGTTTAAATTAATGATTTGACCACACCAGCTACCAGCAGAGAGGGGTTAGAAAGTTGATCTCGGATGTTTGCACGTGCAAAGAACCTGTCACCGAGAGCATGTAGCTTCAACCTTTATTGCTCAGAAGGGTTTCTAATACAGGATCGCTATATACAAGAAGTGAGATTGTTTTCGGGCTTGGACAACAACAGTAGTGTAGAGAATTGTATGTGTCGAGAGATCTTTATCATCATGTGGAGGTTGTGGAGAGTAAGGTAACATCAGTCGTCGGATATGCAGATGGTTCTGTAGGACTCACGCTTCCACTTCCATGTCCCTAAGTACACATGCTTACGACATATTATACGAGCGATTAGTTGTGATTTACACAATCTCGTCAGTTTCACGTGTTTGGTTTGTGTTGGAGGATCTTGTAATCTGTTTAAGCAGGATTCTGGAGATGAGAGGAGTTTCCGTATTTAGTGTCCATATTTAAATCAGACCAGGCTCCTTTCTGCTCACGTCTTTTGCCGGAAATTGTTTACAAGTATACGTAATTAATTCATTTCCATTTTTACAATTCTATAATTTTTAAATTTGTTGCCACGAGAAGGCTTCATCTCTTAGGCGCTTTGTGAGAAACTTTTTGTTTAGCAATTTGAAGTCGTATATCTGGCTATGTTTTTTTATAGTATAAATCTCGGGAGGTCTTCCAGTTATTTGATTCCTTCCTTCCACGTATGGCACTTAAAGTGAGGTTTTTGGTGATGTTCTCGGCACACAGGGTGTTGGACCTCTTCTTTTTTGCAACATGTGATGCCGGAGATGGGTGTCTAATTCCCGCACCTTACTTTCCTGCCTTTGATAATGACATGGCAATTCGAGTAAGTCGTTTTAACGTCTGGAAGTGGTTGAAATCTAGCCAATCTCATGGGCAGTAAATGCCCATGATGTTGGCTAGATTTCAACCGCTTCAAGAGAAGCTTTTAAGATGCTTGTGACTGCCTCATAAAAGTAGGGCTTATCGTTTATATAGATTCAGGGAGACTTTGAGGACTACTAAGTTCATAAGCGGCAATCACAATCTTGAAAATCTAATCGCTTAGCTCTGGATGGCAGAATGGAGTAGAACCCATACCTGTGCAACCAGCAGATACTCAAACCTATATTCCAACTGCAACCGAAATGGAAGCAGCAGCAGTCGCTGCCGAAATAAAAGGCGCAAAGCCGAGGGTGTTGCTGGTAACAAATCCTGGGAACCCACTCGGCACTCTGTACCCCGAATCTACATTGAAAGTAAGTTCACCCTGTGGCGCAAGACCTCATCTTCATATGAATTCTACCTACGGATGAGGATCGTATATCTTGCTTTACCTGGTGTTTTCGAAAATTCGAAACGTTGATTCCTGCAATCTCTTTCTTCGAATATTGTCTAGTTTCAATCAGTTTATGTTTAATCAGATCTATGTTATCAATTCTCTGTGGGCAGGAGTTGCTAGTGTGGGCAGTAAATCGAGGACTGCACGTGCTGTGTGACGAGATATATGCGAACTCCAAATTCGGGTATTGGATTCCATCTCCACTTTCATCGCTGGTCTTCATGTGAGGCTTACTTACGTAAAGGACATGGGTGTGCCTTCCTTTCATCTCCGTAAACATCATATGAATCTAACATTACAGAATTTGCTTCATGGCGTCTTTCGTCAGACCAGCATGCGGAATGGATCAAGCTGTTAGCTAGTTCGAATGTTTTTTGTTACTTCTAGGCGTTTCCAAAGCCAGGAAATGACGGTGCAGTTTTGGGCAACCCTACTGTTTATCCTAAAAAAGAGATGCTTTTAATTTTCTGTTCCAGTAACTGAGAATCTCAAGATTGGCTAAATACTGGTTCGATGTAGTGGAATTGATTTCGGCTTAACCTTCCGTCCTGTGGTTTTGCGATCTGCTATTTTTTCTAATTTGTAAATCTTATTCCGTTGCCATGTTATCTTGCATGCGCAACCCTTTGTCGGCTACTGTCAAAAAAGGTTTTAATATTATTGTAGCCTCTTTGTTCCTGCGAAATGCAGAACCTCAGCAAATGAGTTCATTAGTATGGAGAAGGTGGCCAGTATTGCCGTTGCAGAGAATTTGTTGTCTCAAAAGTCAGTGGCGGAGAGGGTTCATACAGCCTATGGAATGAGCAAAGACTTTGGGATGAGCGGCTTTCGTGTAGGCTGTTTACATACAAGGAACAAAGACATGCAGAAGGTAAGGTGGAGTGAGGTTTCAATCATGGGACTTTCCAACCTTTGTCTCTATTTTCGAATGTTAAAAAGTTTGTGCTTTGTTTTCTGTGCTCTGATTTCAGTTTCCATTAATTTATGAACTTGTCAGTCAAGTGGGATTGCCGTTTAGTCACAACTGTGCTACTGATTAGATATTTGTGTACAGTTTTGGCAGAATATGGGTATGTTTGCTGCAGTGTCTAATGACACACAACATGCACTGTCGATAATGCTTGAAGATGAGGAATTTGTTGATTTTTACGTCGCTGAAAATAACAGGTTAGTTCTATTTGTACCTCCTTGGATGAGGCTTTTTTTTCAAACTGTTTCAACTTTCAATTTTATTTTTTCAATTTGTTCAACATTTTCCTCGTGTCAGAGAAAATATATAGTAGAAGCATGTATTGAGATCTGAGGTCAAATGTTTGAAGATGTTGAGCTAGTCTGTCTTCTGATTTTGCGGCGAAGTATACTTTTTTCCTTTTCTGCTTTTGTTTTTTGTTTTAAGTGGAAACATCAAAACTTGTATCATCGAAGGGATGAACTAATCTTCGGATTGTATTAATTTATCCATTTGCTAATATGATATCAGCTCGGTCCGTTCAGAAACTTACCACTCACCGTTGTATGAAAGCTAACTCTGGAGCATATTCGTCCGTCGTGATTACACCTTGTAATCTCTTGATGATTGGTTGGTTGACAGGCGGTTGAAGAAATCTTACGAACTTTTTACTTCGCTGTTGACGGCCGAAAAGGTCAATTACATGCCAGCATGTGCAGCCATGTTTTGTTGGCTTGATCTGCGCACTCTCCTTCCCGAGGTCTGTTTCAAAATCATGTCCAGAATATTATTTGATAATCGTGTCCTTTTGATCGCCAGTCTCTCTTTGATTAGGGAAGTCAGGCCGCTGAGATTCTTGTTGGTAAACTTTGTCTTTTTTATCTCATGTTACATGGTATATGAGCTGGATGGGTCATGGCTTTGTGTTGATTGTAACTGTTGCTGCCTTGTGCCCGTAGTTGATGATATGTCTGGAAGGCACGTCATTGCACACACATGTACTCATATTCAGAATGTTTCCCCACAGCCTACATTTGAAGCTGAAGATCGCTTGTGGAAGGAAATTAGAGACGAGTGTCGCGTTATTCTTACCCCAGGTTAGTATTCCGCTTGTAGATAGATCCATTCATTGCATACTGCTTTATCTATCCATTGTACTCGGTATTGCTTCTCGGGCGTATTTTGGTAGCAAGCATATACTTGAACTCCATCATGGGTTGATCTAGCTTGAGATAAGTGAGGATTTCTTAGTAAAGTTATCCCAACATCCAATCGGGCCGGACCTAAGTCGCCCAGAGAATCATGTGAAGTACAAGTAGGTAAAAATAATATGGCGTTGAACTGAACACGACGGTCTATGGGTGCACACTTCACTCTGGTGCAGCTCACTGTACGTATTTCCCACGCAAGTTTTGGGAATTGTACCCAATCTAGTGATCAGTTTTCTTAATCTAGAAACAGGATATCACATCTGGCTAGCCTTGTCCTCATGAATATATATTGGTTTCTGCAGGTAAAGCTTGCCACTATGCTGAGCCTGGGTTTTTCCGGGCGTGCTATGCATCAATGCCACCCGAGCATTTGAAAGTGGCTACCCAGCGTCTGGCCGCATTTGCAGAAAGGAAGCGGAGGAAGAGAAAGGCAGACAGCCTTGCAGTTTCAGATTGACTTGTTGGAGGTGGTCACTCCTGTCTGCGTGAGGCGTCTTCGATTCGATTCATTGAGAAGTCTACAATTACCCTATTTTTACAAGGGTTCTATACTGGCCAACCTTGTACCATAAGAGAAATAAATTACAGTTTCAAGCAATTGTGAGTGATGTAAATAAGTTCGATTTCTCTGTTACTCTTTGCCATTCTCCTGATTAGATAATCACTTTTCCTCTCTCTCCTGAGTAGATTCTTGAGACTGATCTTATGTGACTCGACATCATCTCATTGGGTGGCCTCGTGATGATACATTTAGTTTAACTACGACACTCAATGGCTTGATTGCTGCCCGCGTGTATTCGTTAGAAGAAGCATCTCTCCAAATTGCACTCTTCACGTTGAGGATTTTCATGCGTGGTGAAGGAGCAACAGGGAGATAAATCTGACTTGATATTTTACAAAGTTGCTTGCAGGTATATTCTCTTGCCGCAGACTTCAAACACAGATTAGAAAAGTCTCGCAATGTTTGCCTGTCTACCTATAGTTGGGGCTACTACCTTCGTGCAACTTTAGTGATGAACTCTAGATCTGTATTTCGAAATTCGAAGTGAAGATCTATCTAGATGGATCACCCCGTACGAGTTTTCTCATACCACATCAGCTGACCACTAGATATTATACATCTCGTAGTCACTTTGTAAAGGGACAACACACTGGTGACTTCTCCACCTCATGTTAATACTCGCGCAATGTATGTCTAGTATGTCACTAAAGTGTCTTTGAGTTTCATCTCATCCTAATGACGTCTCATGACGACAACCTCATGTGACAATGAAACCACACTTTGTTGTGAAACCACCTTGTCTTCTAAGACACAGTGCCAGCGAGTAGTATAGCGAAAAGGATGGGAAAATATCATTACTCAACTTTTAAGTAACATCCTCATTTAATGTCCTACACAGAGCACCGTTCAACAGTTGCTATTCCGTGTATGGATTCGTCCACAATATTTCCACGGTCACAAGATCAAAATTTTCAGATGCTTTGATGTTTCAAATGTAGGGTCATAAGTAGTAAATCTCACGAGTGGTTTGATTGTATGGGAGAACCATATGTAAAATTTTTACATGATTAAAGTTCAGATATTCACTATGTCAGGTTTAACTACGTTATATTGTGTACAGGTATAATTGTCGCTAGCACAAGTAATATTTGACAGTGGCACTCATGCAACACTGCCCGTCAAAGCTTGTGTTCCACATATTTCCTTACAGAACTAGATAAACATCGCAACAAGGTGTAATTCATTTGTAGCACGTTTCATAACAGTCATATTCCAAGGCACAAGGTATAATTTTTTATTTATATCTAGAAAGTCTGAAATCCCATGCGAGAACGACTTCTTTGATTGCAGTTCGCAGAACTCAAAACCTACATGAAAATTAAAAGAATGAGTAAATTTACCAGCCAATGCCAAAAAGATCGCCAATCTAAACACATATAAAGAGCGCAATCTTTACCACCAATATGACATATAATTAACATAAAAATTTGGTGATGACCTATTCCTTGTGTAACACTAAGAAACGAAGAATTTATCACCAACTACAAAGCAATGAAACAATGATTCCAAATCTCTGCAACACCTAAAAATGAGATTATTATAATCAACAGAAGTTTCAAATCAGATCAAGATAAACAGATATGTTCTCATATATTATCTAAACAGTTAAGAATTAGGAGATTTAGACAATGAATTAGAAAATGTTTGCATACTTCAATTATTATTTTTTCTTAGAAATGCATAGCTTGTCAAGATGTTAACAAAAAAATTGAACTTGTGATGTTTGAAATATGTTTAGGGATAATGTCGCTAAGGAGCAAGGTCATGTCATAATTGATAAAATCAATCTTTCATGAAGGTTGTTAGATACATGTTATGCATTTACGTACAACAAAGGTGTTGAACAAGATCAATCTGCCATTACAAATTTGATATATCAAAGTAAATGCAAAAAAATTTGATTTTCAAAACTTTTTTTGTTAAAAAGCATAATTGTTTGACATCTAAGTATTATGTAAAGATTGACACAAGAATTTAATGAAGATTGTTACACATGAAGTAACACTCCATACTGTTGTGATGTGTGGATCTTGACGCAATTGCTACATTATGCTTTTTATAATGATTCCAAACTGAAATCATTAAAGTTGAATGAATAACATTCTCATTTGATTATTTTTATTAGATTTTATATGTCACAATTTGTTCAATAAAGACTCATCAAAGATAATGACAAGATTTTTGCTTTGCCTTGCTCTTAAAATTGAACAAATCACAAAAATGTGTAGTTAAATAATGTAAATTTTTTAGACAAAAAAAAGAAGCAACATATTATAAAAAAAATATTTTGATTTTAAATTCAAATTCAATTTTTTTTTGAAATATGAAAATCATAGCTTTTCATTTTTGACTTTACTCAAAATTTTGGAAAAATTCACATAAAAAATAGTAAAAATGTATATAAATTTAAATTTTTCTGAAAAACTCATTAGTTGACATTTAGTTATTTACCATGTAATCAATACATTAGAAGTTAAATACATGGTGAAGGTGAAAAATTATCTTCTTGTATTTATTGATGAGATCTATATAAGAAAGTAAAATCATTATAGTTATCTTTTATCTTCAGAATTTGATTCCATCTTCGAATAAGTTTCTTTTTTAATTACTAATGTTGCAATGATATCAGAGTCATCTTGCTATTTACTTGAACGTGGATTACTCCTCATAATATATTAAATATGTGATGATAACATTTACATCTTGAGAGTGTATAATGATTGGCCCATGCTATTGATTTGCATGTAGAGAGAATACAAAAAGTGAAACTTGTGATTTTTGAATATATGAAAGTGCATGAGAGAATTTCAATGCTTTAATGACCAATCTTCAATCTATTAGAGTTTCATTTTGGTTTTATGAAACAACATCATGTAGCGACGTATATTGTTACTTATTGGATTGCAAATTTTATTATTAGAAAGATGAAATTGAGTGTAGTTGATACTTTCAATGGTTTGTTACATCATGATTTATGATTATAAAATCTACATTTTATATTCAATATCCAATGAACTTGAATTGTGAACAATATTCTCTAGTTCAATAAAACACGTATATAGAAACTAGAACAATGTATCAACAAAAGAATGTGATGAAAAGATATTTTTGTGAAAAATCATATTGAAAATTTTTGTAAAAATGTTGTAAAATCAACTATTCATTTTGGGTTTTTTTTTGAAAGGTTGGATAATCATCATAATTATGTTGTATTAAAGTGAGTGAGAAAAAGCAAGGGTACATTACTTGACATGGATGAGGTGCTAAACATTATCATGAATAAGATGAAGGAATTGAAAAAAACCATAGCAGAGTAACATAAAAAGTAGCAAGCCATGAAAGATAAAATTTTGGCATTAAAGAGTGAAAAAGTTGAAAGACAACGAGTTGGAGAGATGGAGACGAAAACTTCAATAACAAATTCATGAATTTTACCTGATTCAAATTCTATCAACATTGAAGAACCAAATAGTAGACACGTTCAAAAAATTAAAGATCAAATCAATCTTTTGCTTCAAATGAAAAAGTTATGTAAAATTAAAACCTACAAGAGTAGAAGAGTTATGCAAGTTTTAAATTGCAAAGTATACATTTATCATATTTTCATGTTTTTAATTTAATTGCTTGACTGTTCATTAGATCTTAGCTTATGAATAAAGTACTCACATGATTTACTACATGGGATCAAATGCTATCAAAATGTGATGCTTCAATTTTTTGGAATGGAATGTAGAGGTAACTTTCACAAAAATTTTAAAATTTTCATTATCTTTGAACAACAAGAATAAAATTGTAAAAACTTCAAGCACAAAGTAGACATCTACAAGAACATTGAATAATTTGATGATCTTCAAGTATACATCATCGATATGAATGAAGCATAAGTTTTGAATATGTTCAAACAATGTTTGAGAGATTGAATATGAAAGAAGATGATGGTAAACAAATCATTCACAATAAATGAAGCAATCACAATTGGTCAACAAATTTTAGATGATAATGTAATTACACGTGATGAATCATCAATCAATTCTCAAGATACACTTGACCATACATCAAAGAAGTTGGAAAATTTTTAACGTATGTTAGATTATGTATCCATCATTAAGACGTGTAGCAAAATTTAGAGCTAAAATTTGACGATCATTGATTTCAAATTTGTAAGAAGAGTTTGCAAATATTGAAATGACTCGAGTAGAAGCGGATCTTTGTGAAACTCATCAATGTTATGCATGTAGAAGTATGTGTCACATTGTCAAGTTATGTCAAATTTAACAAGTATCACAAGAAGTATGTTCAAGATAGCAATGAGTTTTCAACAACAAATATTTTGCAAAATACAAGCTGATGAAGTAGTTTTGAAAAGAAAATATAATCAATAAATTTGATTTGCAATCTTCTTGATTTTATGTGTAGATTACAAAAAAGCGATGAAGTAGTTTTGAAAAACAAAGATCATCGATCAACTTGACTTGCAACTAGTTTCACATGTAGAATACAAAGAAGTTGATGAAATAGTTTTGAAAGACAAAGATCATAGTTAAACTTTGCAGTCTTATTAATTTTAGTTGATAAAATCTTGACTTTTCTTAAAAGAAAAGTCAAGATTGATAGAAGACAATGATTGAAAGCTTGTAGAAGAAACAACAAATAATAACAAATGATTTTCATTGACAACATAACAGAAGTACATAAATGAGAGTTTTGATTGAATTTTGAAGCAACAAAAATCAATGAATGTCATGAATGAAGCAATATAATTGAAAGGAAAATTAGACATAAAAAGTAGTAGATTCAAAAATCCATGAAGATAGATAGATATCAAGATAAGATTTTTTTACTTCTTGTCATGGGTTAAGGATCATGTTTAGAGTAATTTATAACACATATGTTTTTCAATATGAGTTCTTGTAAGCACGTAAGTTAGTAGTAATTTATAACACATCTATGTTCCAATACAAATTTTTCTAAGCTGATAACCTTAAACTATTTTATAACACGTAAAAAATGAATATCTACTCAAAAAATTGATCTTGGATTTCGAATTGCATCAGATTCTTGACATGCTCAAAAATTGCTCTGGACAAGTTACTCCATTCATGAGTGATTAACGACACATATAAGCAATTTTAATACTGAGTTGCTAGCAAATTATCACGCATTAGTAGAGTTCAAAAAAAATCTAACAAAAATTGAGTATAAGACATGCATTAGTAGAGTTGAAGAAGATACAACAAAAATTGATGATAAGACATCCATCCGCGCATCAAATTTTACTGATCTTAATAGATGGCTTGAATGAATGATAAGGTTTGAGAATGATGATTTAAATGCAAATTTTAATTGTGAAAATCTTGTTTTCAATAATGTATTTGTTAGTGTTCGATGAACCACAATAGTTACACACGTTTGGATCTGATATTGTGGACATTGTCTATATGAATTTTTGAGTTAATTGTCTTTGAGATCTTGTAACTGGAACACAATAAATCGTATCGAACCAGTTGATGATAAATGTAGAGAGTCCATGGATACTATCCAATAAAATGAATTGTGTTGGATCCTAGCAAGTGTTTTGGATTCCACAAAGATCTCAGTAATTTTCTCAAATAAAAATAAACTTGCAACAGATGACTCTAAAATAACTGTATTTCTCATTGATGTATATTATTTTCTGGTTGATGTATTTTATCTTTTATCATATAAAAATATAGTCTTGTATTTATCAAATAGATACATCTTAAAAAAAACTTCAAATGCAATCAAAAATTTAAAGCATAAGAGCAATATTCAGATGTTTCAATGAATAAAAAATTATGTGTATGAATCTTTTATTGATAATATATGTATATCTTCATGTGAGTGAAGTTTGATAATTTTCATTTTATAAATTTTTGTCAACCATTTAAGTTTTTCATAAATTTTCTTTCGATTCTGTTTTGATCAAGCATAAATATATTTGATGGTCAAATTATGAACAGTTTCAATAAAATTACTTAAATAAACTTATCCTAAAGCTTACATTACATGTAGTCTAGTTGAAGAAGGTATTTTAAATGCATATTTTGTTAAAATGACATTAAAAAAATTTGAAATTCAATAAACAGTCCGAATCCTGGAAGACATTTCCAGTTTACACATCTTTTGGAAGTTGCAAATGATGAGAATCCTTCAGAAATCATGACATGTCGTTTGTTATCTTCACTTTGATAAAAGTGAGGAAACAGAAATGAACATATATTTTGAAACAATTAAAATGAACATCTAGTGCGATCAATATGGCTTACACTTTTTTTTATCATTTAGATAACTCGACATGATCTATGACAGATCATGAAATATTTGCTTGTAGAGTACTACAAGCTGGCTGTGAAATGATAATTATTTTCCCTAGGGTACATTATGATGATAAAAGATAATAAATAAACCGTTAAAATAAATCATAACAAAAATTATTATGTAAAGTAAATAGGAGACTTTTAGAAGAACTTACAAAAAATTAAATGTTTACTATATATTATTTGGTCTCAAAGAGCTTATATAACATAAGTACATATAAGCAATGGGACATTTTCAAGATAGATTAAAAATATGCAACTTACTCGAATAAAAAATGAAAACAAGTCATACTTTGAACAATATCTTCTCACAAAACTTTCATGACAGTTTGCAACTAATGGACAAGATTTATCCATGATCATTGTTTGAAAAACATATTGAAATTTTCCCTCTTGAGTAATGATTTTTCCAATGCTTCCCTGAGTTTTAGATGGCAAAACCCATAGTTTAATATGTCGTAATAGCTTAATGGAGAATTTTATTATTTCTCTAATACACAATTGATACAACTACATAAGACTATTCTGTTAAATCATTAGAGTGATCATCTATCAAAAAGTAGTCCAGAAGGTGTTCATATAGCAATACTAGAAAATCACATGATTTTGTAAATAGAAGTCGGATATAAGATCATCTAATGAAGACATAATGACTTTTCTTGCGAACATCCCAGTACCTCTTAATGGACTTTACTGTCATAATGGATGTAAAAAGCGGAAGGAAATCATATTCTTCACAATAGCACTAGCTATGGACAACGATTGAAGGGCAAGTGTATTTGAAGGTTACACTTGCCCTTCAATAGTATATGATATACTCCTGTAAATGTCACAATATCCTTCACTACTGGAAATATCAAATGATTTAACCGGCCGATGCACAATGTCCTTAGTCTACATGCCACCTCCCTATGTCAAAATTGCATTACGCTATTAACTTTGTGAACTGACTGAAACACAAATTCGCTAAGTTCTTGTTAATAGGATATGAAGAAGACACATGTCTTACATGAATATGCGCAAGTTGTGACATTCTTCTCCAGACAATCATGGTTTACGGTGTTATTGATGAGTAGCTGGAGTTGTGGGAAGGGCGTCGTGGATCTTGAAAGAGTTGGGGTCCAGCCCCAGCCACAGCCTCGTCATCGGATCATCGACGAACCCATATGCACTTGCCTATCTCATACGAGAAAGAGCGCTGTTTGCAAGAACTTCGCAATGCTCATCGACACAAGCCAAATTCAAATGAAATGGTCAAAACTGGCCTCCTCGCTTCGGTGGTGTTTTCGAATCGCACATGCGTGGCCCGTGTTGACCATGCACGATAGAACAGTAGCGTGACCATCATCGAAACAGTTGACGTTACTCGACTGCAGTTCGTTTGACCCGAGCAGGAGCTTTGAGTCCTTATGCCGGGACAGCACAAAGATCAGACATGACTACGAAATATGGGAGAAAGATTCTTCCGATCATAAAGATGTGCAAAGTTTCTCCACATTGAGTAAATGCACATTCTCGTTAGTTTCGAGAAAATGTGGCGTAATGACAAAAGGATGGGCTATGGACCGTGTTTTATAATCTTAGGGTTTCGTGGCTGTACTCTACCATATCCAACCTCGATACCGAGTTGGCTATCTCGAAGAAGATACTGATGCGAATCCGGACAAGAAGACAGTCAGCAGAGCATTACCGTATTCGAGCAGAGAAGGCATCTGCATCTGGCCTGCCTGCACCTCTAACAGCATCTGAAAAGCTTAACGAACTTATGAAACCCCGCAGATCGAAGAGAGCCAGCCCCTGACACCTGACACACCTTCCACGTAGTCTTGCGGGTCGAGGGGCGTCCCCTTCGTTTCTTACCACGTCAGCGGCCGAACGAGTAAGGTAACGATGACGGGGAGGCGAAGGCGCAGAAATATGATCATTTCCATGATAGTCTGAGCATGCATTGCAATGCAAGGGGCTGCTCAGCTGCAGTCCAGTCTCATTCATCATTCTCCCAGAGGTTGTTGCACGAAGAGCTCCCTTCTTTTCTTTGGGAAACTGGGCTTCGGCCAGACGAGTACGAAGTCAGAGAACCTTACGATGGCTCTCATGGGTGGACACCCACCGAGAGAGATGAGATGCTTCATGGAGAAATTTCGATTCGGATGACCGACGGAAGAATCGCGGAGAATCGAGCTCGATCTCGTCTGTCAGTCGTAGCTGTAGAAGATGCACAGGCCAGGCAAGTGGAGCCTACGGACGGTATAAATTGGAGGCGGAAGGTGGAGTATTCTATTGGCCGGGCAGACTCTAATGAGAGAGTCCATTGAGCCCTGTGCACGAATAGTTCATGTGGAATATATTTCCTGGGTCCGGATTCAAATCCTGACAAATGAAATCAAACTGAATTCCGCGAGTTCGAACCTTGAAAGGTTCGGGTCCCGACTACGAGGAGGCACTGACTTGATGGTCAGACCTCTCTCGGAAGATGGCCGGCGTACCTGGTGCAAGTAATTGGCAACCACGACCTACATCGACAGCGCAAGAGAAGGAGGTGTAGTGAACGAACCTAGGGCTTAGGTAGGAGATCGATGAAGTTTCTTGTCCGACAGCAACGATTGTTCTCTGCGAGCAGCGGATTGGCCGAGAGCGGTAGTACCAACAGTATGATGAGAGAGTGGCAGATTGATTGACCAGTGACTTACATTATACAGAAAACTATTGTTCATTACGACGAAGCAGCAGCCTCGGCTGCAGAGACGAAAGCTGTCGGAAAGAACCTGTGCCTCATTCGCGCTGATTGGCAGTCACCTCGTTCGCTATCGTTCGATCGGTAGAGTAGTATGTATCATATCATATCATCTATGCTGCTAGTGCGTTACAAAAAACTGAATATCTCTTTGCGATCTTTGATCTGCAATCTTTATCTGGCTGCCAACTACTATATCATACGTACGTGCGTGCGGCCGTATGTGTATCCTTGCTTCGCGTGTTGGTCCACATACGAACCCGTTTCTCCGTGCATGCCCCCTTTCTGCGCTCGACATCCACACAGAGTACCAAGGCACCGAAAAAAGTTCGCATCAGCCTTACGCGACCAATCATGCAATATATTATGCAGTATACATCCGTTCATGTCTTCCATCCGAAAGCCGGAAAGCTAAAGCCGTCGGGCAAATTCCCTCCCTCCCTCCCTCCCTCCCTCCCATCCATCCTCCCTCCTTTAGGCACACTGGAGATCTCCTCCGAGATTACTTTTGCACACACACGCCGGCCGAGGTTTTAAGCCACGGCGAGCTCGAGCATATCATCTCTCCTCTGCCGACGGACGAGTTCGCACATTCATTCATTCTCTCTCTCTCTCTCTTTCTTTTTTTTGGAAGGAGGCTTCCGCAAAGACACAAATACTTGTGTACTTGCTGAACTGCCTGAATTGTACTCATCTCATATCTTGGAGATCTGGCTCGTACTCGAAAACTTACGGGTAATAGCAGAGCCTTTTACGACCTCTGAGGCTCTCATCGCTGAGGCACTGTTGGTCGCCAATCGAGTAAAACCCATCACGCCAGTCTGCACGGATCCGAAACCAATTGAAAGCGGAATCACCAGTTTCGCCTTTCACGTGAAATCATTGCGGTTGAAAGTTGGACTTGAAGCACTCATAAAGTCCCACAAATCCAGAATTATACCTGCATGGCTCGAGTAATCTTGCACCTGTCGGCTCCAAATTAAATGTCCGTTTTCAGCCTCATCTTCAGCAGCTCTGGTACTTGGACGAGCGTGGCGTTATGCCCTAGAATGCCTTCCGACATTCCACGGGCAATTTCGCCCACATTCCAGCATTTCAGAGTCTTCAGACATGAATCCGGCTCGCTTGTGGTCCCTAATTTCTAAGCCTGTCAAGCAAGGAAGTGGTAGCATCTCGCTGCCACATGTGGCAAGGATCCGATCTGTCCCCAGACGCGAGCCAATCACCAGATCGCATCTTACTGGACATCAACTCAACTGTCTGGCCAAGTCGGAACTCATACACCGGACTGCCTGCCGGCCGGCCGGCCCATAACCCCACTGATATCACTACTGATGTTAATGCCCCGAAAGACCATATGTCATACTCGTACAGCGCGCCTGTAGTGAGAAGTAATTGTTGTCCTCGCGCGCTCTAAGACTTTTAAGTTGTTATAAGCGGTACGATACAGTGAGAAGTCTTCTTCGCCTGTATTTCCACCTGAACAGAATGATGTTGTCTTGGTTGTGTGGTCCCCAAAGTGATCGATGAGCCGATATGTCCATAACAAGCCATGATTGAAAGGAAAATAATTGCCAGGGAAATTTGATGCAAAGTACACGTACCTACCATGACGATTTTGCATCTTGAAAGCAAGTGGTACCTTCGGCCTATATAATTCTCAAGATGGATGGTATACTGTGGCACCTTCCGGCGCTTGATGTAGCTTTGCGTGTCCACAACCTTCCAAATAACTCTGAAAAGGCGAAGAATCGAAAGCAAGACGAACCTTGTAAGTAGGACATCGTGATTTTACTGCCGTCGAAAAGGAATTTGCTGTGTTGCACGCCAATGACCGATTGTGCCCACATGATTTAAATTTTAAAGAAAGAGGAGAATCCAGTACCGCACCGCAGCTGCAGACATAGCAGCTATTCCTGACGAAATTTGCCTCGCTTTCCTCTTTTCAAATTGACTCGCGCAGTATGGCTCACATCCCCATACGCACCACCAAACGAGTTCTTGACCTTCAGCCATTTGCTGTTTTCTGCGCAGAAATGTAAAGTTCTTATCATCTTCAAGCTTTACGAAATGTAAAGCTTGCTTCTTACCTTAGGCCTAGTCAAAACATATTGGCCGGTGTACTGGAGTCTTGCCGTAGGAATATCCTGTTTGTAGGAATCTTCATGTGTTTGCGTGATGTTTCTGTCCTCTCGTGATGGTACTTTTGCTAACTAGAAGTCCACCTAGGTAGTGGGACTTGGTATTCATCATTATATCAGAAGGAGGGGAAAAAACACGCCATCCTACCTATTATAGTCTTGCATGCCGATCAGATATGACCAGAGTTACATACAAATGCAAGCTAGAAATCTAACTCAGCAGCGTCAAAATCAATGCATGTACAACTACTTATGCTTTGGTGAGGCTCCGAAAATATTGGCAAGAGTATAATATCCTGTGTGATGTGAGGAACATGATAGCCCAATGAAGGAAGCTATTGATGATGCTATTGGACCTTTCGGAAACACACAGTATAGCAAGAGCTGCTCAACGTAGCCATTGGTTCAACAGAACTTGCTAACAGTTTTGTTGTTTCTTGTCCGAAGCTGCATTTGTAATATTGACTGAAGTCTCAGGAAATCATATACGTCAATACAGTGGACTAATGGACCATAAATGTCTGGCCTTTGAGATATGTGAATGGAATATGGAGAACTACTCCAGATTCCCACTGGCAGACCGAGATACACTTTCATCCACTTGATGGACATCTTCTTTGAGTTTCATTCTTATCTAAAATGATTTTCTAGATTGTTGACGTGCTCACTGAATTGCTTCTTTCTTCTCTCCATGCACACCACGACGACGGGGTGTTATACCTCCTTCTACTCACTTCATGTAGCTATGTTTGAACTGCCGAGACTCATTTGATGTACTTGCACTTTGAGGCCGAGGAATTACATCTGTGACCCGAGAAGAAAAGAACGGACAAGAATACTGTACATAACTACTCTAACTGATGTACAAATGTCAGAATTTTCCGCCAATTCAGCACACAGTTGAAACATGAGCTACCCAATGGGCGTTTGCACCAATTACACTTATTTCTCAATTGAAAAGATACGTTTTGCTCCGTCTCACTTCTTTTTTTTTTCCCACAGTTCAGACCACCCTGCAGTTTGTATGTTCATGTAATTCCAGTGAATTCAGAAATAGGTTGCAGATATGGTTGCATGCATGCAGCGAGAATTCCTTAGCGTCACATCGACTTTCCAAATGATTGAATTCTCAACAGTGACTCAGAGATGAGGTTTGCTTAGATGTCAGACTTTTTGATTGATTTATCCACGGTAGTAACGAGCATAGAAATTATTAGACTAGTTATGTTGATCAATGGGCTCACGTTTGTCAAAGCAACAAACTTCAAAGCTGTCACCTTAACCTATCAGAAGATTGTAAGCGTCAACATGTTAGACCCGACATAAAAAAGGATTTCAGTAAGATTTATGGAAAGTTCATTGCTTAGACCACCAGAGTAGTGAGAAGGAGTTCTCTGGATATGTCAGAAGAGATTCCTCTTAAACGTATATCAGATAACTGTAGTTATCTGATTTTAGTTAGCTGTATGATTCTATCGGTTTAAGTCGCAGAATGTTTCGACATGGCTTAAAATATATCATCAGAATCCTAGGTAATGACATGAAGGTGGTTGTTGTAGAGCATTATTACCGACCCACAATTAGTGAATATAGTTGCTTTTGATTCTTTTCAGCCCAAGTTGTACTCCAATGCCCGACTTGACAGGTTGAACAATGTACTGTTTGATCCATATTGTTAGGAGGTATTTGAAGATGTCATACAGTGTCATGCGAAATAGGGATATGGAAAGGACCTATGAAAAAAAGTTCGATATGGATCAGTGTAGATTCTCTTGCGCACGATTCAAATTTTCTGATAGACCTGGGATTTTTTGACAGATATAGTTGTTTAGCCAAACGATAATACTGGTAATCGAAGTCAGAATGTAAACAGATCTATAAGCTGGAACACCGGTTGTACGCACTTCCATAACAATTGAGGACGTCAGGTAGTTTTCTTTTCGAGAAATCAGATCGGATAGTGTAAGTTGCAAAAAAGAGATGGTGGGATGGGCCTGTACAATGAAGTTCTAAGGTGGGGCTACTTTCCCCGGTCATGTTGTCATCATCATCCCGTATGGTGGCAATCAGAATGCTCGCAAATAATGAGGACCGGGGAGTATCTGAGGCTGAGTAAATTGCGATTATGATCGTCGGAGAAACTTTACTAGGCGACTCCGTCCACACCTCGCTTTCTTCAACTTTTGGGTCAAGTGATACTTATCGCCCAACGAGCATCTTTTAATGATTAAGTAGTGGCTTAAAAATATGAGAATTGATGATCACTACTAGCACCATCAGAAGAGGTTGTTTCGGAATCTTAGGTTTTGCTTCATGGAGTAGTCCCGTTCCACTGTAGCCCAAGACAGATTCGTCTTAAATGTACTGCGCCTGAACTCTGCTTCCTAGGAATTTGATAGCAGGCGAGTGTCAGACGAGGGGATGCTAAATATCAGGGGGAACATGTGATGAATATTAGCATCGAACGTTTTCAGCTCATATGAAATTGCAGGAAGGCAAATTAGAGCAAGGCATTTCACCTGAATCCAATGCGGAGGGCTTGTAGCGCTGAAGTCGGTAACGGTGCGGTGGAGCGGTTATGGCGAAATCTAAGAAAGGTTGGGTTGGGACCGAGCGAGCGTGCTCGAAGAATATCTAGAGAGGGTCAGTCGAGTCCAGTCCACTGTGAGGGCAGCTGGAATTAGTGAACACCCAAAACGTACTTAGTACCGAAGGCGTGGCAGAGGCGGTACAACGGATATTTGTGCAGCATCAGAGTCGATGTTAATAATCAAGAAAAGGCTCAAGGGCGAGAGCTGAGGAGGATGAGGATGAGGCAGGGAAGGGAGTTCGGACGAGACGAAAGGAAGGAAAGTGAGCGATTCAGGCGGGTCCGTAAAGGCGAAGAAAGGGCTCGGTAACCTTGGCTGGCGGTCTGGCTGTCGGAAGACGAAGGAGGCCCCACTATGCAACACTTTCCTTGCGGTGTGGATGATGGCTCATCACATTAACTTGAGTCACAGGGGGCGGACAAATACGGCACAATGCGATGGTGTCGCCCTCTCATTATCACGCTTTGTTGATGGACGCAAACCACGAAAGGCGCGCGATGCTCTTACAATATAATTATAAACCAAAATCAACTGTATATCGGGCGGGACGGAGGGAGGGAGGGAGGGAGGGAGAGATCTGTACCAGCCCGGCCCTGCCCTGCCCTGCCCTGCCATGTCGGCCTTTCCCTGATTTCCCTACGCGGCCCTGCCCTACGCTTTCCGATCCTTCTTTCGGTCTGTCCGTCTTTCCGTCCTAAGTGCCCGAGCCCAGAAAGTACGAGAGTCCAACTTCACGTGCCAGTTTCTGTTTCGAGGAACGCACGGTATACACGGAGCGTCAAGCAACCGCGGCCTGACACGTAATGGGTGAGGGTAATGTGGATGGCGGATTCACATGCTTGTCACTCGTGGCGTATTCTCATGCATGCGTACTGCATGTTGTCTTTACCGTCGGGAGGCCACTCCCATCAAGGACCCGTGCCGTTGCCGCCCGAGGCAAGGGCCCGAAAAATAACTCTCCCCCAGACGGGCTTCTGGGATCGGAGGAGAGAGACTAGAGGAGAGAGAGTGGCCTGTATTGGGCTTCAAGTGCCTGACAGTGGCTCTCGCTTTCGCCACCACTACCACTACCACTACCTTCCTCCTCCCCGGCCATTCAGCAGCAGCAGCAGCAGCATTAGCTTGTTCTCTATCGTCGCGCAGGACGGACGCCGGCGCTCGGTCCGTAAGGAGGATCCCGTTGTTGTAGAGAGATGATGCATGGCGATCGAGGGCGGTTTCTTTAGAAAGAGGATGAATGGAAGGGAGGGTTTCTAGAAAGAGGATGAATGTCGATCGAGGTTTGTAGAGAGAGGATGCGCGAGACGGAGGTTTTCACGATGGGAAGCGTGGTTTCCCATGGCCGGCTGGCTGGCGACGACGAGGAGCGAGCGCCACTGTCGAGCTGCGATGCGATGCGATGCGAGGCGGAGGCGGAGGCGGAGGCGTGCAGCGAGAGAGGTTGACCACCGCTGCCTTGCGAAGGTGGAGGACAGATGATGATGGGCATGTAGACTGGTAACTAGCGCGCTCTGCTACCGCTTTGCCCAGGAAGGCGTGCGGCCGTGCGTGCCGTGTGTTTATGCTGGAAAGATTACGATGTGTAACCCTCACCCGGACCTCGAGTTTTCGTTTCATTTCATTGGCGAGTCACACAGTTCGTTCGTTGGTTCTTTCATTCATTCATTCATTCATTCATTCTCTCTCTCTCTCTCTCTCTCTCTCTCTCTCTCTATGTGCGGACTTTGCTTTAGCCTTCATGAAGTGTTTAGTGTTTGTTTCTTTGTTTTCCGCTTATAGGCACTTGTAGCAGCAGCAGCAGCGTCCATCTGATCGATTTCTGTGTTGGTGCTCCTCCTTCGTTTCCATGTTACATCGGATCGAATTGAAGTTCTCGATATCACATTGTCACCTTCTCAAATCTTCTTCTTTGTCTCTGTTTGTGTGTCTCCCTCTCTCCCTCCATTTCTCTTGACCCTCGCGATCTTTCTCTCTCTTCGTTTGTCGATACTTTAAATGAGAAAATTATTCGCATCAACAAGCTCAGAGCTAATGATCGTCGTCAACCGAACTGTGCGTCAGTAGAGTAGTACACGGTCATCACATGTACATGTCTGGATCCAGGTTACGTGTATTTGTTCGTGCGCGTGCTTTGTTCTCGAACGAGATAGATCAGACATCGACATCTCGGACCGGAAGACGATGGATGGATGGATGGCTGGCTGGCATGGAGCATGGCCCGCCCATATAATGCACAAGTCAGTCAGGACACACCAGAACAGAACAGAACAGAAGTGCGGCATAGCAACGAAAGAAGTCAAGAAGCCCGAGGGAGGAAAGAAGGAAGGCCGGGGCACGGAAGGGGTTCCCGGGAAAGGGGGTGGGGGATGGTGGGGTCTCGACGACGGATGACATGAAAAGGCAGGTTGTCAACGAGGAGAGCACCTCGGAGTCAGAAGATCATGGCTGGGACCGACACGGGCATCTACCTATCTAAGCAGCCCACTCCACCAGCCTGCATCGGGGAGTCCCGGCCAGTGGCCCGAGGGGAGTGGGGGCAGGGAAAAGGCCGTCATGCATGGACGCGAGGTCGGATGAAGTAAGACAGATGATGAGGGGGGGAGGCGTCTAGGCGCGGGCGAGTTCAGAGCCTCAGCCAGTACAGCTCCTTCCTCCCTCCCTCCCTCCCTCGCTCCGTGGTGGTGGTCCAGGGGCCAACACTGGACCCGTGGGGGGGCGCCCGCGCCCGCGACCGGGACCGGGCAGAAAATATTCACCCCGTCACGCCGCGACAGGCAGTCAGTCAGACAAGGTGCCAGGCTAGGGTCCGCCATCTGCCTGACAGCACATGGGCTATGGCCTTGGGATCGCCCTACTCTCGCGAGATTATCAAACCCTCTGATTCTTCGCGCTAGTTCACCACACCTCAGCTTTTACGATGACATGGAATCAAACTCTGCCTCGAGCACACGTACCACTTCCTCCACCACTTCCACCACCACCACCACCACCTCCTCCACTGCTGCTACTGCTACTCCTGCACGCATGTTGAGAACTACATTCTCGGCGAGGGGACAAGAACCGAGTTTTCGGCCACCATCCCCGATATGAGAAGTACGTTGGAGCGAGGTTCATGACAAGAATTCCCTGGCCTAGCTGGCTGCAACACGAACTCTGGCTAATGATTTTCGCAGGAAGACCGGGATTTCTAAATCCATGTCTTGACTCGGGCCGGCTGCTTTCTGCAGTGCTTGCCTGACTGCAGCTCTGAAGGACTGGATTCTAATTTATTTGGGCTCGAAGGAACGGAGAATCTAATATGAAAAGTAGGGAACACGACTGACGAGTCATCAACCTCGAAACCTACTAACGAAGCCAATATCACCTGCAGCCTAATGCTCGCTCACAGTCTCAAACAATTACACCAAGCAACTCCCTAAATAGTTTGTTATATTCGGAAATCCAGACTTAAGAACTTCATCTTTACAGGTATATGCTTCTAGAAAAAGACAGGTCTCTCTTGTACAATCTGAATTCACAGAAAGATCTTAAAAATCGGCTGGATCTACCAGATCTAATTTAATGTTGGAACATGTGACTTCGATAATTTGAAGCATATGACGTGCTGATTTGTCCTTAATATAAATCTGCCCGACTCAGTTTCCCATCCAGGCTTCCTCCAGGATAATAGATGGCCATATTACCGACCATTGAACTTTCTCAGAGAACCAGATCCTTATTGAAAATTAAGTGCAAATTATGGATGTAGGAACACAACAGTGGTTCAAAATGCAGGGAAGTGTTTGACGAAACACGACAGCGACGGAGAGTTGAAGAGCATCTCCAGACAATATCAAGCCAAGGAAACAGTCGGTGAATGTGGGCGATGTCGTTGGTATGAATCGTTTCCCAGCTGCCTTTTGATTTAAAATGATTTACGTTTTTCACTGAGTGCTCACTACGAACTTAACGTAGTAGTCAAGGCTCAGTCGTATCGAGGTATTTTAGCAGTGAATGGAACGGAATTAGCATGAGTGCTTCTATTCTGCGTTAAAGTAGATCCCCACGGCCGCTGATTTTAATTTTTGCCATTTATAACCTATTAGTGAGGTTGTTATGGTTAATACCTGTCTCCTGCCTGTCAGGAACGCAGTGCATTGTGCTACACTAGTGATGTGAGCTCTCTATCTGCATCGTGAATCTGTTGATAAATCAGAGGGAGCAGAAGCGACAGTTATGTCAAAAGTATCTGCTTTCCAAGCACGTTTTCCTTCCAACGATTCAGGACATGTTCGCAAGCAACCAGCCCGAGGTACGTAAGATTGAATCTTATGGAAGTTCTGAGTACATAAATTAGAACATTTGATGCTTTCCATGCCTGCAAGCAGTACTTGTAGATTGTTCGCTTATGTAGACTGAGGATCCAATGGTTTGTTGATGGATGATTGGATAGAGACATCCAGAGCATGAAAGCGAGGAGCCAAAAATCTACTCTTTGGCTTACTTTCCTACGTTTAAAATTGTCCTGAGAGTAGAATGTCCTAAGAATACTTCAACCTATCTCCTATGCGGGCCCAGTTCCATGCTACCTGGACAGCTACATAACGTGAAGGTTGGGTACGATACTTTCAGATTTAAGTCTACGGATAGCATACTGAACCGCGTTAAAGGACTCCGAACTGTCGCAGCTAGAAACCGCAACTGCCATATTCGTCTCCCCAGCCGCAACAAACCCCACCCTGTGCACACACGCGTCGTTTCCGGATATTTATTAGCAACGACAGTACACGACTTCAAACGCAGTGCAAATGAACCGGATTGATATATAGCGTAGGAAACCAGAGTACACGGACAGCATCAATAAGAATTACCTCTGAACCAAGGCGATTGATTCCAGCTGCCACCGACACCTCATTTGACGACAGACGTCTTTGAGTTTGGCTTCAGACACTGCAGATGGATGCTGCCCATAGTCAATGCCACTGATGCGTGCCCCATCTCTAACATGGGGTACTTTACATGCATAAGACCCTACCTCTTGGGCGAAATCACTCCTTACCTTTCTGACATAGTACCCAAGGTCCACTGGAATGGGTGTGAACTCAACGAGATCCTCCCCATATTGACTCACAACGCCGCCCTTTGCTTGTTCTCCCGCGGCATGCTCGACAAAATTTGATCTCATCCAGTCTTCCTGGGATACCATGCTGAACGGTGGTCCAGCATTAGAGTTGGAGTTACCCCGGCTTGTGATGTTTTCGTGAAGAAAGCACATATCCATAACTGCCCCAGAGTGATTCAGTACATGCGTTGCATCATTGCTCCTTGACTCAGATTTATCATAATCACCACTTGGCGCCGGCTGATATGGCGGCACGCTCTGGACGTTTATCAGCTCTGCTGCAGAGGTACTGAACGCGTCAAGAGGTAGAGCTTGGCAGGTATTAAACTCTACAGATATTCCCTCTTGGAGGGTTGTAGAGGAAGGTTGTTGTAACTGATGCCCGTGGATCATCTTCGTGTTTTCTGCAGCCACGCTAAGATTATAATTTGCAAGGCTTTCGAGCACTTTCTCATGGGCAAGGAGTTCAGAGATACAAGCAGTAGACTGAGACTGAGCACCTGCAAAGTTCTGCGAGTAGTCGAGGGATAAACTTGATCTCTGGAAACAAGCATGCGCACCAGGCACATCATTTAGAGGCGATGGCAATAGATTCTCAATCTGGAATGGTTGAGCTGTCAGCGGATTGCTTTCTCCCGCAGTTGCTTTGGAATTGGCTTCCAAAACTGCAGGCGCTTCCATTATGCTCCCCTTACATGTTGATGATTGTTCTGCTTCCAGAGGGTACGGCATACTATGCCCATCTCTGCCAGTCTCGGAACACGATACAAAGTGTGCTCTCGTGATGTTTAAGCTCTGTAGATCCTGGGGAATGCTGTGGAAATTAGCTTCGTTGCAACAACCACAGGGAGTCAATGCAGGAGGGCAGCTTTCCCCGTGTTGGCTGTCAGGTTTTAGAGGTTTCGAAGATGGCGACGAAGATGCCACATATCCAGCAGGTGGAAAGGTAGACGTTACGCCATCCCACATTTCTGCGCCAGCAGCCCCTCCTGTCGCCTGTGTTGTGCCAGAATCGTACATACTGCTTCCGCCCCATCCTCCTCCCCATACCGTAACTTGAGGGCTGCTATAGCTCCCACTACCGGTGCCTTGACCCCACACAGATACACGAGTTTGCAGAGTGAATGGACCGTGGAAGGCCCCGAACGGACCAAACGTATTGGCTTGTAGGACCAAATTCCCTTGAGGATTAAGACTTGTGGCAAACTGCACTCCTTCTTCGCCTTGGTCTTGTGCCCATATCATTTGCAGAAGCTGATCTACTTCCGCGGGACTCATATCCGGGTTCGTTCTTGTCTCGAGCTGCTGATACGAATTATCCTCCAACTGGTTACTACCAACGCTTCGGTCATAGCTCCATCCTGCTGTGGAATCACATGTGACTTGCGGAGAATCTAGATCCGGCGTTCGTGCATGGGCCTCTTCTAAGGATCTCAGACGGTCGCGGCCGTTCTCTGGGGTTGCCGAAGATCCCTTCTGTTCTGTAAACTGTATAACCTTTTGCTGGTAGTCCCGGAGAACGGTACATCGAGGCACCACCTCTAATCCGTCCGTCGACCCATCCACTGCTTTTCGGTGCTTTCGGCGCAGATCTTTTCTTCTCATCGTGGCATTCCAGTGATTCTTAATCGCGTTCTCCGTACGGCCAGGAATCATTTTCGCGATATCAGCCCAGCGATTTCCGAGCTTGTTGTGCGCCGATACCAACGCCTCCTCCTCTTCGGTGTTCCAACCATCTCTCTGCAGAGCACACAAACATAATTTTAGACGGCCAAAATTTACATCACACGTACCCAATTTGCTCGGTCTGAGTGTAAATCCACTTGATTAGCTGTAGGAGTAAGACACATTCTTTGCTATTTACACATTAGCGAACTAGAGAACTTTCGGACAGGGAAGCACGCTTCCCAAGAAGACCAAATTCTTTAGAACCTGATGCCGACAGGTTTATCTAGGTTTTCACTGAGACCCAATGAACATGGAGTAAATATGGTCAGTTACATGTTTACTGGCATCAAGGTCGGGAATGGTCTCGAAGTTATACTATACGCATCCTCAAGAAATAAAGACTCAAACTCACCGAGAAATTGGAATCGCCTTGGCGAAGTGGCAGAAATTTCCAAAACAGTATGGCACATCGCAGGTGTGAAGCAAAGTCAAGAAACCAACTGAACGAATTACAAGAACGAACCTTGATATCCGGACGAAGATGATTGTGCCATCGCTCTCGGCATTGTTTACCAATCCGGCCTTTCAAATAGGTGGCTATAAGTGACCACCGCTGATGACCATGTCTTTCAACCAATTCCATCAAGTATCTGAGAGAAAGTTACAATCGAGTGAATCAATAATTTATGCAGACCATCGTCGTTCTACCATCCCTCAATTCTGTCAATATACAAGAATAGAGAAAGAACGTCACAGAATTGGGCCCTATTTATATTATTTTCTGGAGACAAGCAATCTATCCTTCAAAGCTCGACAATGTTGCAACGGTCGGGTGGGTGAGGAGAATGCAAACGAATTCCGAGGCTACGATCAGAATCTGTAAAAGTACGAATCCGGATCGTCTATCTAGAGCTGATATTGAAGTTGTAGAACCGGGAGATCTTTTCCTTATCGACGTCTGTGGCACAACACAGTAGCTTTCACTTAAAGCTCGAACATCGCGGAAGAACTTGCGAAACCCACCCACGCATGTGGAAATGACACACGTGTGCTATTAATACTGCCAGAAGAAAGAATCACTTTGCGGTGCAAATTGTGGCGATCAGGGAATTGATCTAAAGACAGAAAGAGTTCCCGGTCAAAATGACTTGCCACCATCAGAAGACGAGAATAGAAGCTGAAACGCTAGTGAATTGGCAGAAATTCCGTTAGCGTTCGCGTACTCAGCAGTGTAAGTCCTTGCCGGTGGGCTGCCGCTCTAATGTACAGTCACGACGACAGTCTGAGTGAATAGAAGGGTAAAGAGATTTGGACATGATTGAGTCCGACCTATCTTCTTCTGGAGTCCATTGGCCCTTGATAATGTTGGGCCTTCGCGGACCTCCTTTGGAAGAACGTTTAAACATACGCTTCCCGGGCATATCATCGTGTTGTTCGTTGAGTGCCTTCTCGTACGCTTCTCTTGCAGTCAGTTGTTCTCCTGAAGTCCTCTGCATTTCGAGTGAACACTCATCAGCAAAGTAGTTTTGCCTTTGGGTCACCAGACCACCAAACCCGCCCGGACTGCTCCCATCTTCTTCGGCATCTCTCTTATTGGACTGTCCGCAGTCTAGCCTGGCATCATTGTCTAAAGATAAACTCTCTCTAGATCGCTCACTAGATTGTTGTTGCCTGTATCGTTGATTTTCCTCCAGCTGCAGGTCCAAAAGCTGTGCCTTATGCACACTTGTTAGAAGATAGCAGTCTCCAGGTCCGACACAAACTCCTTGCGACCAACTTTCACCAGCGTCAAACCCATCTCCATAATCAGCACTCAATCTACGGATGTCATCCTTCCCCGGTGCCTCAACACAATTTGTCCGATCAGAAGCTTCTCCTGCACCCATGTCAAGACAGCGTAAACTGTTTTCCTCTTGAATGCCCATCAGCTGCTGTAATTGAGACGTGTTACCGTCGATGTTGGCCTCTTTACCGCAACTACTTTGTGAGTTCTCAAATTCGGGTAATCGCTCTATTCGCTCCACTGAATTCAGGTGTCGCCTCTCTTGTAGATGTTTCCAGTATCCATTTAGATCCTGGGTTCCTTCTTGGCAGTCGACGGTACCCAAGCTTAGAGAACCGATACTGGAGTTGTTGATATCATGATCAGTGGTTTGGAAGTGAGTACTCGGACTGGCTTCCACAGCCCGACTGCAGATGCTAGCAAAGGCTTGGCCTTCGTTTGGCCCGTCCTTATTTCGGGAAACAATTTCCAAAGTGTTCAACGCTGGATCCAAATTTCGGGAATCCCTTCCGTCGAGTCCGAGAGTTGTTGATTGTTTGTAAGCCTCAGAAGCACCCTCAGCGGACAGCGCTTTCTTCTCCGGGAGGTTCTTCCACACCAAAGGTCGTTTCAGGCTTCCTTCTCCATTTGGCCATTCCGCCTGGTGCAAACCAAAATTTGATTGATAGTCCATATGCTTGTTGGTCTTTGCTCTCTTTTCACACCACCAAGAAGCTACCTCTATAGGCTGCAATTCCACTGGATTCTTTGCTACGGGCTGAGTTTCACCTTCTTTTGTCAATTCACTGCCCCACTCGGAGTCCATCTCAGCGACTAGGCTGGGGAAGTGAGTCTCCGCCTTGTCGATTCCAGGGCTTTGCCAATCAGAAGCAAGTTTGAACTTTTGCTCGAAAGTGCACTTGTCTCTCTTCCTTCCTCTTCTGGGTCCCTTCACCGTTCTATATATCTCAAACACGGATTTCCTCTCACCGTGCAGATCCCTATAATCACTAGAGAAATTCGCAGTTAATGATAACCTCCGTTGAAAGTTTTGCAAACTGATCGGATGTTGAGGATTAGAGGCTTCCTCATGGAACAAAGTGGACTGTCTCTCGAAACCGCTCTCGCTGTGAGAAACCTCGGACGATCCGGAGAGGTTAACACCAGACTGAGTTTCCAAGCAGGTAGGCAAGACTTCTGTACTAGGACAGTACAAGAGGTGACCAAGTGCGTATCCCAACCCTAGAGTGTCAAGCTCGATGAGCGAGTTCTTGCCTCCCGTCATGGCCGATCGGTGAGTTCTCCCTTCCAAAACAAAAAAAGGCTGCGCATTGCTCTCCCTCAGTAACGGTCCTTCGGGACTGAGGGCTGCCTCTGCTCTCGGTGACAACTGCACCCCCGACCCACACCCACCCACATGCACAAGTGCTTGCTCACATAGTGCATACCCAAAGTATACTTCTAGCTGTTCAAGTCGACCTCTCCATCTACAAGAGTAACTTGACTATCTCAAGTGGAAAAGAAATTCCATCCTCGGTGCAATCTCTTGGGAAAGAAATTTGCACCTTGGTTTAAAAACAGGCTTCAAGATACTTTGGAGAAAGACCATGATCATAAGAAGTGTTCCAAACATCACGATTCTGTCATCTGTTTCACGAACGTCATAGAATTGCTATCTGAACACTAGCTACTCGTTAAGAGCATTTTTTCGATGGATGAAATCCTTACCGGCCCGGATGGAGAAGGCGCTGCATTTGATGGCATGACAGCTAACTGAGAGCTGTGTTTCACCGAATTTTCCCTTCAGGAGATTCTCACTCACACCTTCCACGAAGGCCCAGTTGCTTCTATGAGTCCGGAGCTTCATGGGAAAGTCTCATCTTTGATCCGCCAATTGCCAAAGACTCCCTCTTGGTGCGAGTCGGCAAAAATTGAGAGCGCTGATTGCTAGCATCCTAGCGTACTCATGGCTTTCGGCCGGCTGCATCCAAGTCGCTATGAAGGGTGTGTGGAGCGTCGGGGGTAATTAACGCTCATGAAGAAGCTCAGCTCGTTGTGGATGTTTTCGGGCGATATTCTTGGGCCGGGGAGGGGAGCAAACAGCTAGGAAAGATTGCCCTCATTTACTTGTGTCATGGATCGTAAGAAGGCGAGCGTTTGAAAAATATATCGAATGAGTGTGGACAGAGTCATAAAAGATGGAGTTTGCACTAGCGACGAAAACGCTCCAGATCTGTGCACTCAAAAATTGCTACCGACACTCTGGGAGAGACTCACGGTTCATGAAGCGCCGATTAAGCTACGGCGATCGAAGAAACCTAAGCAGCTAAAGGATGACAGTGTCGTAGAAAACACAATCGAAAGCGAGAGTGAGTATCCATCGGTGCACCCGTACGCGCGGGCTCACATGCAACACTTGCGTTGAGTGAGTGAGAGAGAGAGAGAGAGTGTGAGTACGACGACCGAAAGCCTCGAGTCTCGTCCTGCAGCCTGAGTGTGTGCGGAGCGACCAGTCCTAGGATGGCAACTTTTGGATGACACCTCGGGAACGGGACGACGGCACAAGGAGGCGGGACGAATGAAGCAGGAGGAGACGCATGCATCTACGAGCGAAGGCGACCAAATTGAGCTATGGTAGGGATTGACAGGCGGGCTGCAGCAGTGGCAACGGCAGCCGGAAGGCGGGCGGGGCGAGGAGAAAAAGCGAGCGAGGCGCGCGCTTGCAAGAAAAGACGACGCGGGGACAGATCACGAACGAGGCGAGCGAGGAAGGAAGGAAGGAAGGCAGGAAAGAAAGAAAGAAAGAAAGACGCGAGCAAAGGGATGAGCGTTGAGGAATAACAAGAGTGCGCGGAAGTGAGTCACTTTAGTCTAGCATTACAAAGCAGCCCGTCCGTCCGTCCCGGGCCTCTCTCTCTCGGTCCGGTTGAAAGACCGGTGGACCCCGCGCACCATGGGGTGGTGGCTCATCCCTCTAGAGCACTCCCTCTCGTATCCGGCCGCTTCTTATCGCTCCCATACGGGTCCTCTGCTTACCACCCAACAGCCCTCGAGCTGGACCATTCTACTGCTACTACGACAACTTATTGAATTGCATTTAATAAATCATATAAGACAACAACCTTTTACCTTTTGGCTGTTCTGTTTATTGATCAGCGCTAGACCGTCTGTCTCATTTGCCCACGCACCCGTCATCTCAATGATCAGCTACAGCGGCTTCTCTATGGCCGATTCCGATTATCATCTATGCCATGCCATGCCATCGCATCCAGCCCATCGCATCGCCATCGCCATGCTGCAGCTCGGCTGCTGAACGGGGCCCCTCGTATTTCGGCAGCGGACAGACGCGGAATCGACCGCGCCTTCTTTCCTACCGGCACTTGAACAGCGAAGTAGAAGCAGAACCCACGACGGCGCTTTCGAAACCAACCTCGTCGTGGTCGACTATCGTTACCGTTCACACGAATCAGAAAATTTGTGTAATTGAGATGGAGGTACAGTATTAATTATTGCCATGACGGCTTCGCATTTCACGACGATACGAAGTGGGCGACAAACAGCGCGACCGGGTTTGCGAAGTGGAACTCGGTCCAGTCCCACAACCGAGCGACCGATTGACTGTGCAGTCATTTGTCTTCGTCGATGTGCGTGCCCGTCCCTGTGGCCGACTGAGTCGAGTCTGTCACGTCCAGGAACGGGGATCAGAATGTGGAATCTACATGCACTAGGCCGGTCACAATCACTATTAAAGGCAGCAGAGCAGCCAAGGCGTAGAACTGGGAAAGTTGTCTTTCTCCCCGAGGGCTTCTTTTCCCTCCTCTCGTCTCTCTCTCTCTCATCTTGAAATGACTCAGAATTCTAGGCGTTAGAAGTTCCTGGGATGCATGACGATGACGAGGACGAGATGCGCTATAATAAAACAGTAGTAGCAGTAGGTCCACATCACTGATCCATCTTCGGACAACAAACCGTATTCTTCAGTACAGGGCAGGGCAGGGCCGAGGTCAGTGGCCGGTCAAAGCAGTTTAATCGAGTCCTCCGCTGTCGATAGTGAAGGAGTGGAGAAGAGAAGAGACGAGCAGTGAGAAATAACGGAAATCTCTTTCTTTCTCATACATACATACGCCCGCCGCCCGCCCGCCTAATCTCCTCGTTTGTGTTTTTTGTGGTATTTCTGTCCTAATGTCGGACGCCACCCCCGCTGGCCTGGCAGTTGCCCTGGGCTTCTGCCCGGGTCCCGCCGCCTCCTCTCTCTCTCTCTCTCTCTTCTCTTCTCCGTAACATGCCCCCAGTTTGTTGCCGCCCATCTCGTCTCGTCTCGCACTCATCTTCCCTGTGACATGTTGTGTTCACCAAATTTGCTTTGGTTTCGTTTCTCTTACTCGGCTTGCCTGTGCATTTCCCGGTCTGCACTGTAAGTTCTGCTCAGGTCGGGCACATATTCCCAGAAATATCCGTTAACCGTTAATACTAGAGATGAAGATGTAGCTTCCTGCCGAGGAGTAACGAGTCATCACCTGCTTTTAGTCGACTGGCAAGTGGGTACCAGTCTGTCCCCCATCTATACTTAGCTAAGGGGAGTGTGTGCTGAAAGTGAGTCCGGCTGTTTGTGCCTGTTACGCCTTTTCCCTTCGAGCATCCCACTTCGACACATCGGATCAGAATTGCTCCTGTTCAGGTTTTTTCCAAGTTCTGTTGAGGGACTCAATTTCTACTCTCTCTCTCTCTCTCTGTTCTTGAGCTACGTTCCTAGTTCTTGAAGGTGAGAATTCGTCTATATAATTGAAATTCAAGGACTATATGTTATGATATCGTCCAAATACATCGATAAAATCTCGCATCAAAACACCTGCAGGTTTCGGTAGGGCCATTGCCCATAAAGCGTTTGTGGATTTCGTCCATATCCCATGCAGCGCCAAATTGTAATGTCCTACACTCAAATATCCTCTTAGTAATGTCTACATCTTCTCCACATTTCCATGTCTTTCAACGGCTCCACTGAATACCATATTTAATACAACTCCAAAGGAATTTGTACGGTCCATATATTTTGTAGACGTTTAGACTGAGTATTGGTAAATAAGCATAGAGATGGTCTTGGAACGTTAGATCTCGCTACGCAAGTACTTCAACGCCATTGTCTTGGTTTAAGTGTATACGCTAGTAGTGTAGTCGAGTCAGCCAGATGAGGAAGAGCTTCGACCCACCCAACGCCCGAGTGTGGACGAGGCAGACATCTTAGAGTGGTAAACACTTTTGTCGGCCGCAAATGGATGACGGCAATTTAAATCTTTCCGCATGCTCTACAAAGCGGACGGAGGGCGAAGTCCATATATTTTTTTCATATACAAGAAATGAGCGGAGGGTTATTACTAAAGCACAATCTCAAAATCCAGATAGCAGGCGCAGGCAGATGGAAGAAGCTCTACCTAGAATATAGCTACAGTATATTCAGGGGTTGATTTCGCACGAATGCTGGATATGAGAGGCATTGTGGATCCCTCCTCAAATCTAATAAAGTCGTATGATCTGTTTTGCTTTTTTTCCTGGTAATCTGCTTTGGCACTTGCCCGATGAATATGACACGAGGAGAGAATTTATTCTGTTGCCGGTTGTTCTTTGAGAGCAAGATCAGTCACATTATTCTTGGATCTCTATCCCTTTCGCTTCCCAATAAAATGTTCGCTTCAGTCCCGATAAAAAAATTTATAGCTTCTTTTGAACTGTTGACCAGTCCGTGGATATAACGAGCTCGGAAGTTCTCATTTTAGTGCCCAAGGAAGTAATGTCGGACCGCTCGAACTGACGAAAGGAAGATGTTCCATATTCTAGTTTTTCTTTTTTAGTCATTTCTATACTTCCAGCTGATGCCCGGAATCTTTGAACACCTCGTGTCTTGCTCTCACAGGCACCAGTTTTCATGCTTTCGTTGCTGTGTGACTAAATATCCGTCTTGTTCTTATAATAAAGGATGATATTTGTTCGCCCCGTTCCGAAATCACACGCGGATACCGGTTCTATTTGTAGAGGATCCACGGATCCACAAGTGGCACCTCAACTGCATTTGAGCCTATGGGAAGTCATCCCAGCGCTGCCCCAAGAGGCTCCACGGACACTGGTGATCGCATTCACCGGGCGTGGTCCGCTAGATATGAAAGCGTGGTACTTAGGCCGTCTGAGACAGCGCTAAATCAAGTCCATACGTTAACAAGACCGAGAGCTAGATCTGCTCTGACCCGACGTGCACAACGATCGACATGCATAAGAAAGTTATGTGTTGGGCTATTTACTGTTCGTTGGTCACACCTTCGGGACGATCGCTGAACTATGCTGATACATGTTGAGTGAGCACTTAATGCAGCCATAAGCAAAGCTCATGTGAGCAGCGGATGCATGGCAAAGTAATAGTGGCATTTAAGCGTCAGGTCTGCGAGACTCGTGTTTGTTGTGTTTTAAGGCCGAGTCCCCGAACCAACCGGTCAAGCGACTCCGGGCAGGTTTGGGTGTGACGCCACCTCATGCTGGCCGGGCTCTACGACGCCGTAGAGTCGTCCCCACTACTCATGCGCATTTCCGACCAATGTGACTTCAAATGGCGAAGTCTATCCCGAAACTATTCCCGACTCTCGGACAAAATCTCTTTACCCGGCAGACATCGCTCACGAGTGGAGGGTGGGGAGTTGCCACCAGAGTGGTTGCGCGAGGTGGCATCGCAGCCGTCCATCTACACATGGCGGACGGCCATCTGAAAGCAACGGTTCAGCCCAGGGCGCCTTTCCAAATTCCAGGCCATTTCTCCATACGGAGAAGATGAATCGTCGAGCTCGCTAACGTGGCTGGTCGCTGTCAACGTGGAAAGCCACGTAACACCATATAAATGTTGTATCCGAGATATAATGCCATGTTCCGAAGGATATCTGCCCATGAGTAGCTTTCTTTCTAAAACGCCCGTCCCGTCTCCTTGCCCTACAGTACACAGTCCACTATACCATGTGATCTGATTGGTATGTCGTACTTTTCCCCACACTTTGTTACACCAATCCGCTTTCCGACCCCATCGTCAAAAGCTCTCGTCTAATATCTAAACCATGTTAACGACAAATACGTGACAGTAAAGCTTGGCGATGTCATTTTCTGGACTGACTCCGATGTAAAAAGTACTTCTTTTCCTTCTCCTCCTACCATGATTTGTTAGTCAACCAACTTCCACTTCCATGTTCATTACAATCTAAAATGCTTGGATATATGAAGATTTCCTGTACATTAATAGCATCGATCTTTCTTTCCCTCCCCATCTTTCTTCTCGGACTGCCTCGCAGCGTATATTCTTCAGATAGGGTCCTCAAAGAACTGGAGGAGCAAGAATGTCAGGCCATGTCAGGTGCTTTAAAATACTGAGTCGTACGACATGACTCTAGGAGCCACCTTCGTCGGAAGTAATGTCTGCGAGCTGACTGAAATCAATCATCTTTGGGTATGATTTTGTAGCGTCCGGTCTTTTCGGTGCAAACAAAATTTTCCACCATCAAGAGGGTGTACTGTGGTACGCTCAAAAGTAGCACTTCATGGACTTCTAGTGAACACACACGCTGTAGACTTTTGAGCATCGGAGCATTGGCCGTGATTGACCACCTTACCGGCTGCAAGTTCCTGCTTCCTCGGTTCATTTGCTGAGTATCCACTTTAAACACTTCTCTTAGACAAAGCTACAGCACATTCAAGCTGCGGATTACTTGCTTTCAAAAATGATGTGCTAAACTGAACCAATACTTACCATCCATATTTTCGTCGGAACGGTTTCTTCTACTCACCCGAGAGAGCATAAATATGAACCTTACCGTCAGTCATGCCCAAAGTTCGTAATCTGCCATATGGGCTGTGATTTTGAAGGGTTGTCTCTGATGAACTTTTGCGCCTTCAGATCACTTCTAGCGAAGTAATTGCCATGTGAGACAGGTACACCACTCCACCTTAGCACCTTCCCGACGTTAGCTTTATGAAAGGTTCAGATGGAGATCATATCTGATACATATCACTGGCTCCAAATTTGATACGAAAGCACAGTCGGGCTCCGATCTTCAAAATCTAAGCCTTGTATTTTAATAAACGACTCATCCCTATTTGGTGACAAACCGTAATTCCTACATGAATGCTAAATTTTGGTACCTTAATCGATAGTAGATAATTCGAATATATCTACACCAACACATTGTTCTGGAAATAAATTTCAGTATTCACATAAGTCTCGAACTTGAACATCTACTCTAATTGGTGGTATCTTTCTAACCACTAGTGATGAATTGATCATGATTAAAAAGAGATCAGAATTTGCAGTTTCATGTTAATGCTGATTACAATTTAAGTTCAAATATGAAATTCATATAGGTAAAATCTTTAATTGTTAAGAATTCCACTTGAAATCATTCATGGATTAAAGAATTATTAGATATATTTAAATTTTTAAGATTTAAGCATAAATGAATAAAGATAAGATAGCAATTAAAGTCTTTCTTAAAAATTCAGAATTTTCATATAATTTACAATGCAAAATAATTTAATTTTTTAGAAACCAAGTTATACAAATTGCCAAATTAAAAAAAAATCTTTAAAAACACTAAAGTTTTATCAAAATAAACGTTTATAAATTAAAAAAGTGGATGATTATTCACATATGAGTATTATACACATTATAAGTAAAGGCCAAAATTGCAATAATATAGGATCTAGTATTAGTATCAATCTTAAAATTTATAATAAATCTGCACATACTCTTAAAATATCTCTCTTTTTCTCTCTCTCTAAAAGATGACAATTTTAGTCAAAGTCAAACCAACATATTACAAAATGATTGATTGAAAATATGAATAGTAATACTCCAGTTATATCATTCACATATGAGAATAACAAGGTTCTTTATTGTATTTTATCGTGACACAACGCGCTTTTGGATCCTTGAGTTCAACTTACTATTAACATGACCCTAAAGTAGACAGAAAAAAAGATTTGCATTGAAACTTTTATGATCATCTATCCCATACTTTTATTTGAATTTTTAAAAAATCATGCAATATAGTTCATTCGGGTGTATACATATCAAGCAGGTTTTTGCCCTACATACAACACCATTGACCATATCTTAGCTTTGCGTGTTTTATGGGAGAAGTAAAAGGGCAATGGAATAGCTTTGTTTTGTGACTTCATTGATTTTAAGAAAGCTTTTGACATTATACCTCGTGAGCTATTATGGGAAAGTTTGCAAATCATTGGAGTATCATTAGATCTTCTAACAGCTGTGGCCACATTATACCATTCTGTTTGGGCCAAGATCAACACTTTCTAGACTTAAGAGGTTTTGAGTACCATTGGAGTGATTCAATGTTGTACTTTTTCTCCTACTCTATTTAGAGTTTTTATAGATTGAGTGATTGGAGTCATGTGATAATGAAGATGTCAAGCTTGAAAACTTTGTTATCAAAGTTCTCTTTTATGCATATGATATAATATTACTAGCACGTGATGCAATTTGTTTACAGAATCACCTATACCATGAGGCTAGCTTTTGTATCCAAAATTAGATGGAGATAAATATGAAGAAGTCTAAAGTCATGATAGTGGACACAAAATCCAAGTTCTACTTCTATTACAACAAATCTAATAATAGTTAAAGAGTTATAAATATCTAGCATTGATTAGTCTAATGATTATAGTTGAACACTTTGACACTTTCAGTTCTCAGGAAATTTTTATTAAGAAGCTTAGTGTTGCCGGTAGTATTATGTGGAATCCAAGTGTGGGGTTGTGGTGGTAAGAAGATAGGTTGGGAGCGTGTGAAAAGGATGCAGAAGATATTTCTACAAGAAAATTGGGTGCAGAAACCAAACTCCATATGTTATTCTTCTTGCGGAAACGGATTGTTTACCTCTAGAGGCTAAAGCTCTATACTTGATCATCACTTACATCAGAAGTGTGAGATCTTTTGATGCTTGTCGCCTTACTCTTCAAGCTTTGAGTGCCACACGTGCCAAAGGATGGTTAGCGAATGTGATAACTTGGTCTTTAAGGTGGAATGTGGCGGAACGCAATTGGAACCTTTAAACTATAGCAGTATAAGAACGTCTAAAGGAAGATTTTTTGAACATTATTTGGAGCAAGCGCGGCACCAAGATGTAGTTTTATCAACTTCATGTGAATTCTATGCTTGTTTATTGTGAACAAGATTACCTACTTGCAGGAATCTCTACGTACTTCTGTCATATTATTGCTAGGCATAGAATTAGATCTCATGATTTGGAATTGAGTAAAGATTTTGGTTTGATAATGATAAGAGTGAACGTATTTGTAGATTATGTGACAATGGATACATTGAGGATGAAGAGCATGTATTTGTTACTTGTTCTAGGTACAAAGACAATAAGCTTGCGAATAATATAGATGTTGAAAATTTCTATTCTTTATTTCAGTTAATTCCTTTTGATTTAGGTTGTTATATTAGGAACAATATTAGTGGATAAATTGATGATGAAGAGCATGTATTTGTTACTTGTTCTAGGTACAAAGACAATAAGCTTGCACATAATATAGATGTGGAAAATTACTACTCTTTATTACAGTTAATTCCTTTTGATTTAGATTGTTATATTATGAACATTCTTAGTTATCGTTCTAGTGATCTTGGCACAAGCTAGGTATTGACCTTTGGGATCTTTTCTCTTGTTTGTAGTTTTCATTTGTATTGTATTTTTCAGCCTTTTGACCCTTTGGTTCCCCGGGCTTGGTCTATTACCATTTATAAAGAACTAAAATATGCAACAAAGATACTGTCTTTACTCAAATGTATTTATTGGCTCAAACTATAGTGCTTGAAATCAGGTACCTATTACGCCACCCTCTTACTTTAAACCAACATTCATATCTTAAATTATATGTGGTAGGATAGATAACAACCTCATTTGCAACAAATATTATATCGGATATAACCGAAGGTACATCCGATATGATATTTGTTGCAAATGAGCTTATTTGTTACAAAGAAGATTAGCATGGCACCTGCGCAATAATAACAAACACAAATCCAGAAATGATCCAATATCTTTGCTCGACAAGTATATATCGGCTTAAATCATAGAGTTGGAAATAGGGGTCCCAATCAAAATGTGTCAAAACTTAAAAGACTTCAGATCAAGGTGCAGATTTTTCAAACATTTTTTTATTATGATGAGATCATTGAACACTAACTAACCTAAAAACTACAGGGTTTACGAAAATATAGATTGTGTTTTCCACCTCAATCAAATCTATAAAGTAACGTAAAGAAGAAAGTCTGATAAATGCGTTAAGTAAGCATTCACACATTTACAAACAAGGGTTATACAACTTCCTGTCAGACAATAGAGATGTGTCAAAATCGTCTACTTTTCCAACAATGCAGGAAGACATCGTAAAAGTGGGGATAATAATTCTCATTGATGTCCTGCACTAAATGATTTCGTGTAGAATCTCCACATGACTGCTTTACATCTATTATGTTATGTTCTCAATGCATTTTTTCCCGCGAACGATGTTTTAATCGTCCGAGATCAGTTCTCATAAATAACTGACCAACCATGCGCATGGCAGCTATCCTGGATCTCATGATGGGTCTCTAAACTCTAAAAACGCCTCTGGATTCAATTTCAGCCCAGTGTACTGAACAGAAATGTATCCAACATGTGCGCAGTTGTAATCAACTTCTACTCTGTATTACTTAAGCTTTCCGATAAATGAGAAAAGTCGAAACTAGGAAAATATTTACCGGTTCGATGTACGTGTATGATACTGAAGCTTTAACATTTTTGTTTAGTAAGTATTCGGTTCAAAGTTAGAAGAGAGATTTATCAGGTATTGAAATACATTCATCACTCTAACGAGCGTTCATAAATTCTATGTTCATAAAGTAAGAATTTGAGTTTACTTTATACATCTTAATGGAAGCAACGCTGTGTGCTAAACAAGGAGGGAACCAAATAATATAGCTGGAAGACCATAAATCCTGTAAACATGAAACCAAATGAGGAAGATGGACTAGGCCCTAAGTCATGACATGACATAATTTATACTGGACCTGAGGGAAAGTTGAACTGAAGTAAGGTCCATTAATGGAAGTTACAAATCAACGCACGGTGGCCTAAATACAGTAGTACTACTATTTAAAACTCCTTCCATCCATGTAAGATCCGATGGGGACTTCCGTGGTTCGGTATACTGCTCGGTCCCCTCGTTATCTTTTTGATTCCTTCCCTTCCATAACTACGGCAAAGTACGCACTGAAGTGACAATTAGCGAACAGCGACATGAATTCCAAATCTGCGGTCTAGATTGGTAACTGGTCGTAGGGACAAACGACTTGGTATAAAAGGGAATAGGAACACAGAGAGAAAAGCGAAGACAAAATGATCGGAAATCTCACTTTTTGGTACTTTCTATTCCAACATTTCTGTGCCACGGTGGCACATGATGCTGGAGTTGACCGGCATATTATTTGATCATTCAAGGAAACGACTTCGGCATCTTTCGATTCGGCTTTCTCAGTGATAATTTGGTGATGGAAAATTTGTTCGCGAGTAGCTACGACGATAGTACTACGAAGGCTTCAGTGAACTTCCCAAGAAATCATGGGTTTCTACCCCATCCGAAGCCCGCCATGGCCACTGCTACAGTTTCTGGTAAATGAAGGCATGCATGTCGGTAGTATTGTGCACCGATGAGCCAATTAATTGCTGTCGAGAAATTTTGGCAGCCGCAGAAACAATGCATGGCCCTTCTTCCAGAATTGCCTCGGAATTTACCTGGAGTTTCATCATCCGGACGTCACCGTATCGTATCCTCCAAATCTTGGTCGACAACGTACTTCAACACAACCGAATACTACGAGGATACCCATCAAATCATTACTATCCCTTGAAGTTTATCTCTGACAGCGCCTGCAAGACCATGCAGATGCGATGGATATTCTCATTGTGGACACTATTCCAAGGTAAAAGCTGTAAACCAACCTGTACATGTTTTGATTACCTTCTTCCAATAAACTTCAAGAGCCCTGGACCATGGAAGGATAAACACTTCCAGCAGACCAGCGTCTTGAGTCAAGAGAATGGGAACCTCAAACAGATTAGCCTCATACATGCTCATCATGCACTTGCCTTCCGGTAATTTTTTCCAGCACTGTGTCTCCTGGTCCGTGAAGAAATTGTTTCTCCAGACATTAGAACCTGCGAAATCTGAGCGACAAAAAAATTTCAGCTTCCAGCCAATGCCCTCTCTGCACCTATAATCAAAACTTCAGGTTTTGCAGAAGGAGTAAAAGACTGCTCTGCAACCAATCAGTTGTTAAATCCCAGAGATCCTCTGCAGGGGTTGGCTGGAAATTCTCGTCAATCATACAACCAATGACGAGGTCAAAAAAATGTTCAGTACATGTTAGAATCTATCAGAACTGCATTTGGAGACCAGAGCACTACACGTTAAGTAGTCAGTTCAATAACGTACAAGTTCACTGGGATGGCCATGATAACCAACAAATGCAGTCCAAGGAATCGGCCTGGATATATTTCATCGGTCAAATTCCTCCTGCACCATCGGATTGGCTATTATACCAAATATACTGAAAAACACTATGTTGCTTTCTTTGTTGTTCGAAACCAATGGAGCAAGTCATTATCGACGATAGTTGAATTTACATCCACGGCTATAAGCAACTCACACCTAATATGTCATACTGCCATGGTATATCAATCCAACTTTCTTTCTTAATGTGGTAGTACCCGTAGCCAGGAGACAAGCCATATACCATTTCATGGTCTCCTTGTAAACAGAGATAAAAGTGTGTCCGAAGTTTTTACTCTTGAATGTCCATCCGCTTTTTCCAGAATTGACGTCATACAGCTGAAGCAAGCTTGCATTTTGAGCTAGTAAACTTCTTCAATCCAAAAAACTCACATACCCAGAGTATGGGTGCTAGAAGAATTGATCTCCGAAGACCAATATGACGCACATATGTAGCCAGTCTATGTGGTGGTTGTGGTGGCTGCTTGCTTGGCCTTCTTGTCTATGATTATTCTGCGAGTACAACACAAGCTAAGTGCTCTTCCGGGCAGCGTTGACACAGGTTTCTCTCGAATATGTATGTATGTATTTTGACGTAGAGAGGAAGGTCATAACAATAGATCAAGAAAAATGAATGGAATTTAGTACCAGTTGTCATAAACGGAAGATCAAATTCATAGAGAAGTGCTTGAATGTAGGGGGAAGATTCACAAACTTGTACAACGCGGCAGCAATGGACATAATGACGATCAAACAAACTATGTCGACCATGATATTTCGGCTCGACCGCAGCTGTTCACACAGTTGTTTAAGCCGTCACCAAGGTACGTGATTGCTTAGAGTCACATACGTTGACCACGTGAGCATAAAGAACAGAACCAGAAGCGTGTTCCGGGGTAGCAAAAGTATGTTTATGCTTAAGTAAAAGATTGACATTTCGCACGCAAAGGTCTGAGTACTTTACCCTGACCAGAGTCTCCTTCAACCTTACATTCGTACTCTTCATTTCAGTCGCAGCCTTGTCCACCTGTACATACGCGTGTCATACTCTAATCTTAGGATAGGACTAGTGAGGCCATGTGGCCACTGGGACTACAGAGCTTTACTATTTAAAACTTCGCCTGAATCATCACTTGTGTACCTTTGAGTCGATCTCGTCAACTAGAGTAGTTTGTTTATCCATCTCCTGCAAAAGGCCAGAGTAGATGTACATAAATCTAAACTGATCATCTCTTCTTTATTTTAGAAGCGGTAGAGGTTCATGTCTACGCGTCACTAGCTTATCTAGGTCTCAAGTTGCCGATGATATATTCAACATCATAATCGCAGTTATAAATTATAATTTATATCCTTTACCAAATGTCATTTAAAAGTGATTTTGGATACCTCGTTTATGTCTTGAGCCATGTTTCCTAATGTCGTGAGACCCTCCGATATCACTTCTAAACTCTCATCCTGAAAACAAGCAGAACGTCTTTGAGAACGTTGAAAGTGCGACCGCGACCTTAGGAAAAATGCACTGTAGGCGTTCCTCTTGTTCCAAATTAATTCACCCATATATTTCGATGAAAAGCTTTAGGTACGAGGGAAAAGAACGGGTACGAAAATTCGAATGATAACCTGTTTTGCTTTTCGTCTATCCGCTTCTTGGGCAAAACTTGACGATTCTTCAGAGCTCTGGTTCTGGCTGCCACTCATGACTTGTTCTGCGTAACATGATCAGCACCCACCATCAGCTGACATATTATTCTCTACAAGGTTGCCGAAATGACAACGGAATATGTATGTTTAACGGAATTCATTCTCTCTCTCTTTTACTTATTTGATTTAGCTCTATATACTTCGAACTTCAAATGACAAATAAAAAAGAGAAAAGAGGGATACGCATGGAAATAACAGTAGAGATGTATAATCTAAAACATACGCAGTTGTGTAGGTCGTCACCAACACCTTATATAATTTCTATATGTGAGGCCAACATCAAGCTCTTACCGAATGTACAAGAATGTAGCAGCACACGACCAGAGCAGAATTGATCGCCACCGCTTGTCGAGATTATAACAATTGATTAAGTAAATACCTGGACTCATGGCATCAATTTTGATGGTCTCCGCTGCTCCTTTTCCCTTTTTCCCTTTGACTGGCTTACGAGGAGCTACCACACCGTCTGGAATATCCTCAATCTTTGCCACGAGGCCGAGCACCAAATCTGGGCGTAAAGCAAGATCCTCCTTCGTAGCTCCTTTCACCTGAAAACGACAAGTAGTTACGGCGCCAATCCTTCTGGAGGCTTCTACATTTTGCAATGTCCCTGAACCTGAGCGTCTACACTTTGAGCGTTTATATCTAATTCAAACTGAAATGATAAGAGAGAAACTTAATTACAAAGAGCAGTATTTCAGAAATTTTTTCTCACTTTTTGGACCAAAAACCTTGAGTTAATCGAATACGCTAATTTTTTTGACGTATTTTTTACCAGGGTCAGTATTCTGGTCACGTTATGATTGCATGAAGCAATTTATTCTCCATTGCAGATCAACTGAGCTATCTACTGAAGTCTGCACTTATGTGATTCACTGTCTCGTCAAAAAAATGAGTCCATTTATACATCCAGCCAAAGTATTTTGGAAGAACGTTTAGCCTAAACGTTGAATTGGAAGAACCAAGAAAGCAAACGAGAAATTAAATTCATTAACAATCAAACGTCCTTGAATATTTCAGAAGCAAATAGGTTGAAAGCATCTTCCATCTTCGATACTGCCATCAGCTCATCCATTACGTTCGAAATTTAGTTATGAGTATGTAGACATCAATTAAGACTGACAGAAATTGTAGAGAAAACGAAAAGAATGTAGATTTATAATCCTCAATGTACTTGGGTGCCGATAACTGCTGCTGCGACCTTTAACAGTTGGCAAAATGATTGTAAATGTCTTTTGTATATGGATTCTATCATGATTAAACCCCAGATGCCAAAGTCAGAAAGCAATATTTTGTATGTCGTTGTCATATACCATGCACGTTGAGTGAGTTGTGAATGCTAGAGAGCTTTTCTCGGTCTGCAGACGTTGACAGTTTGAAGCAGAATTGAAGTTGATTCCAACTTCCTAATGGAAGATGAATTCGGTGAAAGTGGGCAAGTGGGCACTTTAAAAGAACAAATTGTATGTACAAACCTTTTTTCCAGCATACTTCGTAAGTTTCGGAATTTGCTCCTTGAGTGCAGCCTTAGCACGTCGCACCTCCGCATTTAAGGTAGCAACTACTGCTCTATTTTTTTCAATGGATGCGTCGTTTGCTTTCTGCGAAGAATTACCAGGGATTTTCCAAATATCAGATCACAGAATGCAAGAGTTTCAATCAGAATTACCATCATCACTTTCTGAAATCCCCATCCGAGGTTACAATATCAAATCGTTATCTTTTGATTCTGATAGCTTGTACAGTGAACCCTTCGTGCACAAGCCTTCAAGCATGAGATGCATGAGAAGAAGATGAAAAAGCGGGGATTCATCACAATCTACAGCGGAGGAATTTGGTTTACAAAAGATTGTGGAAAAGACTTTCTGGACAAGCACTTGTTTCTCTAAGATCAACTTTCGTTGAACAAGGACATGAGTTGCCTGCATGTAAGCGTGCAACTAGATTCACATGTTCTTGGTTTGTGACACTGGACTTGAGAAGATACTGTGTTAAATAGAGTCAAGGCTTTGCATTATAAGTCCAATCCTCAGATTTGTACTGCTTCCTTAAATAAGATCGATACCCATCAGAGCTGGAAAGCAAAGCTCATGAACGGCTGGTTGTACCTAGGCTATAGAAAGCGGAACGAGCAAACTCTCGAGCAACCCTCGATGAGAACACTAGCAATTCATTGCCCCCCGTGCCTGTAAGCCGACAAACCGATAATCCATCAAAGAGTCTTAAGCGCCGAGCAGGTAATGTATCTCGAGCCAATTTCACATGGAACATATACCTCAAAGATGAAGACTGCAGCGAAGGATTCTCACTCTTTCCCATAATCTGCTGCATGTAGATTTGCGATAGTCCTCGCTCGAGAATATTTATCGCTTGGCACATTCGGTATCTCTCAATTGTTCGCTGACTCCGGACACATAAGTATGTGTTCAGAATGTGAACTTCGATTGTGATCCAGTTTACAGTAAAGTGCCGTCAACTGAACAGGAAAAAGCCCAAAATTTGCTACTTTCTGGTGGAATAGTGAGAGGATCTATTCCTGACGCCAAAGATTTCAGACTGCTTCTGGCGAAGTGTGAAATCACCATCTCGCTGCTTCCATCGAGCCGCGAAGGACCTTTGAAGTATTATTGCAATCGGAATATGGCAAGCATATTAAATTGCATCGATATGGACTGACTGCTCATTTTAGGCTTGGGAAACCACTACTGCTTGGAGTGAATGTTGCCATGGGATTGCAGTTCAGCAGTCTCACACCCGGGCCGTGAGATACGCCCATGGCCGGGCTTGCATCCTTCACCAGCAGCAGCATCGTAGTGGTGCAGAAGCAAGCAAGGCTGAATTCGGAAAGGTTCTAACCTGAGTTGGTTTCACCCAATTCCCATAAAAGGCTCGCAAGAGCTTACTTGCATAGCGGCCTCAAGATCGGCTTGAAGAGTTGTGTAGAGCATCATGAAACGATCGTTTTTGTAAACAGTGGCATCTTGCTTCTTGTCCAAATCATACTTCTCATACTTCTTGCACAAGGCTTCCGCCCGCGTTAGCAAGTCTGTAACGCTCATTTTCTCGTCTCATTAATGATCATTCGTCTGGACGTTCTGTTGTGTATTTGTTTATCGCCAAATGATTGGCTCATGCCGAGCGGTTACCGATCTCTTCTAGAGTCTCATTTAGACACGTCGAGCCTGATGAATTTGGGCGTCGTCCATAGCGTTTCGTTCTACTAATGGTTAGTGCGGCCCGTGGAGTAGGCCGATGACTCAGCTCTTGGATGGCCCAAATATTGAAATGGACATCATCCATGCCATTTGCAATATATATTATGCCCTCTAAAATGCTTACACTCCACGATATCATGAATCTGATTTCTAAAAGCATCATTTTTTTTCTGATAAACTCCCGAAGAGTGAAAATGAGTTGAATATAGACATGCGATACAATTAATTTTGAATAATGTCACAAGAATTTTGATAGTTTTGATAACAGAATGGAAACTTTGGAAGTACAACTTCTACCAAAAATCCTTATGATATTATTTTCTTGTTTGACATGATATTTATGAATCTCCGCCATACACAAGCAATTTTACTTTGGGTAGCAAACCTTCTTTCAACGCCATATTATTAGTTAGAACAAATTTTCATCTTTGTGCATATTGAATGAAAATTGTAGTTTCACACCTTTGTAACATTATGATCATCTAGTATGAGATTGTTTAACATCATTGCAACTGATTTTAAGAGATTATGCCTGTGTATAATCCTGCATGCGTATTTAAGTATCATTCGATTCAATAAGTCATTTTATCAAGTCCGGTATGAATTTGTCAAGCACCTTATTGTTGTTCATCAAATCCACGCCTTAATTTTATTTTAACTAACCTATATTGTTAGTCAAATCTTCCAACTAGTTAGTCAAATCCTCCAACTCATTTTACTCTTTTTTTGGCTACGTAGACAATCAAAAGTGGTATGTAGAGTGCCATACTTCCAATACATTATAAACGCATGTTTGTAAATGTTAGTAATAGCGGTGTCACATCTCACGAAGCCCCTTACTACAGTTTACAGCTTTGATGTATAAAAATAGTAATATCTGAAAATTTACATGTCTTATGCAAAGTGTTCCGCTCTTTTTCATGATTAGAAGTTTTGAAGAAAGAAATCAAGTTGTTGTAATCTCGTTCTAAAAAGCCGTTATACTCTGTAATAGCATATGGAAGCACACATTGAGAAATAACATTACTGTGAGATATAATTTTCACAAACAGATATTGAGTTAAGGACTTGAAATTCTGCAACTTAAATATCAAACTTTATGTATAAGGAATAAATCCGATGAAAAAAATGATGTAAATTTATGATATAAAGGACCTTCTAAAGTTTTTTTGAAAATGAGATGGAAGGTTGTGAACACTTATGGTTGAGTTGGGAAAAAATCTAGAATTAATAGAGATTGATTTTATTTAATTTTCTTTAGAAAACTGAACCTTATTCCAATGCTAGACTTTCTTTAGACAATCTTGAGTGCGCAACAGTCTTTCATAAATTTGCGGTCATTCTAGCGTTTTAGCTCATGCTCAAATCAGTTCAATGAAGGTTCAGGCTACAACCTGGATTTTTATGTTATAGAACATGTTCATATTAAATGTAATACATAAAGAAATTATTCGATTTATTTTATATATCCATGCTTACTGAACTTTCCATAATAATTTGTAAGAAATAAAGGATGAATCTTTTTATGCCATATTAAAATGTGTTGAATACACTGTAATTTAAGTCGAAGTGAAATAAAATTAATTATCAATTATATAAAAAATTTGAATAATGGAAATCATTTTCCTATTAAAATATTAATTTCATTGAAATAATCATATGAAAATTTACATTATTAAAATTTAATTTGATATTGTAATCTCTTATATGCAATGACGTAAATAGTCTCATATTCCAATATTTTATACTTTCAATATCATATCATTAAATGCTATGATGATTTTTATGATAATTTTTATGTGAAGGATAGAATTCATAAATTGATCCCATACTTCAGTCATTTTAAAAAGATTAGTCAGCAGAATTATAGTTCAACATTTTTTTTATAAAATTATGAAATAAAAGATCTTAGAACAATCGCTTGGACATATAAAGCTCAAAAGTGTATATTTGAATCTATATAGATGAATGTTGGGATATACTGTTTCTTTCTAATTCTTGGATAGGAACATGACGTTTGGTTAAAACAACACCCGAATCTTATGTAATGGACTTAGGACGGAAATTTCTGATTTTCATTATCAAAACTAAAAATATGCGTGATAGAAAACAATTTTTGATTTTTTATTATTTTCTCATTTTTTTACGTAGGTCAATTCCAAAATATACAAAAAAATTGCTGAATTTCTGAAAATAACTTGAACTTATATAATGAATTAGTGATCAGAAGATAACATATTTGGTGCTTGAAAATATTAAAGAGCAATATTGTGGATTCGATCATTTACAACACTGGTTATTATTACATTCTCTTTGATTCATGCAGACGTAATAGTAAAGAGTGAAATGTACATGTTTCGATATGTTTATTAGCTTGCACGCATGTGCACACTGTAGTTTTACATGCTTGGTTTAAAAAAAAAATTCGGTAGAACAAAATTAACATTCCGTATTCAGAACTCAAGAATGAGATTGAATTTTTCTTTTCCGTTATCTATCAAATGTCAGCATACAACACAGTCAGAAGGATTGAGCTCACTCTCATATGTTGAGCACTCTATTTGGTTTTGCTTGTATTGAATGTGTATATTTTATGGATATTCTAGCATTTATGCTTTTGGTGTATTTAAATTGGTTGAAATTTTGTATTATAAATCTAAGTGCAAAGCAATAAGATATAAAAGACATGATTACGAACCTTAAAAGTTACAATAAAGTTATTATCTCAATTATAACCTTGATGCAATCTTCACCTCGTCACGCTTCTATTCGACAATTGATGTTGACTTCTGAATCACGAAGCCGATTTTCCTTGTAGATGAAAGTTAAAGCCAGGAGAAAGCATGGAAGAAAAATTCGGATGTTTTCTATCGTCTCGAATTACCAAAGGCTAGATTTTTCAGACAGGCACTGGCTTTATCTAACCTAATTTCCAAGAACGAATTATAGTCAGTCAAAACGGACTAGGCTGTACAAACTGACCCGATGAAGAAACGATGACGCAGTTTGTGGGTTTTCAAATAAAATATTTTGCCCTATTAGCATCAAAACAAAAGCACCAATCTTACCTACATCCCTAAGCCGTTCTGAATGTACTAGAGGAGTATGCTTGTAGCCTGGTATGACTTGAACCCACGAAGGTCTACAGGTCCATCTTTACTCACAATCCGTTAACTTCAAGATCCAGGCAAGGGATAACAAAAGTTTGACCGGAGAGGCAACGTTTGCGCAAAGCCCGTCACTACAGTGAAGTTGTGGATTAGAGGAGACGGTCTGGAGGCAGAATTTAGAAGCAACACAATTCCGAATTTCCAGGCTTCTAGCAGGGAGTTGACTACGGATGCAGGCGCGGTGAATCCCTGTTCGTTGGAGATGCTCTAGGCCGCAGCAATTTACTCTGTGGACTGTCCGCGACTCAACTTGGACACGTCCAAGTTGAGCTAACCTCCGCCCGTCCCATGTTTCTCTCTCTTATCCACTTTCTCCGAAAACTGGAGTACTGTACTTCATTTCCTTCTTCTTCTTTCTCATTATGTTGTCAGGCCAGGTCTCTGGGTGGCCCCACCCAATCGAAACTCTCCTTTCTTGTCCGAACAATGGAAGAATGTGTGTTCTCGTCTTTCAGTTCATTTCAGTTTATTTATGTTCACTGACAATCTTCGCCCTAGATCCTGCATTGACCTACACTCCCTCGCTTTTTTTGTTGTATCATTTCATCCCATCTTATCTCATCTCATCCGTCCAGCGCCCCCTATCGCTGTACTTTTCCTCGTCCTTTCCGAGTCTGTCTGTCTTTCGCCTTCTGTTTCTGCTGTGTGTTAGGTTCGGCCTTTCAGTGGTCCCACCCTATCAGTACAACCTTTTCTTGTCTGAACAAACGAGGAATTTATGTTCTCATCTCACTTCAATTGATGCGGACCACTTTCCTCACTTTTCTGGCCAATGCAGTTGGTGCTAAGGACAGTACGAGCCACCAATCTATTTCCCGCATTCACTCCACGTTTTCGCCCAGTTCGCTGAAAGGAAACACTCGGAGTGTTCACATTCAGCGCTGTGCTCAGTGCATAAATGAATGATCTGATTGATAAATGATTCACGCCCGCGCATAGACTGAACCTCGGGTCCAAAGGCAATTGCCGTTGGCAAGCTAGCCTGCAAGTAAAAGTGCTTTGTGAACAGTATGAAAATAACTAAGGAGTGAGTGGTATAGGCAAAATGATATTTTGAAGTAATCTATGGATGAAATGGATAGGACAGGATTGGCCTAACCCATGTTATGAAAATATAAAAACTTGATATTATGATCAATTAATCAAAGCTATCTCCATCAAACAATTTACATCTTTCACCATTTTTATCAATATCTCATTGTAGCAACGCCATTGTTCTCTGGCTATAGATGCTTAGAATAATTTTCACAATTTAAAAAATTGAACGATGTAAACAAATTTAAAGATGTATGCTACTAATCCATCAAAAGAATGATGATCTTTTTCTCTGATATTCCTTCATTCAATGATATTGAATGATGTACCTTCCTTCTAGATGAGTTGCGTGAGAACTAACCACAACCAAGATGTTCTAGTGTACTAGTAAATAGAGAGTTGATCTCTTTCCTCCTATAACCTGTAACCGTTTTGGAATTTTAGACAACAAAATCCACAAGATCTTGAAAGAGCGTCATATCAGAGTCCATCATTTACAACATTTGTAATCTGACAATTTTTTACCATTTAGAATAATTTAAAAGAAATTTAAGAATGTATGCTACTAATCAAAACACACCATCATGCTTCATGTCCTTATATGTAGTTAACACAAAATATTACGTAATTCAACACTCGGGCTATGTTCATTCACGATAATCACACTTCACTCAATTGAAATCGAATTATATGAATAAGATATTCAGGGCTTCTCTTGTGAGTTTTAGACTAACTATTTTAACAGCTGAGGTTTAACCAATAACCTCTAAATTAAGATATAAGTTGACTTAAAACATAAATGACTTTTTTTCAAACAAATATTAAAATATTTTTTGAATTGAAACTATATTTAA